ACTCAAAGGCAAGTAGCTCATTGGCTGAGAAGCAGTCTATGGTTTTTTTGTTTTGTTGTGTTGCTACAAGCCTCCATCAGTCTAATTAAAGGGCTCAAAAACCAAGACTGTGATGGCTGTGATGGGTACTTAGAAGGTGGAAATGGGGATATAGCTCAGTGGTAGATCACTTGCTTAACATGTCCAAGACCCTGGGTTCAAATTCCTGTACTTTCCCTCAGCATCCGATGATGATGATGCCCTGCATTTGACTCACAGCACCCACATGGTGGCTCACAACCAGTTCTAGAAACTACTATGCCCTCATGCACACAAGGGGTGTGTAGAAACACATAGGCAGACAAACAATCATCACATGCATTAAATTAAAAAAAAATAAATATAAAAATCTACTATGTGGGTCTACAGAGTAGAGAACAGTACAAATATGAAAAGAGAAACACAGAAAAGAAACCAGGCTTAGCTCCTCCATGACAAGGTAATAGCCTAAAAATTTATTTTGTCTCCACTGTGAACCTGAAATTTAGTATTCCTTAGAGCAGTGGCTCTCAACCTGTGGGTCACGACCCCCTTGAAGGTCAAACAACCCTTTCACAGGGTTGCCCAAGACCTTTAGAATAAAACAAACAAAAAGCTGGGTAGTAGTAGCTCACGCCTTTAATCCCAGCACTTGAGAGGCAGTGACAGGTGGATCTCTGAGTTCAAGACCAGCCTGGTCTACAGAGAGTTCCAGGACAGCCAGAGCTGTTACAGAGAAAAACTCCGACAAGGGTCAGGAGGAAGGGGAATACCACTGGAAAACATATATTTACATAAGAATTTACAACAGTAGCAAAATTACACTTATGAAGTAGCAACAAAAATAATTTTGTGGCTGGGGATCACCATAACTGTATTAAAAGGGATGCAGCATTAGGAAGGTTGAGGAATACTGCTCTAGAAAGACAGAACCTGAAAGAGATATACGTAACAGTTCACACTAAGAAGGAATGATACCCACTACAGCATGTATGAGTCTTGGCAAAGTTGTCTGAAAGCAGCCAGCCATCAAATACCATCAAAGGTATGTGGTTCCATTTAATATGCAATGTCCACAATGAGGGCATATATATGTAGATCAGTAAGATTTGCTTAATGCTGGGGGCAGGGTGATTACAGTCGACAGCTAAGGAATGGAGTTTATTTGTGGGGCGGGTGACGAAGGTGTCTGGAAGTTGGCTGTGGTGATAACTGTACAACTGTGAACACTACTGAAAACCACTATATTAGTAAATGAGTGAGTTGCACGATGCATTAATTACATCGCAGTAAATTTAACAAGAGAGTTCAAGTATAAGTAAGAAGCTGCTTAAGATCCTGAGAGGTTACTATGAAAACAAACAAGGGGATAAACGAGCATGAAAGAGCCATGGGTGATGAAGGACATTAATGCTGTACAATCTGGGATGAAACTGCCCATAAACAACTCCTTTAAAGTATTTGCATTTCCTGACGTTTTATAATTTTGCAGAGGTGCAACCTTAGTTACAGGAAGAACACATTTAATCTAAATACAGATATGTCATTGTAGATATGACTCGGAGACCAAACTACATAAAGGCAGCTGTATTCATTCGTTAGTAGCTGTGCAAGGCGACTGGCTTAAAACAGGGGAGGGTTATTAATGAGATACTGAATGTTGCTTTTATGTCTTTATTTCACAAATTATAGATAATGATCACAAGTAAAGTCTTTCATAGAATTGCACATAGTGTTCTGTAAGTCAAGATTACAATGTTACCATTCTAGGAGACAGAAGCAGAAACTATACAAAGAAACCTTTATACTAAATTCAACACATTTGGTTCCAAAATGTCCATTTTATTACAGAAGCAAGTAAGTATACTATTTAGAAACTTTACTAGACAGAAAGTAAGCTGTCATATATATATATTCCTTTGCACTGCTGCATTTAATTTTATTTAAAGCAATTAACCTTACACATAAAAAGACTCAGTAATTTAAATAAGAACTTGTTTGATTTTCCTTGTAATTTGCAGAGCCAGAATTCTTTTTGTGTTTTCTAGACAGGGTTTCTCTGTGTAGCACTGGCTGTCCTGGAACAAGCTCTGTAGCCCAGGCTAGCCTCAAACTCACAGAGATCCACCTGCCTCTGCCTTCCAGTGCTAGGATTTAAGGCTGTGCCACCGCCCAGCCAGAGCCAGGATTCCAATACAAGTAGAGTGTAAATGTTATTGGCAAACAGCAACAACAGAGACTTTGTATTTAATGTATGGACTTTCTTTTTTCTTTACAGAGGGGCTCATGAAGCCTAGGCTAGCTCAAACTCATTTATACACTGAGGAAGACTTTGAACACTTGAACTCTTGTCTCTATCTTCCAAGTGCTAGAATCACAGGTGTGCACTACCACACACAGTAAGACTAGATGTGTTAAAAGCTGGATGAAAGAAGGGTATACTAAGATATAAATTAGAACGTAATCATTAGGCTTAAAAGGGTTCTTAAATACACAGAATTAGTAGCACATGTACTTGAAATATTCATACAATGAAAATAAATTTACCAAAAGATCAACTTACATAGAAATATTAAAAACTCTGCCAACAGAAGAAAATACTACTTTTATACAAAAAGAGGCTTCAAAACGTGTTACCAATTCAAAAATAACAGGCCCCAAGGAAGACTTCTTAAAACTAAAGTAATTGAATAAAAGAGTTATACAAGAAATTAATATTCTATTTTTAGGCATGTTTTTCAGCCTCAATTTTCTAACACTTCGATTTCCATCTCTCCATTGTTTGTTGACTGAATCTGGCTGGTATGGAAGAGGCAGAATACTGAGATTACTGGCGCTTAGGTTACTGTCCGGGAAAGCAAAGCCTGTGTGTGTGTGTGTGTGCAAAGTTAGTGCTGAAGTACATACCACTTAGATTGTAAAACTCTGCCAGTATAATACAAAGAATAATACCGGGATACAGATGCCGAAGTCATAAAACCATTACTAAACTCACAGAGTCCATATTACATCTTGTATCAAGTCAGTTTCACTTGTCAGACTATTTGGCATTCAAGAGGCTAACTAAATGAACTCAGGAGACTCTGTTCCTGAAAAAGGCTTGCTTATTAACTTCAGGAGAACTGAAGTTAATAGTGACAATGGCATGGAGACATGCTTTGTTATGCTGGGAATAAAAGTGCCTCTTGTGCACTAGAAACGTGCTCTACCACAGGACTTCCTCCTCAGCCTCTGTGCATTTCTCAAGGTGGAAAATTACCAATATTTTCTTAAGAAAAAGAAAATAGATAAAATGGTATGAAATAGAAAATGAATTTAGAAATAAAGAAGTTAAGGCACTTATTTCAATGGGCTTGTTATATTAAGAGCAAAAATGTTTTCTATTTCTTTGAGGAACTCTTTCCCCCCACAACCGTGAGCTCTGCTCCATCACGGGAGCTTCTCTGTTGTGTAGATCTGCTAGGTTACCAATTTTAACTACCTGCAGAATGGCCCGCTTGTTATCCTGCAGGTTCCTAATAAAACATTGGATGCTTTGCACACACAGTTTCCTAGTGTTGGTGACAAGAAAGTGAATCAACATGAGAGCTTGCCTAACATTATCATTTTATTCTTGTCTTTCCTTCATTTTTGTCTCTTTCTGTTGTGCTAGGGACTGAACCCAGGACCTTGTGTATGTGAACCCAGCACTATGCCACTGACCTACAGTCACAGCCAATATTATCATTTCAACAATAAAGCTTACGCCTCCGTTTCAGTTCATGCTGAGTGTAAAGTTAATTATAAACTTTTATTGGGGGGGTTGTTTGTTGAGAGAGAGAGGGAAGGAGGAAGGGAGAGAGAGAAAGAGAGAGAGAAAAGAGAGACTATGTTGCTCTGGCTGTCCTGGAACTCACTCTGTAGGCCACGGTGGCCTTGAACCCAGAGATCCTCCTGCCTCTGCCTCCTGAGTGCTGGAATAAAAGAGTTCACCACCATTGCCTGGGACTAATCATAAACTTTTAAGTAAAAAATTCTTTCTAGCTATTTAAGAAATACATTAACAGAAGCGATCAACGTACTATTACGGGGGGGGGGGGGACTAAAACACCACATGTTAACATGTTAGTCAAAATTTGATCAAATATTTCATATTACAAGGGAAACAGGGTTTGGAATTCCCTTTATAATACACAAGCTGTTTCCACATGCTTTCATACAATATGACCACATGACTACTCGCTGTGTGTGGGAATAACTGGTAATTTTTCATAAAGCCAAATGCTAACCACTACTGGCTACCAAGGTGTTCAGAGTCAGTCCAACATCCATTGCTACAGCTGCTTTCCTATAGTTATAGTAAGTATGCTCCACTATGGTAAAGCATCTTAAAGTTACTCTAAGTGCACAGACTTGAAAAAAGAAAAATTATATGTACATATATTTTACACAAAGAAATGAAATATTTTTCCTCCTGATGTGATAATTTGGAGTTCTGAAAATGCTCTTACTGCACTCTAACAAATAAAAGTTAGAGGCCCCGTTCACTGAACAACTATATAACAGAAAATTAAATATTCATTTTATTAAAACCATTTATCTGCAGGCTTCATCTATCATGAATCTCTCTCTCTTTTTTCTTTTTGGTTTTTTTCCAGATAAGGTTTCTCTGTGTAACAGTCCTGGCTGTCCTGGAACTTGCTTTGTAGACCAGGCTGGCCTCAAACTCACTAAGCTCCTCCTGCCTCAGCTTCCCAGGTGCTGAGATTAAAGGCATCTTAAATCTCTTTAAGAGGCCAAATTAAGTTACAATCCCCCTGCCCTCCCCACTTCAAACAGGGTCTCACTATGTAGCTTTGGCTGTCTGTCCCGGAACTCGCACAGATCTACCTGCCTCTGCCTCCCAAATGCTGGGATTAAAGGCACAAGTCACTACACTGGCTTAGAATCTATTTTAGTGATATAAAACTGAAAATACACAAAGGAATATAGCATTTATACTGTGAATTGTTGAAATTTTTATTTAACTCTCCTTTTGCTCTTACTGTTAAACATGCAATGTTTCACAAATAACGTCACTTTATTGGTTATACTTTATAACCAATACACCTATATGCAGAAGTGTGTTTAAAAGTATCTGCAGATACCTCCAGAAACTGGTATCCATGGTAGTGTACATATTATTATTGTGGCAGTATTAATTATTTTTATTTAATATGTCCATAAAAAACACGTGATTAGGTTGTATAAGCCACAGTCCAAAAACCCCTACAAAATTCTTTTAAATGTCCATATATATACATATGTGTATATGCATATATGTCCATATATGTGTGTATGTCCATATGTATACATACACATATACATAGGCATAAACCAACACAAGTTATTGTTTTAGCATGATTAAGCTGCTAACAATTTAATGGGCATAAATGAGAAAAGGCAATCACTTAGTAGTCATGAAATAAGTACTAATTCATCCTATGTATTGCTGAGAGCGTGCTAAGTCACTTGAGCAGCAGATGACAGGAACAGTATCATAAAAAACACTTTCCTTTCGTTATTTCCCTTTTAATTTAAATGTCACATATTTTCAACTAACATTCAAGTTACTTTTAATTGTAAATAATTTACATCTGTTACAAACTTGCTTGGAGAATTTTTCTCCTCTACTATAGAATTAAATCACATTAAGTACTCATTAAAAATTATGTTTTTGGAGTCAACACTGACCTTGAAAAATATCCAAATTAAAGATCAACATTATGACAGATAAGATTTATGAGGGGATGATGCAAGAGGGAAATCTTTAAGTCGTGTACTAAGGAAGAAAGCTATCAGTAAGGCTGAAGCACTGGACTTGAGATTGTACTCACAGACAGAGACACCTGGTCTTCTGCTGCCAACAAAAGCCTAAACCCAGGAATCAGCAGCAGGCATGGGAAGAGCAGCAGAATTCCAGATATCCACACTCCATCTGCAAGGCTCCATGTAGGTCCGGAAAATTGCATTTTACTTCAAGTAGCAGGTCTCTGAAGGGAAGGCTGTAATTTTCAAGACTGGAAGGAGATCACAGTGTTGACTTTATATACAAAATAGGATCTGTTCCAGTACACACGAGTGAAGTAATTCACATATGGAGAATAGTTAATTTTGACCTCATGACAAAACCGTCCATACTTTGAATAGGTTAATTTGTCACCTTCTTCACAAACCACCTATCAAAAAACAAGGGACAACATAAAAAAAAAACTTACTAAATTTATAAGGAATATAATCCTTGTACTAGTGTGTATATTCATATATATGAAAATTATCAGCCCTAAACGTGACTATAAAATATCTTGGTTTGTTTAGCAAATTTAAGCCTTTCCTAAGTCCTCATCATGACCAATGAACTCCCGAACTTTGATTGAGAAATATAAAATGTTTGCAACTTGTAAATTTAATCCTAACATTTAGCTGAAATTATTTCTGTAATCCAACATCACTGGTTTGAAGAACTCAACCATACAGATCCTAAGGATAGAAAATGAAGATACCATCTCCCGCCTATAAGATTAGAAGCAGTTAGTAGGCAAGCACACGTGTGACCCTTATCTAGCATTGGGCTTCTACATTCCCATCTAACAATGCTCTCACTGGCATAGCGCAGCTAATTTTAAGTTCTGTGGTTTTTCTATTAGGGTCTTTATTTTGTGTGCGCATGCGCACGAGTGTGTGAGTGCGTGCGTGCGTGCGTGCATGTGTGTGCGTGTGTTTGTGCTTTGGTCAGAGGAAATTTACAACTTTCAGGAGTCCCGGGGGTGGGAAGAACTCAGGTTGTCAGGCTTGGAAACAAAAGCTTTTACCCACTAAGCCAGCTTGCTGCCCCAGGTTTGTTTTATAATACTTTTGCACCACCCATAACAGACATCAGGCAGCCAACATTAACAGTAAAGTGGTTCACATCTACACCTAGTATCACATGAAAGAAAGAGCAGAAAGGTGGGTCCCAAAGAATAGAAAGGCAACGTGATACGCCATGCTTTGTTGCCTCCCATGGGAGGCCTCCCTTTTCTGAACAGAAACAGGAGCGGTGTGGGTGGAGGGGAGTGGGGGGGGGGACACAGGAGGGAGGAAACTGCAGTAAGCATGTAAAGTAAATATATAAGATCTTTAAAAAGAACAGAAAGACGCAGAGAGCAAAGCAAGCATATCAATGATTACTAAATATCACTTCTCGATTACAGTCCATCTGTCACCAATAAACCAAAATCACATTATCAAGCACTCTGAGAGCATTCGAAATACACAAAGCCTAAGTAAGTTTACAATGCAAGCTTACTGGGTCATGAAGACATGAAAATAGGAAAAATTTTAAAGACATTTTTATTTTATGTGTGTTTTGCCAGGCATGCATGCAGTGACCTCAGAGGCCAGAAGAGGAGCTTGCAAATGCTGAGCCATCTCCCCAGTCCTCAAAGATGGGACCTGTAAAAACAAATTCCTCACCTCCAAACTGGTCTTGGCTTATAAGACAAACATGATTATTTCAGAAGGGAAAGGAAAAATCCTGGCTGTGGCCTAAACAGAATTTGCCTCACAACTCAGAATGATCTATTCACCGTTTCCCAAGTCCTCCAGCCTAAGTTTCTCAGGAAGAAGCATTTATCCCTATCGGTACAATTCATCATACTTGCAAACTCCCCTGGGAGTCTTCTTGGCTCCTAGGTGTGTAGTGTATCTTCTGTAAGGGTGTAAGTGGAGAGGAAAGGTGGCTTGCTAACCCTGCCAAAACTCATGTAAGAAGATTATAAAGCTAAACAAAGTCATTTTTCGAAGAAACAACCAGCTTTTGAGATGGTTACGTACATGGCCATTTGCCACATCTAGTAAGTCCTTAACCCTGCAGCCTCTGGTCGTTCCTATCTCATTGCAGATGGCATCTTCTACGATTAGGTAGTTAGCCTTGTAAGATGTCAGTATTTTATAAATGTCCTCGGCAGATCGCTTTGAATAGATCTGGTAAATCTGAAAGGAAATGAGACGAAATGTAAGAGGCACCGAAAGCACCTATTAATTAAAATTACACAGCTCTAATAAAATACACTTCACAGGGTTGGAGAGATGACTCAGCAGCTAAGGGCATGACTGTCCTTGGATCCAAGTTCCATAAAACATAAAATATTTAATTAAAACACTAATCAATTTCCGAGGGGCAGATTAGAGGTTTTTTTTTTTTTTTTTTTTTTTTTTTAAAAAAAAAAAAAACCTCTAATCAAATTATAAATGATTCTAAAACATCATACTGGGGCGAAGTTCTATCAAAAGAAATCAAAGAAAGTGGGTATTGTGGTAGCCTGGGCTACACAGTGAGATTTTTGACTCAAAAACAAAAAGCTGTTTAGGGATTCCTGTCCATATTGTACCCAAACAACACCATCTCTTTGGGGTACGGCAGGTAAACAGTACAATCCCAGGCATAAATTTTTTCCAAAGCAGTTGCTTATTTTCCAGTTTGATCTTGAAATTGTTATCCACTGTCTCCATCTCCCAAATTGTTTGGAATATAAAGATGCTAACATGCCTGGATAAATCTAAAAAGCACATATGTGTCTATAGGGGAAGGGCATGAATGTACATGAGTTGATTTACTCGAACCTTTTGGCTTTTTGAGACAGGGTTTCTTCGTGTAACAGCCCTAGTTGTTCTGGAACTTGTTCCGTAGACCAGGCTGGCCTGAAACTCATAGAGATCCAATGGCCTCTCTCTCCCAAGTGCTGAGATCAAAGGCGTGAGCCACCATCACCCAGGGCTCCACCTTATTTCTGAGGCAGTCTCTTACTCAAGCTGGAATGCCGATTGGGCTGAAATGGCTGCTCATCGAGGATCCTGTCTCCGACTCCCCACACGCTGACACCCTTGGCTCCAACATGCAGCTCATGCTTGCACAGTGAGCCTGTCCCCATCTCTCACTACCCCATCCCTCCAGCCCTCGACGTCCACACCACACTTGTACTTTATCAGCAATAGAATACTCTGGAAAGACAGCGTGTATAGACACAGGAACAGACAGTTTTCTTCAACAATATGAAAACCATGCTACTTTGGAAGGATGGTTCCCCTTCCTGAAATATTACCCATTTATCCCCGATAGTGTTATGGAAAGAATCTTTCACAGAAGCGTACCCACACTTCACAAAACAAAGAATTTAGTATTTTAATCCTGGATTTTCTCTTGGTTAAATTAATAATACAATTTTTGTCTTTTTTTTTGGGGGGGGGGTTTGAAGTCTACAGTCTCTAGAATGAGGAAAATATAAGTCATTCTTTATATACTGTAAATCAAACTGTGTGGGGAACCAACACAAAACTTAAACTAATGTATAGTGAGCTAAAATAACCAGAAAGAGAGAAACTAGAAAATAAAAATATGGAGCGTAGGTTGGAAATGCACAAAAAGAGAACACACAGAGGAGGATGGAGGCTTGTCTCTAAGTACCCAGAGAGCTTTCACACGGAATGTGGAATTAGGTTCACAGGAAAGGACTGTGATGCTAAAGGGTTAGTATGCACACATTGAAGGACTCTTAGAGCTCTTATGAAAGGCAAAAGAAAATATCTTACAAATGGGCTAACACTTGTTAGCTAGGAATGCTACAGAGGACTAAATATTTACCCTTCACACATGAGATTTTAATTTAATGAGTTTGTATTTTTTATTTTTTTTGGTAGACTATTTTATTTATTATTATTATTTCTATTTTTATTAATTTATTTAATTTTATTTTATATAACAAAGTCCAATTAAATGAAAACAAACATTTATACACAATATTTGGGAATTTGGGCGTCATTCTTTCCAAACTACTTCCTGCTGGTAAGGGGCGCTGTCATGGGGGATTCAAAGAAGATTCAGAAATCCTGGCTGTAGTCTGTAAGGCTGCTTTGTCCAGTTGTTTTGAATGTAGGATCACCTTATACTCTGTTTCAATTTTTGTCTTTTTTTGTGTGTGTTTTCTTTTTCTGTTTTTCGTTTTTGAGATGGTCCTGCTATGTAGCTCTGGCTAGTCTGAAACTCACTTTGGAGCACAGGCTGACGTCAAACTCACAATGGCCTAACTGTTTTAACATCCCAACAACTTTTACAAACTAATCTGAATTACATCTTCTAAAATTAGATTTTCCTCGCTATCAGGAAACACTCACCAGCACAGAACAAGATTAGATTATAGTGTCCCTTTAAAATCCCCAAATGTGGGCCCTGAGATGGCTTACGTTTTCATTTCTCCTAAGAAGGTCATCGTCACTGTAGAGTGGCAGGCTCGTCACCATCCACCCAGTACACAGCTTAATCACTCCCATTAATTGTGGGCTTCCTGCAAACACAGCTGCAACTGGAGCCTGCCTCCTGTAAAGAACCAAAAGACCGTATGAGAGCGCAAATACACTAGATCATTCATTTATATGAACTCTCAAATGCCACTGCCTGCGATAGATGGCACTTAGATTTCAAAGTCAATGCAGCTCATTTCACTTACATACTCATTAAAAAGCAGGCTACAAGCCGGGCGATGGTGGTGCACCCCTTTAATCCCAGCACTTGGGAGGCAGAGGCAAGCAGATTCTGTGAGTTCAAGGCCAGCATGGTCTACAGAGCTACACAGAGAAACCCTATCTTGAAGCAAGGGGAAAAAAAAGCAGGCTAGACTGAACATCCACTGTATGTTAGGAGCTGTTTTAAGTACCAGAGATGCAGAAATTCTTTTAAACAAAAGGAATGGGGATAAGAAACAAGAATATGGGCTGGAGAGATGGCTCAGCTGTTAAAGGCGAGGCTCACAACCACAAATGTACTACACCAGAGAGGGTTGCTAGTCCTCACACCCATGTTCTGAAAACACTAACCCACGTGACTCAAACCCATCCATACCCATTCACCCCCTGCTCCTGTCTCCTGAGAGCAGTGTAGACCTCTCCACGTTAAGTCCACTTCAGTCTCATATGCCACTTACAGGGTGGGAAACCAACCACCAAGTGTCTTCCATCCTCCTCATTTCCACAGCACTAGGTTGAAACATCAAACCTCTGTGTATGACTGATCAAAATGTACTCGATCCGACTGGAGAAAGGCCCAGCAGGTAAAGATGCTTGCTGCCAAACCTGACAGCATGAACTTAATTCCAGGACGATATAGTGGAAATAACTTGTTCTGACTTTTACATATATCACAGTACATGCATGCTGTGGTAGTTTGAATATAATTGGCCCTATTTGGAGGTGTGGCTTTGCTAGAGAAGTGTGTTACTGTGGGGACAGGCTTTGAGGGCTTATATATGCTCAAGCTATGGCCCAGTGAGACAGACCACTTCCTGTTGCCTGTTGATAAAGATGAAGCTAGCACTATGTCTACCTGCACGGCCCATGCTCCCCGGCATAATAATGAACTGAACTTCTAAAACTGCAAGTGAACCACCTGAATTAAATGTTTTACTCATGAGAGTTGCCACAGCAATGGTGTCTTTTTGACTGCAACAGAAATCCTAAGACATAGGTACAGGCACATATATGTTTTAACTCTGAGCTGCACCTCCAGCCAGCCAAACTTAATTATCTATTCACTCCAAGTATGCAGAACTCAGAATCTGGCTACTATATACCATGGATAGAGCTAAGCTCCAGAAGAATAGGAACAACATCTGGCCAATGGGAGACTCTAGAGTAAGGAAACAGACATAGGCCAAAACAATTACACTCAGATAAATATCCAATCATATGACATCCAAGTGCTCAGGCCTTTTCCATGTCGTCTCCAACCCCTCACTGCCCACCACCCCAGACAGGGTTTCTCTGTGCAGTCCTGGCTGTGCTAGAACTCACTGTGTACACCAGCCTGGGCACAAACTCAGAGATCTTCCTGCCTCTGCCTCCCAGTGCCGACCTTAAAGGTGTGCACCACCACTTGGCCTCTTCCAGGACATGCTAAAAGTATTTCACCCCCTTTTTTGTGTGTTTTGTTTCTTTACGTATCTTTAACAACTTCCAACAGTTATTTGGAGTAGACTGATCACAAAAATGGCTGTAGTAATTCTTCTCTCTTAGCCATAGTTATGGAGGGAAATGCTAATCCTAGCCATGTGATTTTCTGGATCAATGAGACAATAGCTGAGTGGGGGGGCTAGTTCCATGTCAACTTGATACAAGTTAGAAAAATATCTGAGAGGAGAGACTATTAACTGAAAATGTCTCCGTACAATTGGCATGTCTGTGGTGTATTTCCTTGATTCATAATTGATGTGGGTAGACCCAGTTCCCTGGGGGGGGGGGGTGCCACCCTTGTGATGGTGGACTTGGGGCAATCAATGGTGGCACAGACCTTCAAACTCAGCACTCAAGAGAGCAAGTTCCAGGATAGAAACGCTGTCTCTATAAAAAAAACAAAACAAAAAACAAAACAAAACAAAAAAACAAAAAAAAAAAAAAAAAAAAAAAAAAAAGGAAGGAAGGGGGAGGAAAGACAGAAGGAAGGAAGGAATGAAGGGAGGTAGGGAGGAAGGGAGGGAAGAAAGGAGGGAGGAAGGGAGGGAAGAAAAGAGGAAGGGATGGAGGGATGGAGGGATGGAGGGAGGGAGGGAGGAAGGGAGGGAGGGAGGGAGGGAGGAAGGAGAGAAAAGCAGGCTGGACAAGCCATGAAGAACAAGCCAGCAAGCAGCATGGCCTCTGCACCAGCTCCTATCTGCAGACCCCTGTCCTGATGTCCTTCACTGAAGGACTGTGATAGAAGGAAAAGTGAAATTAACCGTTTCCTCTGCAAGCTGCTTTTGGTCAAGGTGTTTTATCACCACACAATATTATAACAGTGTGCTTTACCCTGAACCAAGTCCACACTGTTTACCTTGCGAATTCCAGAGCTACTACCTCATAAACAGGTGCACATACCACAGGACCACAGGCCAAGTTAATCTCATCTCAGGTGACGACTAGTCAAACACAGACAGGCAAAAGAGGCCATGTCAGACTACCGCCCCACTTGAGCTGGCCAAAGCCAGAAAAATGTTCCCCACCATGTTACCATTTGCTGTCCCTCAAAAATGTGCAAAACACTAACTACTGATTGCTTACAATTCAATAAAGTTTATGACCGTTTGTTACATGCCAAAAAGGAAAGAACAGAAATTACCAGACATTGCTAAAGTCAATTCTATTATTTATCACAAATAATAGCTGGTATTTGCTATGCTGAATTGTTTTCTCATTTGTTATTTCAGAGTTTCATAAAACTATTTATGGAATTCTGTATAACCTGAGTTGAGAAAGAACCAATTCAGGGCTACTTTTTATGAACACTTCAATATGTCAGGTTTCCTGAATCATACAAGTATAATGTCAAACTCCAACCCCATGTGAACTTTGATACCTTACTATACATACACTCAGAGAGGAGTTTGACTTTTCATTGTTGTGGTTGTGTCCAACTAACAGAGGAACATGGCTATTTTGGGTAATTTGTTATTTGAATTTTCCCTGACAATACAGCCTTTTCTGAATCCTGAAGTTATCCACCTTCAGCCCACAAGTAAGTAAAGGATATCTGTCCCTGTATGTCCATCGACATTTCTGCTGTGTGCAAAGGAGGGCCTCCGAACCTCCAATTTAATACTTACCAATGTTGTGCCAACATTTACAAATGAATGTGGAGCACAATTCATTTATCATTGTCCCTTGATTCACGAGACAGCAGACAATAACTAGTTAATGACACTTAACAACAGTCTTGGGAAATTTGGTCCTTACTTTATCCAGGTCATAAGTTCCACTGTGTCTGGATCATAGAATTCCTGTAGTTCTGTTAATTCTGTAATTAATCTTGGAAAAAACTAAAACACAAAACAAAATACCCAGAGGTGTAAGTAACTGGAAGTCTAAAATTGTTTCAGAGTATTCCAAAGACTAACTTTAAGCACTGTCGACCTAGCAAAACTGGCAGGTCTCTGCCATCTTCACTGACTGAATCATTCTTTTCATCCTAAATAATTATGATTTTATAGTTTACTCACTGCTTGGAGTCAGTAACTAATGTTATCTCTAAACAATCATCAGTTATATCATTTACACATGGACATTTAATGGTATTGCATAGACACATTAAATAACAAATTACAGTTTTATTGGCAGTTAGTTTCCTGTTATATTAAGCCAAAAACTTTATTTCATTTCATGGATGTTAGAATTGAAATTACCAAAATATATTTAAATATTAAGACATCCTTATTATTCAACAATTCTGTCAATTATGAAAAGAATTGACAATGGCATTAAAGAAAACTGCATTAGATGGCATTCTAAGAATGTCTTAGGCTGGATCCATGTGTAATCCAAGCACAAGCAAATAAAGACATAAAATGTTTGAGGAGCAGAAATCAGTAGTGCATGTCTTTAACCCCAGCACCTGGGAGGCAGAGGCAGGCAGATCTCTATGAGCCAGAGGCCAACCTTCAACCTTATCTATGTAATGGATTCCACAACAGTCAGGGCTACACAGTGAAAACCTGCCTCAAAAAAAGAAAAAAGAAAAAGGAAGGAAGGGAGACAAAGAAAATTTGTTTGGGCTCCTTTGTTAGGTTTCAAATGGGGGAAAAGAAGACAAAAGGAGGGGCTGGAAAGGTGGCTCAGTGGTAAAGAGCACTGGCAGCTCTTCCAGAGGACCTGGGTTCAATTCCCAGCACCCACATGGCAGCTCATGGCTGTCTGTAACTCCATTTCCAGGGGAGTCTGACATCTTCACACCAATGTGCACAAAATAAAGTTAATGAATTATTAAAAAAAAAAAAAAAAAGAAGACAAAAGGAAGCAACATTAACAATATCAGCACTCAGGAGGCAGAGGCAGGCGATCTCTGTGAGTTCCAGTATATCCAGGGTTACACAGATAAACCCTGTTTAGAAAAACCAAAATAAATAAATGAGCAAGCTTTGTTAGTGCAGTGTCGTGATAGAAGCTTCCTACACACACACACACACACACACACACCACTTCATAAGTACATTTTCACATTTTCATAATATAAAAATTCAGTTTTCTTACCTCTTTCCACAAGCTTAGACCTATAATAGTGGGCACAGCCATGCTAAGAATGAGAGCCTAAAAGAGTAAAGCAAAAAGGGTTCTGGATAAGCATTTTAGAATACATGTTATAGGAATTCACATTTATTATGACCAAATGAATACCCTTATAGTTGAAAATTCAATCGGACAGACTGACATCAGTATGAACCTGGTCCAAAGTGAGGCGAGTAAATGTGCTTCAAACACAGTGAAGTGTTGTAAAAATATTTGCTATAGTCAGGCGATGATGGTGCTCACCTTTGATCCCAGCACTCGGGAGGCAGAGGCAGGCGGATCTCTGTGAGTTTAACGTAAGTCTGATCTACAGAGCGAGTTCCGGGACAGGCTCCAAAGCTACAGAGAAACCCGGTATGTATGTATGTGTGTATGTATGTATGTATGTATGTGTATGTATATATATATATATCCATCAAAAGAGGGGGGAAGCATGGTGACACATGCCTTTAATGCCAGCACCTGGGAGGCAGAGGTAGAAGGATCTGCATTCTAGGCCATCTGGTCTACAGAACTAGCTGCAGTCCAACCAGGGCTACATAGTGAGATTCTGTCTAAAACAAAAGCAAAATTAATGCTGTGCTAGAGATGGCTCAACAGTTACAGAGTGCTTACTGCTCTTGCAGAGACCAGGGGTCAGTCCCCAGCAACAGCACATGGCTCACAGCAGACTGTAACATCCTCTCCTAATGTCCACAGGCTCATGCACACATGCGGTGCACATACATGCATTAAAGCACATACATATACACATAAATCAGTTTTCAGGAAATGGTGGTGCATGTCTTTAATCTCAGCACTCAGCAGCCAGAGGCAGGGGAATCTATGGAAGTTCAAGGCCAATCTGGTCTACACAGAGAAATTCTGTCTGTAAATAAATAATTTAAAAAATATTTTAAAAAGTTAATGCTTCATTGATCTGAACTTCTGGTTGCCTGTAATCCTAAAACTGAGATAGCCAGGAAGACTATGGATTTGAGATCAATCTGAGAGATTCTGTCTCATGGAATACTAGAAAACATACTTCCATAGTAATCTTCCAAATAACAAACATGTGAAACTGTTAAAGATTTATTTTCCTTTTGACTTATGTAGGAGTGTGTATCTCTCTGTAAGGATGTACATGTTGAATGTTGGTGTGAGATAGGTGGAAGGCACTGGCTCTCCAGGAGCTGGAGTTACAGATGTTTCTAAGTCAGCGGATAAAGGTGTTGGGAAGCTAACGTGGGTCCTCTGTAAGAGCAGTTAATCTCTCCAGCCCCAAGATGTGAAACTCCTGCCGCAGCTCTATGTTATAAAGAACATACAAGTAATTATGAATTTGCACTAAAAGCTAACAGCAAAAGGCATTGAAACCAAACAGGAAAAATAGCTAACATAGATCACCATACTGTGTTCTGCAACTAATTCTGCAACTAAGACCGGAAAAATATAAGAAGACCACTGTTAACCATAATTTATCATCTGCCCACACCTATCCTTCCTACTCTATGGTGGGGGTTTGTTCATTTATCATCATGGGGGTTTGTTCATTTATCATCGTTGTTGTTTGTCATTCTCTCATCCCCTTCAAATCCACTGGAAAGCATCAACAGTGCCTTCTCCCACGGCTACTATACTTCTGCCCAGATTCCCATACTTGGGGAAATTACAGGGGTTAGGACATCCAGATTCAATGTACGAGCATCACTCAGAGAAAACCATATCACCATGAAATTCCCCACCAGGTAGAACCCTTCCGTAACATTAGGCACTATTTCCCCCTTGGTGGAGATCCAACTGAACCCTCAGGAATGCTAGACAAGCATTCCACTGAGCCACACCCCATCCTCCATCCTTGATATGTTTTGTGTTGTAGACAGTATCTCACTGTGCAGCCAAGGCTGACCCCAAACTTGGAATCTCCCAGTCTCAACTACCCCTGTCTATCACACTGGACTCTAAAATTTTATTTATCTTTACTTTAAGAACATAGCAGAACAGTGTAAATATTCACATGGGAATCATGTGCATCAATCACACAGAAAATCTCTGCTCTTCAGAAGGCTAAGGCAGGAGGGTTACTACAATCCAGGGGTTGGAAACTGGCCTTAGAAACACAGTAAGAAATCTTTTTGAAATAAAGGCTACACTTCTTCTATGATCTTTGGGAGCACGTGAAGGGGCTGGTTCTGCAGCCCCAAAGCTACAGGATCCCCATAACACAGGGCAACAACAGGGTATCCAAGAGGCGTCCCAGTGAGGGCCCAGCATTGATAGTCTTGTAGAAGCAGACAAATAATTCTTTGCAACAGACATCTGCAAGTAAAGATACATGGCCAAAAGAGTTACTGCATGACTCACTATGCCACACGTCAGCTTCATTTTTTTTTCCTTTTCTTTTTTTTCTTAAAATTTATTTGGGTGGGGGGGGTTGGTTGCAAGGGCAGAGGGTGGATACAAAGGGATGGGGAAATGAATGGATGAATGAAATCAAGATGTATGATGTGAAAGGCACAGAGAATAAATTAAAAAGTTAAACATCTGTAAAAAAATGCTACAATGCTGTCTTAAACATTTAAAAATAAACAAATGATTCTTGACATCCTTAAGAGCAGTTGAGAAGAAGAAATTCTAATGGCATCTCATATTACTGATACATTTCATTTTTTGCCTTTTATTTTGAAAATGTACAGATTGAGATGCATTTGTTTAAGCAAAAACTTACAAGCTGAGAGTGGTGTTCATGGCTGTAATTCTACTTTTTGATGACTGAGTAAGAGTTTGAGGGTACCCTGAGCTATGGAGAAAGATCCTGTCTCAACAAAACTAAAAGCTGGGTGGGGGTGTGGTGGGGCATGCCTATAAGCCCAGCACATGGGAGATGGAAACAGGATCAGAAGTTCAAGGCCAGCCTGAGCTACATTCAACCCTATCTCAAAAACACGAGCAAACCAGTAAAACAATGAGCAGCAGATGAAGCTGTGGGCTTGGGCCCAAGCACTGCATGCTCTGGTCCTGGGAGACAGGGGCAACAAAATCAGGAGATCAAGATCATCCTTCACTACAAACAAGAACAGAAAACTTTTTAAAAATGTTTATCATAGAGAAGGGGATATGATCTCCTGAGCAAATTGGGAGCGCAGGGGCAGGGGTAAGGGAAGTAGGAGAGAAAGGAGGGAGAAGGGGGGCGGGGAGGAGATCGTGAGGGAACAGGAAGACTGAGTCAGGGGAAGAACAGAGGAGAACAAGAAAAGAGATACCATAATAGAGGGAGCCATTATAGGTTTTAAGGAAAATCTGGCACTGTGGAAATGTCCAGAGATCTACAAGAATGACCCCAACTAACAATCTAAGCATTAGCAGAGAGGCTGCCTTAAATGCCTTTTCCCTATAGGATTGATGACTACCTTATGTGCATTCCTAGAGCCTTCATCCAGAAACTGATGGAAGCAGAAGCCGACACCCACAGCTAAACACTGAGCCGAACTCCTGGAATCCAGTTGCAGAGACGGAGGAATGATGAGCAAAGAGGTCAAGACCAGGCTGGAAAAATCCACAGAAACAGCTGACCTGAACAAGGGGGAGCTCATGGACCCCAGTCTGATAGCTAGGAAACCAACATATGACTAAACCAGGCCCCCTGAACGTGGGTGTCAGTTAGGAAACCTGGGCAGTCTATGGGGCTTCTGGCAGTGGAATCAGTATTTATCCCTAGTGCAGGAATGGGCTTTGGGAGCCCATTCTCTAAGGAGGGATATTCTCTCAGCCTAGGTACATGGAGGAGAGAGTGTCTAGGCCCTGCCCCAAATGACTTGACAGATTTTGATAATCCCCCAAGGCAGGCCTCACCCTCCCTGGGGAGTGGAAGGGGGGGGATGGGGGTTGGTGAGGGGGCATAGGAGGACCAGAGGGAAAGGGAACTGTTTTTAATTTAAGTAAAAATGTATTTCAAAAAATGTTTACCGCAGCCAGGCAACTGTGATGCTCCCCTTTTATCCCTACACTCAGGAGGCAGAGGCAGGTGAATCTCTGAGCTCGAAGCCATCCTGGTCTACAGAGCAAGTTACAGAACAGGCAGGGCTACATAGACAAACCCTGTCTCAAAAAAACCAAAAATAAGTAAATTTTAAATGGTTACCACAGCCTGTTTTTCTACCTGTAACATTATTTTGGTTTTTCTAGGCAGGGTTTCTCTGCATACCCCTGGCTGACCTGGAACTTGCTCTGTAGATCAGGATGGCCTGGACCTCACAGCAATTTACCTGCCTAACTCCTGAGTGCTGGGATTAAAGGTGTGAGCCACCTCTACTCTACCTGACTATACCCAAAATTTGTTATATAATTTATTGAGGCTATTTCAACTGCCTTGGGCTTCATTTACTAGATTTTAATTTTTTATTGTGTGTGTGTATATGTGTGTGTGTGTGTGTGTGTGTGTGTTCGCGCGCACACACACACACCAATGCCCACGCATCTGTACATGTAGAGAAACTAATGGGTGTGGTTCTCTCCTTCCATCGTGTGGGTCCAGGGATTCAACTCAAACCGTCAGGCTTGGGGCAGGTGCCTTTACCACACTGAGCCATATTTGTGGCCCTAGCATTTTGTTTTATATAACTGGAAGATAAACAAGTATTAAACACAAAATGACAATGGCTCACCAACAATATTGGGTGTACGGTTCTTAAACGAAGCCACTTTAAAAGTGTCATCCAAAGTTCAGGGGAACATACACCAAATGCTGCTAACATGCACACGTAAGGAGTCCAAATGAATTTCAAGCTGAAAAACAAATGTCACATATCATATATCCTAAAACTATCATTATCTGATTTCTCCTTTCTAAATTCTGTTTAACTACCCAAAAATATTAATGGACAATGAAAAAACTTTACTTCTAATTTTCAGCAATTAATTAGTACCCAATTTGTTGTTGTTTGTTTTTGAGATAAGGTCTCATTGTGTAGACCAGGTTGGCACCGAACTCACAGATCCACATCTCTGCCTCCAAGTGCTGGGATTAAAGGTGTGCATCTCCATGTGAGACAGGGTGATCTACTCCAGTGGTCCAGGGTGTGCTGAGCTCACTAAGTAGGCTAGGCTGACATTTTCTAGAGTGAGTCTCCTGCCTCAGCCTTTTGAGTTTACAGGCATGAGCCACTGTGGCTGCTGTTCCTTTAGTCTTTGGGACAGGGTCTCCTCCACAGTCCCAGCTGCCTTCAAACTCAAGGTAATCATCCAGCTTCAGTGGTCTGAGAGCACGAGCTACCATACCTGACATTCCTTTTAATTCTTTTTTTTTTTTTTTTTTTTTTTTTTTTTTTTTTTAGGTAAGGATTCAAGTATCAAAAGCTAGCATAGAACTTGTGATGTGGCCAAGCCAAGGATGGCCTCGAACTCTTGAACTTCTGCAGTATTGTGATTACTCAAGTGAGTCTCCTTGCCCAGTTTTTAGTCCACGTTCATTTAAACAGAAAGAAGAGGCTGGGGTATAGCTCAGTGATAAGAGTATGTGTCTAGCATATATGAGGCCCTAATTTAATTCCCAACACAAAGGAGAAAAATTCAGAAAGGATGGAAGGAGAAAACAGGAAAGGGACAAACTGGACAAGGGAACATTTTGCTTTGAATTTCAATCTAATAATAAATTACCTCTCATCATATTTATTTTCATGCATCTTAATTTTTGAGAATAAATGTTAATCTTGCAAAAGAGAGCTCTGGCCTTTGCCCTCCACTCCTAGGATGTAAGCAGCTGCCCGACAAGAATGTCTTTGTGGAGATGGGATGAGTAGGCCAAGCCTATGCATTAAGCTAAGAGCATGATTTATTGTGGGCTCCTTGGGCCACAGAGTATCAGTTCAATCTCTGGGAGGCTTCAGAATCTGGCCAGCCACAAGTGGCCACCTTCACATGTGCCCAAGCACCAACGACAACTGAACACAGATGGGCTTGCCTGACCGACAGCTGTGTCTCCTGTGTATTACCATGTCTGCACTGTCCCTGAAAAGTAGGTACTGTCTGTGCATCTCCACAGCATGAAGACAACTAGTGTCCTATGCCTATGTCTCTCCTAGACCCTACTCTGTGTGTCGCTTTCTTCTGCTCATTATATGGCCTGTTTCACTGTAGTAAGTGGTAACCATGAATCCTAGTAACAGAAGCCATGCTGTGGGATAACCCTTCTGTACACTGTGAACATGTGTTATATCAATGGTTAATAAAGAAGCTGGTTGGCCTATAGCAAGGCAGGATAAAGTTAGGCAGGACAATCAAACCGAGAACACTGAGATGAAGAAAGGAGGAGCCAAGGAGTCAAGAGACACCGGCCAGCTGCCAAGGAAGCAGGGCATGTAGAAAATGAGGTAATAAGCAATGAGCCACGTGACAAAGCGTAAATAGAAATATGGGTTCATTTAAATGTAAGAGGTAAATAGTGACAAGCCTGAGCTATTGGCTGACAAGCCTCAGTGTGTTTATTTTCGAGCAGCTGTGGGACAGAAAAACTTCTATCTACAAACCCAGAAATGTTTTTGGGAACTTGCAAACCTGTAGTTAATTTCAAAAGTAGGGATGGCCTTAAGGACTCCTGAATACTGTACTTACCATCTTAAACTCTGAAAAAAGGCATCCCATCTTATCTGCTAAAACCGACTTACATATAAAAATGTAAAACCTCTGCTTGGGCTAGCAATGCTACAGTTTCCTTCCAGACTCGTTCTACAGCCAATTCACCCCAAATAAACATACAAACTCTGTATTAATTTATAAACTGTTGTCCGATGTCTTAGGCTTCTTATTGTCTAGTTCTGTCTTAATTACTAACTCATTTCTATTAATCTCCCTACTGCACGAGGCTGTGGCTTACCGTAATCCCAAATGTTACTCCTTGGGCAACATGGCATCTCTTCGCCTCCTCCCTCTCTCTGTTCACTCCTTCAACTTGTAAACCTATTTATCCTGCCTCTATTGGCCAAACAGTGTTTTACTCATCAACCAATAAAAGAATCATACATACAGAAGGACATCCCCCATCAGGCTAGGAGTATAGATCGGGGTACACTGTTTACCTAACATGTGCAAGGTCCTGGGTTCAGTCCCTAGCACTGCACAAAAAGGGGGAGCAGACTTTTGAGGCTCTCAAGTTCAAGACAAGACAAAACAAAATAGCAACAAAAACCGCTCAAGAAATACATATTCATAAAGTCTATTAATAAGTTGGTATGCTGGGACTTGGTGGTGCACACATTTAGTCCCAGCAGTAGATGCAGGCAGATCTCTGTGAGTTCGAGGCCAGCCTGGTCTATAGAGCTAGTTCCAGGACAGGCTCCAAAGAGAAACTTGTCTTGAAAAACAAAAAACAAAAAACACAAGCTGGTATGATTTTACATATAAGCAGCAATAAGGGAGGTTTGAAAACTAAAAACTCTTTTAAAAATTAGATATATATATATTTTTAGGGGTTTTGTTGTTGTTGCTGTTTCTGTTTTCTTACTGGGAAACGGAGTCTCACTATGTAGCCCTGGCTGGTCTAGAACTCGAAATGTAGATCTTGAGTTCACAGAAAGCAACCTGCCTTTGGCTTCCATAACTATGACATAACTTATCTGAATAGTAATAGTGTATGCTACATAACAGTGCTCTGATCAACAACAGACTGCTTATATGACAGTGGTCCCACAAGACGATTGCCTCGTAAAGTCATGGAGGTGTCAGTCTGAGTGGGCATACCTATGAAGTTCATACAGCACAACAGTGCACGTCTCACATACACTGCTGGGAAGTGACAACTGACGGCACGCAGGCACTTCCCCTATCAAATCTAAGGACATACAACAACAGAATAATTAGAAAGAAATGTGAACATTTGACTTGCCAATACTTCAGGGTATGGCAATAAAAGTCAGGGGGAAAAACCGAAAGGATCTCACCCCCACTTCACTCCCACCCAGCCAGCTCCAGTCTATGGTAAGGCCCCTCCCTGCAGGTCACCATCCTTCACCACCCTTCCAGGGTGGGCTGTGTGCCTTCCTATTACAAAGCTTGGCAGTGCGACTCCCTCTGACTGGAATAAGCTCCCCTGTTCTGTTCACAAGTTCATTTTTACCCACCATTCAGGCCTCCCTCAAGCATCTTTCCAAGTCATACCCTGACTTCAAGTTCTTCAGGACCATCTACCCTTCCTTCAACTATCAAGTTATAATTTTACTTTTGTATAATTAACATCTGTTGGCTCCACTATGCCAACAGTTACACAAAGTAGAAACCCTGTGTTCATGTTGTTTTACCACTGTACTTTGAGTATTTAGGACAATGCATAAATCTTAGAAGACAACAAAAAAAAAATGAATAAATATCAGTTTGCTATATCATAAAAATCTGCCAAATTTCTCTAAAAGTTTGTATTTTTGTTTTTTAATTGTTGTTGCTATTGTTGTTTTTTGAGACAGGGTTTCTCCCTGACTGTCCTGGAACTCACTATGTAGACCAGGCTGGCCTCAATCCCAAAGATCTGCCAGCCTCTACCTCCCAAGTGCCGACATTAAAGGCCACCACCTGGTGCCCTAAAAAGCTTATACTTTCTTACATAGTTTTACAAACTGTTTTAAATGTACTCATTAGCTATCCATAGAAAAGACAAGTTTTAGAACAACACACCGATCAAACAGATGCACTTACCCTTCCATGAGCATTGCAAGAGAACCCAATATAAGAGTATGAATTACATGATAAATTATTTCTGGCCTTTCTCCAATTCTTCCATCTTCAAGGGTTACAGTTTCTTTCTGGGATTTACCACTATGGAAAGGAAACATATTTTTAATAGTTTTGGAAAAACATACATGAAAAATCAAAGGCACATTATCATCTTTGAAGGCTATACATAAATCTGAATTTCTCCTTTTCTAAGATCTATTATGCCTGAACTAGCAATGAGAACCAATACATTTAAACTTCAAAGTTAAGCTGTACCAACCATCTTCCTCTTTCTGTTTCTGTTGTTATTTAGACATAGGGCTTCACCACTAGCTCAGGCTGACCTAGAACACATTATGTAAGTAAGCTTGTGTCTACTCCAGGCAATCATTTTGCTTTAGGATACATAGAGTTGAGATTACAACCATGAGCTGTCATAACTGGCTTCAAGATACTTTTCTCTCTTACTTCAGTGCTAGGGGGTCACCAAGTACAGGTATTTATACATTAAATAAGTACTGTATGTACTGTCAGCCTGTAAGGAGACTGTGAAGTAGGTTTTTTTTTTTTTTTTTGCTAGTGGTTCTTATGCATTCAGTTTTAGTTTCTGCAATGGGGTCTCATGTAGCCTGACTACTCTGAACTTGATATACAGGCAAGGTTGGCCTTGAACTCAAGATCCTGCCTTCACCTTTCAAATGCTGGAATTACAAGCATACTACAAATACCCAGAACTACCTTTCTAGAATGCTAAATATATTAAAAACTATATTTATAGTGATTTTTTTTTTTTTTTTTTTTGCTTTTTTCTTTTATTTTGAGACAGATTAACAGTATGTAGTCTAGGCTGTCCTTGAACTCACAATTCAACTCAGCCTCCAGAGTGCTTGGATTATAAGCATGCCCCATCATATTCAGAAAAACTGACAGTAATTTCAATGTGGTTTGTACTGTAATATATTTTGTACTGTAACACTAACACACACACACACACACCAATCCCCAAAGATAGTTTTCCTGTATAGTCCTGGCTATCCTGGAACTTGCTTGGTAGATGCCCTTTCTGTGTGATATGAATGTGTTTCTCTCATTGGTCCATGAATAAAGCTGTTTTGGCCAATGGACAGGCAGGATGTAGCCAGGCAGGAAGTACAGGCGGGGCTACTAGACTAGGAGAATGCTGGGAAGAGGGTTGCAGAGAGTGAGCTGCCGAGGAGACACCATGTATCTACCAGGAAGGCAGGACGTTCAGGCATTCGCTGGTAAGCCAGGACCACATGGAGATAGAAATGGGTTAATAATTAAGAGAGAGCTAGTAAATAAGAAGCCTGCACCATTGGCCAAGTAATTTACAATTAATATAAGCCTCTGTGTTTTTATTTGGGACTAAATGGCTGTGGGACCCGGTGGGAGAGAGACTTCCGTTAACACAAAATCATAGACCAGCCTGCCTTAGCCTCCCAAGTGCTAGGATTTAAAGGCATGCACCATCATGCCAAGCCAAATACATTATTTCTAATTAAGTAAAAATTTTAGTATATTAGTAAATAAGTCTTCCAAACTTACAAAACTTAACCTATTACTTACCTGTCCATATATCAAAGCTGGATTCTAAATATCCATATATATAAAGCTCACATCAGCTTTCCTGATTCATTTACAATGACCAATGAAAAGAGTGGAATTGGAGGCTCTAAACAGGCAGTACTGAAAAGATGTGAGGCGGCATACACCTGTAGGCTTACATGATTTGGAGGCTGAATCAGAAGGATATGAGTTCTGGGTGATTTGGGGCATCGAAGTAAAACCCTTCTCTCGGCCTCCTTTCCCCCTTAGAACTGAACCCTGTGCAGGCACTTAAAGTGTCCTACCATGGCACTACAACCCTCCTCCCATACCAGGTCTCTAAAAAAATACCAGGATCTGAGTATAACTTAGAGACAGAGCATATACTCAACATGCATAAGGTCCTGGGTTATTCAACCCCAGCACCAGACAATACATGCACACACCCTCATGCACTACTTAAAATATTTTATATCTTTAAAATACATTAGCAATATAACTGGTTATCATAAACACTTACTTCATTCTCCTAAAAATAACTTGTGTCATAGAAAGAAGACAAATGCTTAACACTAAAATATAGAATGGCAATAGGGAAGATTGTGTCAGTCGTAAAAAGAAATCCTGAGATGGTGCCTGAAGAGATTCTTGACAGAGCAGCCAGTTCAGGGTGAAACTCCTACAAGAGACAAAAGGTATCCTGTTAAAATCCCATGCACTTTAAACCAATCTCAGTAAAAATGAAGATAAAACACATTTTCTAAATCCCAGGCAGAGGCAGGTGGATCTCTGTGGGTTTGAGGCCAGCCTGGTCTACAAAAAGCGAGTTCCAAGATAGCCAAGGTACACAGAGACTCCCAGTCTCAAACAAACCACTGTCTCACCAGCCCTCAACCTTACAAGACTGTAGCATGAGCTCAGGGGTAGGGGGAAAAAGACGTCCTTATGGAGGGAGGGCTATCCCAGCTTCCACCGTCTATGCACCAGGAGTACAGTCTCAAGGACCCTTTATCATAGTGAATAAATATAAACATCAAACATTCCACTTGCTAACTGTGTTGTACCATAGTGAGAAATTCAATCTATAAGCCTATATAATCACACAAGTGAGAAAAAGGTTCCAACCTTTCTTGGAACCTGAGACATGTGTAAGCAAATATAATCAGCTATACAGACAGTATCAGTACATAGTCATTTCTTTCATTTTGTTTCATAAAACAAAGCAAAGAGTAATTCAACAACTAGAAACACAACATTACTTAAAATTAAAAACAACAATAATAAAACCTAGCCAGCTTTTGGTCTAATTCTAAAACAATGACTGTTTTAGGAAACAAATAGCCTGTCTGTCTTGCCCTTTCCATTTCCTCATTTGGCAGTTTTAGAGATCCAATGCAGGGCCTCTCACATGCAGGCAAATGCTTCATTACTAAGCTGCGTTTCAAGCCTGCTACTGAGCTTTTTAAAGTGCTGGCACAGTGGTTACTGGCTATTTTATTTATTTTTCTGCAGTGTTGGTGATCAAACCCAGGGCTGTGTACCTGCTGGGCCCGCACTCAGCCCCTCAGCTACATCTCCAGCATGATTTTAAGCCTCCAGTTATTCTAACTGCACCAAAGGTCAGACATAAAATACTTTGAGGGAGCTGGAGAGATGTCTTGGTGGGTCCACACACTTCAGGCTCTTGCAGAGAACCTAAGTTCAGTCTCAGGTCCCACCTCAGGTGGAGCTGACTCTCAAAACCACCTGTAAGTCTAGCTCCAGAGAGTCTGGTCCCATCATTCACCTGTATGTACATGCCAGCACACATATGCATACAAATAAAAATGGTGGTGCACACCTTAATCCCGCATGGGGGCCAGAGGCAGGCAGATCACTGAGTTCAAGGCTATCCGGTCTACAAAGTGACACAGAAACCATCTCAAAAAACCAAAACCAAACAAACAAGCAAATATAAAAGATGAGTTTCTTTAAAAAATAGTGAGGTCAGTGAGATGACTCACAGGTGAAAGCACTTTCTTTGTTTGGACCCCCGGGGCCCATGGTAGAAGAAAAGAACTAACTCCTGAAGTGTACCCTCTGATCCTTACATGTGTACTGTAGCAAACACTTGCTTACTCACACATATATAACATATGCACACACAACCACAAATAAATAAATAAAAATACTATAATGCTGCTAAAAGTTTAAGTAAATCTACTTTTTAGGAGACTAGAAATTTATTTACTTATGCTGTTGAGGTATTCAACCCATAGTCCCAAGCATGCTAACTATGTGTTTTCTTTGCAGTGCTGGGTATAGAACTGGGGGTCCCATGCATACTAAGCAAACACTCTACTAACTCCCCGACCCCAACTCCAAATATCAATGGCATGTCTCTTCGACAGGGCCAGGACTATAGCCTATATGTAAGATACTGCTTATAAAGTTCTCAATCGCCCTGGAGACAATTCTCAATACCACAAAACCAAAACCACAAAGTAATCTATATAATATACAAAACTATTTTCTAAGTGACATATAAGACATTCCTTCCATCAAGTGTTCTTTTTATTTTCTGGGAGCTATAGAATAGGTGAATGTGAAACTTACTTAGTCACATTTAGTCCAAATTTTACTTCCAGAAACTTCAGCACGTGTTCATTTTCTTTGTGTGGGACAAATGTCTAGAAGAAAGAGAGTGAGACAAACAGGCACCATGGCCAACTTATGAGGTGTCATTCTCACAGAAGAGAAAGCAGCTAAACAAAGAACACTCCCTACGCCTCATGCCTATGATTTTGCTGTTTTCATTTTTTATTTATTTTTAATGTGTAGGTCCCATTTTATTTGCCATGGTATTTTTCCTTCTGTCTTCATGAAGCCATCTCTTTACATGGGCTTTGGTGGAGGTCGTGGCATAGCACCAGCAGGTCTAAATCACAGAAGCTGGGGGGGGGGGGGATTTCAGTTACTGACTACTTTGCTATGAATAGCACAGCTCACACAGTAATGTACCTTGACATGACATAGAGTATGAGAAGCACATGAGCTTCGAAGACACTTGCTTCAGATATGTTCCTGACAGCAGCGGCCTCTACAAAGTTCCCAATGACAAACTTAATGGCCTTGTCCTTGGGCACACACCAGGGGCAGTCAGTGCATCCAATTAGCCACACATGCTCACTGCCCTTTTTGGCATGCCCTTTTTTTTTTTTTTTTTTTTTTCTCATCTTGGAGCCAAGACCGAAAGAGCTGTTTTTGTTTTTTGAGACAGGGTTTCTCTGAATAACTCTGGCTGTCCTAAAACCCACTTTGTAGTCCAGGCTGGCCTCAAATTCACAGAGATTCACCTGCTTCTGCCTCCTCGGTGCTGGGAGGTATGTGCCACTACCACCCAGCTCTGTCTATGCTTTTTAACCATATATGTATTTCTAATTAGAAAACACAGCCAGATTATAACCAGAGAATTAGGCCGGACTGTGGTGGTACACACCTTTAATCCCAGCATTTGGGAGGCAGAGGCAGGTTAATTTATGTGAGTTCGAGACCAGCCTGATCTACAGAGTGAGTTCCAGGACAGCCAGGGCTACACAGAGAAATCATGTCTCAAAAAAACCAAAATAAAATCATTGAATTAAATAACACATGGTGTGACTATGAACACATTTACTGTATGCTTAGGCATTTTGAGAGTATGAAAATTTCAACCTAAGAGAGCTGATTTAAACAATCCCCGCTCCTGAAGAAATTGTTGTGTTTATCTTTATTTTATGTGCACTGGTGTTTTGTCATGGGTGTTAGGTTCCCTGGAATGGAATTAGAGGCAGCTGTGAGCTGCCATGTGTTTGCTGGGAACTGAACCCAGATCCTTTGGGAGAGCAGTCAGTGCTCTTAACCACTGGGTCACTCTCTAGCCCCCTTGTTTAGTTTTTGACATAGACTGATGTAGAGAACATTAGCCTCAAACTCACTGTGTCACTGAAGTTAATTTTGTATGTACTCTATCCCTTTGTTAAGTCATCATTCTCATTAGAGCTGGCATAGTATATTTCTCTCCTGAAAATGATCTAGATATAAATCTCGGAGTTACTTACCTTCATTATCAAATTCAAGGTCAGTGGCAGAGCACATACCAAGTAAAACTTAAACACTTTCATTACTTTAGCCACAAAGGTTCCTTTTTTCCCATTCAGCTACAAAGGAAAAAACAAAACTCCATGAATAAAGGAGTGAGTTGTAAGAATTAACAACTTACAATCATAAGACTTCCTTTTAAAACAGCAATGTTAATTACCTGAAGGCACTTAATAAGCATCAATGCGCCTACTAAACTTAATAAAGGAGACACCAATAAAGCTGGATTCTCAAATTGTAGTAAATACCCAAAGAAGAGAGAAAATATGTACATCTTGTATACTTCATAAACCTGTTGGAACAAAAACAGATGAGACTAAAATGAATGCTAAAACTAGTAATTAGTAATCAGAAGCAAATGGTCTGCTATAATTTAGCAGAGTGTTAGGAAATGTTCAATCTTATTTTTAGCATTACAGTCTATAATAAATTTACCATTTTCTTCTTAGCATTCTATAGAAACAAAGTGAAGAGCTCCAAAATCATAAGTGAAAGCTAAAGAACCTTGTTTAATGCCAAGCTTTAATTTCGGTGACCTCTGTTTTCAACTCAGTTTTATGTAGGTATGATACAGCACTGTCAGCAAACCCAGCCTTGGACGCTGGCACGGGGTTGTCAATAAAGATGAGCTTGGACTACATGGCAAGAGCTTGTCTCAGCCAGGCGGTGGTGGCACACGCCTTTAATCCCAGCACTCAGGAGGCAAGGGCAGGCTGATCTATGTGAGTTCAAGGCCATCCTGGTCTACAGAGAGCTCCAGGTCAACCCAGAGGAAAAGGAATCAAAACAAAACTAAAAAACAAAAAAATAAGAAAGAAAGATAACTTAAAATATAAATAAATAACCCTGAAAAGAAAGATTTCACTGTAACAAGTCATGATATCCCTGGAGAATGTTGAGCATGCCTGGGAGAGAGTGTAAGAGTCTTCCGTTGTTGGCAATGTTCAGTTCCTGCCTTGGCTAATTCCATACAAGTGTGTGCAGTTACAGAGAACTCTGAGCTCCCCAGCCAACTTCTCCTGTGCACACTTCTCTTTTCTAGCTGATGTTCTGGCAACAGGAAAGCTTCAGCGAGAGCGCAAAGCTGGAGGAGGAGGATGTTCACCCAAAAGCCTCAGTTCTTGGTCCCAACAGAACAGTTCCTCCTGTTGAAGCTCAGCATGCAGGTGTGAGTTTCCACACCTGATGATACAGCTCCATCCCTTCTGCTTCCAGCCGTTGCTACTTCCCCAATACTTGCAGGCGCCTATGGTCATCACCCTTTCAATTGACCACTTAGTAAGATAGCAAGTTTGTTCTTGATTAACCACCATTTTAGAGAGTCCTTAAGTTCTGAGGGGTTTGGTGTTACAACTAAACTGCAGGCATGTTCAACAGGTGCTCTGCCAATGAACTAGCTGCAGTCTTAGTTACTGAATCTGTACATTATGTCATCACTGTTCAAATAATTTAAATCTTTATGTTAATCAGAGTTCTGAACAGCTGAGAATAAGGGATGGAGATGTAGGAAAAGATTTTGAGACAGTGCCGTAAGAACATTAGCCTTTGCATTTAAAATCTTTATTTCAAAATGCCATACTACCTTGTCACCTTGTTCCTCTGAGAAGACGTCCAGCAGCAGCAGAGAGACTGCTTGAAGAAACAAGACATAGTGGCTGTACTCCCACACCATCATGAAAGTATACGTCGAGGCGCTCATCAGCAGGTAGCAAAACCTCTAGAGAAAAACGTCAACTAAGATCAGTAGCTTTACTACTGTAAAACCCAAGGAGCTAAGGCACTTGAAGCTATTTTTACACTCACAGAACCAGTCAAGTGTGGTGGTGCATGTCTTAATCCCAGAACTTGGGAAGTAGAGGCAGGTGACTATGTATGCGTTCAAGACCAGCCTGGTCTACATAGTAAGTTCCAGGACATAGCCAGGTCTATGTAGAGAGGCCCTATCTCAAAAAAACCAAAACAAAACCAACAAATAACCCAATAGGATCGTAACAACACAGAGAAAGGTATCAGCACCTGTCCTACACATTACAAAGGGGTAGGACAAAAAGGGGTGGAGTTCCAGGTACAATTTTTTTTTTCATGACAGAGAAGCAAAACTAAAAGAAATTAGTGAGTGTGTAATAACCTTTTGTTAACATGGAAGCTCTTTCTGTCCTAAAATAATATTTTCATTTCTGTGCATGATGATTTTATTTTCCTAAAGACTATCAGGAGCAGGGGATGCCTAGCCAAGGCTCTACTTCTCCCCAGGTTTGGCCCGTCTTCATCATCTTTAGGGGCTGCACTCATCAACCGTGCAGACTGGATGCTACTTCTCTTTACTTCATACTAAAAAAAGAGCTGTGCCTGGGGGGTGCACTTCCCTATCTCAGCTCTCATAGTAGAGCAAGAGGACCCAAGGCTAGCCTGAGCTATGTCTTTGACAACATTCTGTTCCTTCCTCCTTTTGATGGGGACAAGCACCTGACCACAGCAGACTTTACTGCTGAGCTGTTATACCCTGAAGTTTCACTTTCATGTAAAACAACATGAGCACATTTCAGCTCTGTAAGAGCTATTTCCCATAGTTCAATGCTTCTTCTGGTGCTAGGGATCACACACAAGGCCTCAGCCCTGCAAGTATTCTACCATGGAGCTATGTCTGCAGCACAGGTCCTTACATTTTAAACAAGAGTTCTTCGTGGAGAAAAATGAACTGTCAAAGCTGCTTTAATGGTATCTGTTTTGAACTAAAACAAACTCTAGCCTTAAAAAATTAATAATGTTTTTAGTAAAATCTGATTAATATTTTTTATTATTGTGTATGATTTGGGGGGCACACATGTGTAGATCAAGGGACAACTTTGTGGTATCTGTTCTTTCTCTATTTATTGGGTCCTGAGTATCCAACTCGAGTTGTTAGGCTTGCAGAGCCTAAGCAGAGCCATGCTACAGACAGGCGGGCCATGACCTTAGGTGCAGCTCCAAGTGTCTGTGAGCTGGCAGTAAAGAGTGCATCTACATGTCCCTCTGTCCTTACTCTTAGGGGCGTTTTACCTTTGTTACTCTCCTTCTGTATATCTTACTTTCACTGCTTCCAGTATCTGCCTGGTGGAGGCTGCCTGACTTCAGGCCCCAAGGTCTCACTCATTCTCTCCTCCTCCTTCTCTGGTTCCTTTCTCCAATCTATTCTCTCTACCCAGCAAGGTGAAACAAATGTAACACATCTTTACATAATTAAACAAACATCCTTACATCATTAAACAAACGCAGCATAAACAAATGTAACACATACCCTTGCCCACTTAAAATAATATTCCACAACACCTATCTTTGCAAATGGATCTACAGCAAAAACAAGATTATCTTTCAGTTTCCTAATGTTTTTACTTCTTAATAATGTAAAGTACAAATGGAGATTTAAAATGGAGGAAGGAATCATCTTTGTTTGGTCTCTCTGGTCTCTTCCTAGCCACCTTTTTTTTTTTTTTTTTAACCTAAGACAGGCAGGCAAACTGCCAAAGGGCTGATACATTCCAGTCAACTTCAAGATAATTACCTGTCTCTGCAGACACATGTCCCACTAAAGTTATTCTGTAGCACAGTCTCTAGGTGTCATTCAATTGCCAATAGGGTTGTGGCATAACAGTAACAAAAGATTAAGAATTAGGTTGCAAATAAAGATGGGCTTGAACTACATAGCAAGAGCTTGTCTCATAGCCAGGCTTTGGTGGCACATACCTGTAAGCCCAGCACTAGGGAGGCAGAGGCAGGAGGATCTCTGTGAGTTTGAGGCCAGCCTGGCCTACAGAGCTGGTTCCAGGCTCCAAAGCAATACAGAGAAACCCTGTCTCAAAAAACAAAACAAAACAAGAACAAACAAAAAACAAAAAATAATCAAGAATTAAGTGATCTGGGATGGACTTTCCTTAAACTTTGACTAACTCACTACATTTCAGCCAGGTAAGACATGAGAGTGAACAAAAGAATCTGCCATACAGCCATCAAAGTTCACACCACCATCATTCTCCATCACCACTGTATCTTCAGTACTATTTCTTTAGACTAAAGGACATAAATGTCCCTGAAATAAGAGAAATGGTAAAAACAATACTTGAATAGATTAACTTCCAAAATGATATATTCTTCATGTAACTGTCAACCACATTAAAAGTTTTATAACGCCTGTTTTTCTAAAAATATTTGGCTGCCATCAGATTACAGAAAAAAAATGACATAATAACCTAATTACATGCTACATAGTAACATCCTTCACTGAATGTAACTGAACTCTTAATATTACTTACTTTAAAATTATGCAAATTAGTGCCCCACGGTTCTGAACAACTACAATCCTACATGGAGGTAGATGGATTAAGTGCTCAAGACCTAGCCTCAGCTACGTAATGAGTTTGAAGCCAGCCTGAACTACAAGAGATTTTTGTCTCCAAACAAAACATGTCCACATTTGCAAAGCATCAGAATTAGCTGTGCTGTATAAAACAGATTTGCATCTTACCTCTGCATAAGTATTTAAGTTTCTTTTTAAATACCCTGTAAGTGCAGCAACTTGGCATGCAAAGTAAGGTAGAGCCCAGTTTTCTCTTAAAGGAATGGAGTATTCGATTCTTGTTGTATCTACCCTAAAATAAACCACAGAGGAACACCGAAGTGAGGATACACTTGTGTAACACTATACCTTTCTCTTTATCTATTTTCTAAGTATTATTATTTTATGCATATACATTTGAATGTTTTGCCTGTATGTATGTCTGTGTACCCCGTATGCCTGGTGTTCTTGGATGCCAGAAGATGGCATCAGATTCTTGGAATTGAAGCTAAAGACAGTAGTGAGCTGCCACTCAGGTGCTAGGAGTTGAAGCTGGATCCCCAGAAGAGCTCCAGTGCTCCAAACTGATGAGCTCCAGTGATTCACAACAATAATCCCAGTATTTGGAAAGCAGAGGTAGAAGGATCATTGCAAGCTTGGAGCTAGCCTGATCTACATATCAAGTTCCACGCTAGCCAAATATAACAAGATCATCTCAAAAGTATCAAAAATAGGGAAATAAAAAAGTGACAGAAGTCAGAATAATCACTTCCACTTCCACCCTTATGAAACTGTAATCAGTTTTTAGTTACCTAATATATAAGAGTATAAAATAGTCAGAATTTGGGACCAATGAGTGAGGCTAAATGGGCAATGGTGATTCCAACAAACAATTCCTGAGACCCACAGTGGAGGGGAAACCAGCTCCCAAAAGGTCCCCTCTGACATACACTCATGATATTATGTCTTAGTCGGTTTGTGTTCCTATATCAGAATACCATAAACTTTGCAATTTGCTTTGCTCACAGGTCTAGAAGGTGGGAAATATAAGACCAAGGAAGGTGCCGGGAATTGGGTGTCCAATGAGGACTCAGTCCTCACAGATGAAACCTCCCAGCCCTTCCCCCATGTGTACAGGCTAGGTGAGCCCTCTTGCTCACAGCCATATCCCAGTGGCCTTCACTGTTTTACAGGGGTAGTAACCCCATTCATAAAGACTCCTCCTCATGCATGACCCCACCCCTCAATAGTAACACATTTACAACGGAGTTTTAATGTATGAACTCAGGGAGACAAACTCCAAGCACAGTAGAACAAATGGCAATTCTAACAAGTCTGGGCTCAGCAAGGATTTATTAATTTATAACATAAAAGTATGAAAGAAAGAAAAAATAAAACCCAACTCAATGGACTTGATCAAAATTTAAAACTTTCAACTTTCATTATTAAAGAAAGCATGTGGCCGGGTGTGGTGGCCAGCACTGAGGAGGCTCAGGCAGGCAGCTCTCTGTGAGTTTGAGAACAGTCTGGTCCACATAGAAAGTTCTGGGAGACCCAGGGCTACAAAGTGAGAGCCTGTCTCAAAAAAACAAGAGAGAAAGCACAAAGCACACAGAAAAAAATCTGGCAAGGACAAAACATAGGGAGGAAACATCTACAAGTGTCACTGTCATTTATGGACAGAAAACATTCTCAGAAATGCATGGTTAGTTATTTTACTATGAGGAACCGCCAGCATGTGTTCGCTCCACTACTGATTACAATGTTGCCAGCATGTGTTCTCTCCACTACTGATTACAATGTTGCTATTCCATGCATAACTGTATAAGAAACTGTGCAACTCAATAATCAGAAGGTAAACAATGGCACAGAAAACAGAAAAAATTTCTTCCCCTTCTCCTCCTCTCCCTCCCCTATTGTGGAAAAATAAGGATCAGGGAGAACAGATGGGCCGAATAGATAGATGTTTATGCAGGGGGAAATAACTTACAACAGAGACAGATGAAGGCCAGCAGGTTCCCATCCCACAGATGCCTCCGTCCCGCAAGCGAGAGCTCCGGGGTCCCCTATCCCAGACCTAGTTCCCGTGGTCAGTGCAACAGGTTCAGACAGAGTGAATATCTCACTATACCCACACACACACACACACACACACACACAAAGGTCATGATACCCCCCCCACACACACAAAGGTCATGATACCCCCCCCACACACACACAAAGGTCATGATACCCCACACATACACACACAGGTCATGATACCCCCCACACACACACAGGTCATGATACCCCCCCCCACACACACAAAGGTCATGATACCCCCCCACACACACACACAGGTCATGATACCCCCCCACACACACACAAAGGTCATGATACCCCCCACACACACAAAGGTCATGATACCCCCCCACACACACAAAGGTCATGATACCCCCCACACACACACAAAGGTCATGATACCCCACACACACACACACACAAGTGGGCATGTGGGTCACTTACAGTCTTTTAGAGCATGCCCTGGCTCCAACCCTCAGTACTATAAAAATAGAAGATGGGAACAGATACTGGACACAAATATCAAATATTTCAATTTTTTAGAAAAAGATGTAATGAGACTTTACCAACTGAGAGCATGATCATCATTGGTCATTAATTTGTGGTCATTAATTCCTGGCTATAATGGAGTCACACACACCTACAACTGTCAAATTCTTCCTTGCCTCCGACCCAAAGCAATAAATCCAGCACATCTTGGCCCCAACTCTCCAAAACCATATTCAAATAAGGACTGCAGGGGAAATGCAGCAGTTTACAAATCAGCAAAAGCAGCCGTCTGAGACGTCAATCAGAGGGTTTTCTCATGGACTTCGGGCTCTTCCTGTCCTAAGAGTTGTGCCTCAAGCCTCCAGGCATCCTCAAATGCAGTAGAGCCCTGCAGACAGCCCTGATGAGACAGCAGTGCTACTCCTCAATGGAGCCAACTACCCCACCCCAAATGCCCCTCAGCAGACTCAGGGAAGATCTTCACTGAGAACGGTCCCCTTAAGCAGTATGTCTGTGAAGACTACTCCTTAAGGGGTCTACTTCACAGACCCAAAACTGAAGGAAGTGAGAGAGCAATCCAATTCTCATCAGGTCATGGAGGATGTATGTATGTATGTATGTATATGTATGTATGTTTCTCTTATTGGTTGATAAATAAAACACTGATTGGTCAGTAGCCAGGCAGGAAGTATAGGCAGAACTACCGGAGGAGGAAAATTCTGGAGAGAGGAGAGCGAGAAGAGAAAAGCCACTAAAGAGATACATCATGTAGCTGTTGGGAAGATAGAATGCTGGACCCATCTCCGGTAGGATAAGACCACATGGAGTTACTTAGAATAATAGAAATGGGTTAATAATTAAGAGAGAGCTAGCCAATAAGAAGCCTGAGCCATTGGTCAAACAGTTTATAATTATATAAGGTTCTGTGTGTTTATATGGGACTAAATGACTGTGGGACCAGGCAGGACAGAAACTTCCATCCATAACCACCACGTGTAAAGAGCTTAATTTAAGGTTGACTTCAATACCCTTCCTTCTTAGATTGTGCTCCATCTTACTCATTGAGGTAGTCTCGTGATCAACAGAGAGCTTGCCAATGTGACAAGACTGGTTAACCAACTTGCTCCAGGGATAATTACAGGAAGCCCCCTGTCCACCCAGCATTTACACAGGGTCTTGAGAATCCAAACTCTAGTTCTCATGCTCATACAGCAAATGTTTTAACCACTGAACCAGCTTCAGTGGTTTATAGTGTTTATAGTAACAAAACAGTCTTGGCTGTCTTGGAACCCGATTTGTAGATCAGGCTAGCCTTGAACTCACAGATATCCACCTGCCTCTGACTTACAGGTGCTGTGATTAAAGACCTATCTCACTCCAGACCTCCTTTTAAAGTAATCATATATCTAGATTAGGCCCTGGTTGGGGGGGGGGCTACCTAAACTACACCATGTCAATAGGTTTGCAAATTGTAGATGAGAATTGTAAAGAAAGTAAAGAAGGGAATAATTTTGAAATGAATTTTTTTTTTTTTTTTGAGACAGGATTTCTCCATGTAGCTTTATAGACCATGCTGGTCTCAAACTCACAGAGATCCACCTGCCTCCCAAGTGCTGGGATTAAAGGTGTGTGCCACTACCACCCGTCTGGAATGAAACTTTGTAAATATCAATTAAAAACCTTTCATACCTGTTAATTAGGAACCACGCAACAGTAAGCATTCCTGCTAACCATGTGCCACTCATAAGCCAACTTGTAACAAATAAAGCTGTAACATATATTCCTTGTAATCCAAAAACAATGCCAATGTAGAAATATACTGGTTCAATCATTTCCTAAAGGCAAAAAGAAAGGGAATGATAAAGAAGATGAAGCTACACAACCCAAGGATATATAACTATGTAAGAAAACGGACAATAGCCAGGTGGTGGTGGTTCATGCCTTTGAACCCAACACTCCAGAGGCAGAGGCAGGTGATGTCAGCCTGGTCTACAGACTGAGTTCCAGGACAGCGAGGGCTGTTACACACAGAAACTCTGTCTTGAGAAACGGGAGGGAGGGAGGGACGGAGGGAGGGAGGGAGACAGACAATTAAGGAAAGGGAGGGCTGGAGAGATAGCTCAGTGATTAAGAGTATTTTTGTCCTCTTGAAGAGGGCCTCAGTTCAGTTCCCAGAGTTCACAGGGTGGATCACAACCACCTCTAACTTCTAGAGCAGTGCTTCTCAAACTTCCTAATGCTGCTATCCTTGACACAATTCCTCACATCCTGGTGACCCCCAACATTAAAATTATTTTGTTGCCACTATATAGCTGTAATTTTAATACTGTTATGAATCATAATGTAGATATATGATATGCAGGATATCTGATGTGTGACCCCCAAAAGGGGTCAAGAGCCACAGGGTGAAAACTGTTGTTCTAGAGGATCCATGCCCTCTGAACTCTGAGGGCACCAGGCACACATGTGATGCACATACAGACATGCAAGAAAAACTCTCACACACAGTAAAAATAATGGAGTGAAAAAGAAGCACATACGTTGCTCCCAGTTGCTTGGTAGAGAACACTGGCAACCAGCTCTGGGTACAGTGACATCTGCCTCACTGCATTAATGGTCCTCAGGGACACGGTTCTGTTATTGTGCGTCAGCTCGTGCATACCTAAACATGCAAAGAGTTCTCTCTAGATTACTGCTCCGCTTTGACAATGATTGAACATGTTATTCATCAGTCCCCATGATTAATATCAAAAGAAAGACGCTCAAATGCAACACAAGGTGCCTCATTTTCCCATCTTTCTTATTATGTACATAAAGAAAAATAACCTACATTCTGGGACAAAGCCCCACATCCAAAAGCTGTTAATCTTTAAGAATAGTGTTTTACTTTAGAACAATATTGTTACTATAATTACAACTGTGGTTGATCATACCTCTTTCAAATGAAGGCGCCTTTAACATGTCTTTATAATAGGAGTAATAAATAGCACTGTCACCCTGAAATGTGATTTCTCGTTCAAGTTCCTACAATGAAATAAGTATTTAGATGTCAGTGTTAAATGTCAGCTGTACTTTCTTGTCTCTCATTTTCCTGTATTTGGTCTGTTTGTCTCCTTCATATTTTACATTGACATGACAAAGTTTTACCATTTTATTCCAGGAGATATTTGAATTTTCCTTAATTACCTTATTAAAAAGGTTAACTTTCTCAATGGTCTGGCAATCATTTTAGTGAAAACATTTAAGATTTCAAATGGATTATAACTGTTAAATTGTCATATATTTCACATATAAAAAAATTCTAGAAGGAAAATCCAAAGAATCTCCTAAAAACAGCAGTAATAGTAAAAAGGCAAGGACAATAAACTGAAATGTCAGACTTTAAAATAAAAGCCAAGTATAGTCCTAGCATTTAGGAGGTTGAGGCAGGAGGATCAAGTTTGAGACCAGTTTGAGGTACATAGTGAATTCCAGACCAGCCTGAGCTACATAGTGTGACTTGTATCAAAAAGAATAAAAGCAGGGTGGTGATGGCCCATGACTTTAGATCTAGCACTTGGGAGGCAGACAGGAGGATCTCTGTGAGTTCAAGGCCAGCCTGGCATATAGAGTGAGTTCCAGGACAGGCTCAAAAGCTACACAGAGAAACCCTATCTTGAAAAACAAACAAACATATATATATATATACATAAACACATATATGTGTGTGTGTATATCTATATATACATATATATTTATACACCCACACACATATATACATACATATTTATACACACACACACACACACACAACTTTAAAAACAAATAATGCAAAATAAGGAGATAAATTTGCCCAGTGGTGTTTTCCATGACTGTATATACCCTTGAGTGCTGGGAAGAGCAAGGCCTTAACAGGTACATCTGAGGGCCCACAGATTCTATCAGTGTCTCCCAAGAAAGCGAGATTCACAGCTCTGTGGTGGACAGCTTGCAGGTCCTGGTTCAATCCCCACATCAAAAAGGAAAAAAGACTCTAAGATTAAACCATAAAGAACCAAAAACATAGTAATTAAAAACCTAACAGTAGGGGCTGGAGAGACAGCTCAGGGATTAAGAGCACAGGCTGCTCCTCCAGAGAACCAGGTTTAACTCCCAGCATCCGCATGGTGGTTAACAAACCATCTATAACGGGATCTGATGCCCTCTTCTGGTGTGGACACATACATGCAGGCAGACAAAGCACTCAGACCAAGAGATCAAAACAAAACAAAAAAACATAAAGGTAAAAGCCAGGTGTGGTGTCTCACACCTATAATTCCAGCACTCTAGAGGCTGAGGCGAGCTTGCTCTCTAGTAAGTTCCAGGACAACCAGATAATACACAGTGAGAAGCATCTATAACAAATACACAGAAACCAACAGAATGCTATATATTCTTTAATGCTAAGTCAGTTTTTTGTTACACCATAATCTTACTTCCTCCTGTACTGGGTTAAAGCCTAGGCCTAGCATTTGCTAGTCAAGAGCTATAACCTGCGCTATAATCCCAGCACTGAAATTTTCACCCATAATACAGATTAAATAGGAATACTTCAAAAAACTTATAAATCTTTGGTTTTTTTTCCTTCTGGGTAGCCCTGGCTGTCCTGGCACTCACTCTGTAGACCAGGCTGAACTTGAACTCACAAGATCCTCTTGCCTCTGCCTCCCGGGTGCTGGCATTAAAGGCATGCGCCACCACCGTCTGGCTAGAACCATTATTTAAAAAAAAAAAAAAAAAAAAAGATATATTTTTAATTGTGTGTGTATGTGTGTGTGCGTGTGTGTATGTGTGTGTGCATGTGTGTGTGCATGGTGTGTGTGTGCATTGTGCATTGTGTATGTGTGCGGGCACGTGTGTGTGCGTGTGCATGTGGCGCATGCGCGCACACGGACACTCACATGTACACTGTGGTACTGTGGAAGCCAGCAGCACCGATTCCCCCTAGAGCCAGATCACAGGTTGCTGTAAGCTGCCTGATCCGGGTGGAAGGAACTGAACTTGGTTCCTTTGTGAGAACAATATGTTCTCTTAGCCATCTCTCAAGGCTAGGAGCAGTTAAGCAGTTTTTCAAAGTTGAAACTTTGATTGTAATGAGTGTTACTTAAAGAGTCTTGGGGCCAGCAAGATAGCTCAGTGGGTAAGAGCACTTGCCACCAAGCCTGGTAACCTGAGTTTGGTCCCCAGATGCCACATGTTGGAAGGACAAAGTTGTCATCTGATTGCCCTGAGCACACATACGTAAGATAAATAAATACAAATAAAAATTTTAAGTGTTTGGAACTCAAGTCTGTAATTCTAGCACTTAATGGGTCAGACAGGGGCATTAAGAGTTCAAGGCAAGGCCAGGCTACACAACAAGACTTTGCCTTTAAGTAAATGTAAAATATACAAATAGTTCTGTAGTTACACTTTGAAAAGAACCAGGTTAAACTGTCCTATGAGTTTCTTTATTGTAAAACATTTCCGTTTCCATTTATATTTTCCACTGTGAGTCTCCAAGAGGAAATACTTCCAGGTCAATGAACTGTTCTCCCATTTAGAAACTTCTATGATCTGGATATTAATGTCCCTAGACGGGTCAATTTTGTATGAATTTTGTTGAAACTTAATCCCTAGTAGTAGGTAGTATTTTAAAGAGGGCTTTTGGAAGGTGGATATGTCATGGGGACATAGCCTTCATGAGCAGGATTAGTGTCCCTATAAAAGAGATCCCAGAGTCCCCTTATCCATCTGCCACAGTAAGATAGTCACCTATGGAGGGCTGGACCTGGTGGCACACACCTTTACAGCACTGTGGAGGCAGAGGCAGATAGATCTGTGAGTTCCTGGCCAGTCAGTGTTACATGAGAGAGGAGGCTTAGATAGAGAGGTGGAGGAGAGGGGGACATAGCAGGTCCTCAACAAATACTAAATCTGCTAGTGACTTACGTTGGTCCAATTTGTAGCATTTTGCTTTAGCAACCCAAATATACTAAGACAGATCTAAATGAATTTCTTTTAAAATTATTTTTCCAGCCAAGCAGTGGTGGCACACATCTTTAATTCTAGCACTTAGGAAGCAGAGGCAGGCGGGATCTCTGTGAGTTTGAGGCTACTGTGGTCTACAAAGCAAGTTCCAGGACAGCAGGGCTACACAGAGAAACCCTATCTCAAAACACAAAACAAAAATCCTTTGGTGGGGAATGGAAGATTTGATTCTAGCTGGGTGCGTATCTCATGTCTCTAACTCCAGCACTCAGAAGGAAGAGGCCAGGCTAGATTAGATACAGTGAGTTTCTGGCTGTCCCAATTAACAGAATGAGGTTGGTCTCAAAAGCAAAACAGACACAAGATTTGTTTCTTTGCAAGATTTCAAAAATGAAACTCTAATCACCATCTTTTAAATTAATGATGCATATGGAACACATAACGATCTTACTAACTATCTGGGCACTCCAGACTGCCAGCCTGAAGAACCGAGAGGGAGTTACTTTCTGGAGGCTCCTGGGTGACGTCCCTACACTTGGCACAGAGAACTATAATGACAGAGGCAATTTTCTTCTTTCCTTTCTTCCTTTTTGGAGACAGGGCCTTGCTGTATCGTCCTGCCTGTTCTGGAACTTAATGTGTACACCCGGCTGCCCTTGAAATCGCAGAGTTCCACACCTGCAGAAGCCTAAGTACTGGAATTAAAGGTGTACCCATTATGCCTAGCTTAAGATGCAGACTTAAGGAAAAGGCACAGGCTACTAAACCACTATACAGATATTATTAAACTAACATACAGATATGGTCAGTAAATACTTAAAGTGTTCATATTTATTCTTTTACATGAATCAGTGTCTAAAAATATTCAGTCAACTTAACCATAAGCACAGTAACAAAACTAAACAAAAAGTATCATTGTAAACTCAAATTTTTCAAACTCCATATAGTCAGGTGAACTTTGAGAGCAAATTTATTCAAAGGTCAAATGATGAAATTTCAAATATAACTATAGTGATTAAGGATTCTGTAAAATACCCATAATTTAAAGCCAAACATTAAACATGAGGCAACATCTTAATACTGCTATTGGAACCAGTTAGATTATTTGATGGATCAAGACACTTGTTATACCGTACACATACACCCAATAAATTAAAAAATGTAATTTAAAATTTTTTAATTAATAAAATTTAAAATGTAATCCTATTGTATGTTAATCATCTTTAACTTTCCTCCAAAATTGCAATTATATAATCTAATTCCAAAATTAAACATGTGTAATTACATAATCTAAACATTAAAGTATTTAATGCTGAAATCCACATTTCTGAAATGTGAGCTACCAGAACTACCTAGAGGCTAACCAATACCATCACACTGTACTGCAAGTCCCAGAGAGAATTAGCTTGATCTGACCGTGGCTCTCCTGAGTAGCTCTGATCTATTCTCTGCTTTTTAGCACACTATAAACAGTCACAACTATTAGAGTGGTCCCTGGAACCTTAGATGTATATCCTACCTACTTCGGCACCACGAATGTGCCTGGTGTCCTTGGTATTAGCTTGATATAAACCAATGTATTCCTTTGGGAAGAAGGTAGCACTATTCTGACATTTTAATCACCACTTCCTTGGTTTGTTCGGTTTTTTTGGTTTTTTAAGACAGTGTTTCCCTGTGTAGCTTTGGAGCCTGTCCTGGAACTAGCTCTTGACCAGGCTGGTCTTGTACTCACAGAGATCCACCTGCCTCTGCCACAAAAGTGCTGGGATTAAAGGCATAGGCCACCACTGGACAGCCTTCCTTTTGATTTCAATCCAAGGCCTCACTTGTTTTGCTATTACCCACAACTCACTTCCATACATGAGCCCAACCAGTAACTTTTCTGCCTGCTTTTCTTTGGTCTGGTGCCTCCTGCAGTCGGTTGAACCAAATAGTCCTGAAATGGTCCCAGATGAATTAATTGTTCTAGAGAGTACCCTAATAACTTCCACATTACAAATTACATTAGATTGTATTTGAGACAGTGTCTCACTATGGTAGCCTGGTCAGCCTGAAAATAGCTATGTAGACCAGGATAGCCTAGAACTGAAGAGATCTACCTGCTTCTGCCTCCCCAGTGTTGGATTAATGACATGAGCCATCATACCAGCTTATTACATATTTTAAGGTTGATACTGTAACTGTCTCAAAAGAGCTTCTATAGCACTTTGCTAATACCTAAAAACAGGATGGCATTTGTCACACCTACCAAATGTATATATGATCCCTTGAGAATCACATTACTCAAATTAATAATAAGTATGGAAACACTTTTAATATACTCAAAATTCTTCTTACCTGCCTGTTGGAAAACCAGAATTTCCGTTCATGATATGCTGATAAGTAGAAAACATGCATCATACCACTAATGACAGCTGCAAGACAGCCAATAAAAATCTTTGCAAAGCGCTGAAATGACACATCTGAAAAAGAAAATTAAAGATAATCAAAAAATGATTAAAATGACATCCTAATCCAATGGTTTCTCCCGCAAAACACATAACCCCAGCCTAAGCATGAGCAAATGTTAAAGTCCAACAGAAGTCCACCCTACAGGTTTGACCAGCACTCAGTTACTGAATGTTTCCCTGGGCATCTACTAGGCCCTGGGTTAATCTCCACTACAGCAAAGGGACAAAGAGGAGGTGGGAAGGACAGGTGGATGGCATCAGACACCTAAGAAACTGCCAGAGCAGAGTCCAGAAAAACATGGCAGCAAAGGTAAGGCCACACAAGGTAAAAACCAAAACCATCTGACTTCACTTAAAGGTAAGTGAAAGGCTTCACTTAAAGGTAATCTATCAGTATTTATTACAAATACTGCCACACTAATTAAAAACGCTAACAAGGCTCAGGGCCAGGGAGAAGCTTTAGTGGGGAAAAGTACTGGCCACCAATCATGATGACCTGAGCTCTATCCTTGGAACCCACATGGTGGAAGGAGAGAACGAATTCCCAAGCGTTGTCCTCTGATCTCCATGTGTGCTCATAAACCCAAACACACACATACACACACATACTAAAAAGAGAAGAAAAAATGTTTAATTGAAGTTTACATAATGAACATACTATAGAGATTTGTTTCACAACAGGTAAATATGTATAAAATAAAAGAATAATACACTGAAAACTGGTTAAGTCATGAAAAAAATCCAGGTGATGGTGGCATACGCCTTTAATCCCAGCATTTAGGAGTCAAAGGCAGGCAGATCTCTTGAGTTTGAGGCCAGGTTGGTCTACAGTGAGTTCCAGGACAGCAAGGACTACAGAAAGAAATCCTGTGTTGATAAAAAAACAAAAACAAACAAAAGAGTCCATTGATTTTAAAAGTAATCAAAATGAATGCTGTGGTGATACTTTGTTTATGATCTAACAAATAACGTTGCCTGTAGCTCAGAGTGCACAGCTAGCCACACTAATTAGCTACAGAGGCCGAGTACTGGTGGTACACAACTTTAACCCCAGCACTCAGGAGACACAGGCAGAAGATCTGTTAGAGCCACCCTGGGCTACACAAAATCGATAAGTTGATCTCAGCACTTGGGATCGCACACCTTTAATCCCAGCACTAGAGAGGAATATCAGATGGGAGGAGACAGGAGCTCAGTGCAGCTGGGGTCTGGTGAGACAGATGCCTTCTGGAGATGCAGTCTGAGGTCAGGATCGCCCTTCAGTCTGAGCATTGGTGGAGGTGAGAACTCTCTAGTGGCTGGCTGCTTTGCTTCTCTGATCTTCAGCTTTAGCCCCAATATCTGTCTCCGGGTCTTTATTATTAATACCAACTAGAATTCACGCTACACCATGCACTAACATCTAAAAACATACTCACTGTGAATAACTATTGATATACTTTACATATTCTATCTATTTCAGTGAGTTTTGATGGTTATGTCTTAGAAGGGTGCACAGGAAACTATTTGCAGAACTACTTACAGTACACACTGGGACTCTGCACACAGGACACATCCCACCACAGCTGCAGAGCATGGGAAGTAAGGTCCCAAACTCATGAGACCCAATGTGCTGGGACTGAACGGCAGACAACTTTGGGGAAACCAACTTTTGATTTATTAGATCAATAGATTTAGTTCAGTGTTCATTGCTACCTAGAGTGGGCAATGCCCAGGACCAACCCCTAGCACTGAAAGGCAAACGAAGCTCAGTGTTTGCAAATGTTACTATATATCATATAGAATACATATCTCTAAATAAAAAAATAACCAGTCTAAACATTTTTAAACTATTCAACAAAGCAACTACTAGTGCCAGCATAATTGTTTTATGGTTTTGGGCTTTTGTTTTTGCTGGTGACAGCAGAAGTGTTGATGGCATTTTTTGGAACAAGATCTGATTTTGGTTGGCCTGGAATTCATAGAGATCCACCTGCCTCTGCTTTCCAGCCTTGATATAACTATCTTACAATTTGGTTTTGGTGTGTTTTAGCTTCTTGACAAGATGACATGTAGACTATGCTGACCTAAAAGTCACAACATAACATGGACTGAAATTAAATTCTTGATCACAGTTAAATGCCACGGTGCCTGTTTCCTTTAAGTTACTGTTTCTAATATTTGTATAATTATTATAGTATATATAAACACATATATAATATATACACACATATTTCCAATTATATACATATGTAAAATCACAATTAGTGATTAATATGGGCAAAGAGCATAACAAATACCAGTTATTATTACTGTGCTAAATAAGTGTACTTTAATAAATATATAAAGCAACTGAAGCAATGACAGCCTAATATCTAACCCTTAAAACAAAACAAAAAACTAGGTAGTGATAGGGCAGACCTTTAATCCCAGCACGTGGGAGACAGAGGCAGATGGATCTCTTTGAGTTCAAGGCCAGCCTAGTCTACAGAATGAGTTCCAGACTGTCAAGGCTACACAGAGAAACTGTGACTTAAAAATCAAACAAAATAAATAAATGAATAAAATAATAATTCAATTTGAAGATGACAGTGTATTCCCATTACCCCAGCAATAAGAAAGTTAAGGCAGACAAAGCACAAATTCAAAGCCAACCTGGGCTATAGCTGGGATCTAGGCTACTCTGGGATCCCTAGCAAGACCCTTTTCTAAATAAGTAAATAAACAACAAAGGATAGGACTTTCAATTAAGTTGTTAGTCATAAACTAGCATAATCAGATAAATCTTTCAATTGTAAAATGCTGATCAAGCGTAGAAAATAAAAAACATAAATTTCAGTATCAGTAATACAGATGACAGCTTTTGTTTTTGTTTCTTAACATTTCAATTTTTTTATTTGTATGTATGTATATGCTACCATGGACATGTAGAGGCCAGAGGACATTCAATGGAAGTTGTTTCTGTCAATCAGAAATGATAAGTTTATTAATTAACTTTTTCTGATAAAATAAAAAACCTCAAGGGCTGGAGAGATGGTTCAGAGGTTAAGAGCACTGTCTGCTCTTCCAGAAATCCTGAGTTCAATTCCCAGCAACCACATGGTATCTCACAACCATCTATAATGAGATTTGCTGCCTTCTTCTGGCCTGCATGCAGGCAGAACACTGCATAAGTAATAAATAAATCTTTAAAAACAAAACAAATAAACAAAGACTCAAAATATTAGTACTTACAAAAAAAGCTTCATTTCTCATTTCCATTATGTATGGGTTCTTTTGTGTTTGGTTTCAAGACAGGGTTTGTCCGTGTAACAGGCCTGGCTGTTGTGGCACTCACTCTGTAGACCAGGCTGGCCTCACACAGATCGGCCTGCCTCTGCCTCCTGAGAGCCGGGATTAAAGGCCTGCGTCACCACTTCAGGCAGTGCATGGGTGCTAAGTCAACCATAACTCCAGTTCAGGCTGGCGCTTAATTAGCGCTAGTTCTTGGTCTTCTTGTGCTTTCACAGTTGCAGACTAGCATCACTCCCTGGCTAGGACACACTATTGTCCCTGTAAAGGAGGACAGACCCCTCGCAGTTGGTGCAGGACACAAGGACACACACAGACACCAAATTCTCAGCACAAAGATTTATTACCTCGGCTGGGGGAGGGTGGAGGGGTTGGAGGGTGCTGCAAAGCGGACAAAAACCCACAGCAGCAGGTGTGTTTACAGGGGTGGGATTTTAAGGGGAAAAGGGAGTCCGTGCTAGGGTGAGTTAGTAAATCCTGACTGGATATATCACCCAACAATGGATTTTGATTGCTGGACCTTGGTGTTTTGTCTCATTAATTAGCCAGTGGCCAAATAAGGGAATGGCCCTTAGTGGCTAGCTTTAAGAATGTAATCTAACAGTTTTTAGTAAGGGAGAAGGGTTAAAGGCAAAACCGTCAGTGCCATGTCTGCCAAGTGCCTGCCTGTGGTTGCCATGCTTGGGCCTGCTACAGCCCTTCTGTCCTGACAGCACAGAGCAGGAAGGCAGTCTCTTGTTCAGAACTGCTATACTGCTCTTCCACTCACATTGCACAGGCTCAGACCGTCACAAGCCTGCCTCTCACTGGGACAGAGAAGGGCACTGCCTCAGAGAGGCTGTCCAAATTAAAGGGCAATTGAAGGATTGTAATCCACTTTTAGGAAAGACAGCATGTGTTTGGGAATGGATAATAAAATAGTAACCGACTATCTCTCTCCACAGCCACAAATATTTACTTCCTTCCCCAAAGCACAACACACTCATTGAATCACATGGGGGCTGGACAGTTTTCTCAGATCACTTTCCTGCCTGCAGACAGGCTCATAAATCAATTAAGACCTGGTGAGCTTGAAGCCAGCCTGGTCTACATAGTGAGTTCCAGGACAGCTAGGGCTACTCAGAGAAACCCTGCCTCAAAATAAAAAATAAATAAAAAGACTTGGAGAGTTGGAAAGTTACAGGCCTTTTTAATTTTGACAGACACTCGCAAAGGTTTAATTAGTTAGAGGTCAGGTTGCAAACCTCGAGTCCAGTTGCTGAGGTGGAGCAACAGCAGACCAGGGCTGCATCCTGGTCTGGGAAACTGCCTAGCCACTCCCAGAGTATTAGCCTCAAAGCTGGAGAGAAAGGAAAACATGTAGTAGATGGTTAAGTGTTTTTCTTTTGTTTTTGATGATAAAAATGGAGAAGTCAAGTTTGTTTAAATTACTGTGTAAAAAGACTGTGTCATATGTAACTTGAATTTCATATAAATGTGAATGCTGAAAAGAAAAAAGAGTTTGAGGCCAGCCAGAACAACTTAGTGAGGACCTGACTCTTAAAAAAAAAAAGGCTGGGTATAATAGTGCACACTTTTAATCCCAACACTCAAGAAGCAGAGGCAGGCAGTTTCTGAGTTCAATACCAGCCTGATCTACAGACTGAGTTTCAGGACAATAAGGGCTACATAGAGAAACCCTGACTCTAGAAAGAAAGGGAGGGAGAGAGGGAACAGGGAGGGGAAGATGGTTAATAAAACAGTTTGCCCACAAGAAATAAAAATACATATCCACAAAGTTCATAGCATGAACATTTGTAACTAAATATTGAAAACAACCCAAATGTCCAACAAAAGAAATAATTATGGTTGATTCAAACATTGAAATACTGCTAAGCAGGGAGCTGGAAAGATGGCTCTGTGGTTATGAGTACTCGCTGTTTTCCCAGAGGACCCAGCTCAATCCATTTCTGGTGCCTTACAACTATCTGTAACTCAAGCTGCAGGGTTTCTTCCTTTTTATTCTTTTTTGTTTTCTGGTTTTTCAAGACAGGGTTTCTCAGTAGCTATAGAGCTAGTCCTAGAACTCACTCTGTAGACCAGGCTGGCCTCGAACTCACAGAGCTCCACCTGCCTCTGCCTCCTCCCAAGTGCTGGAACTAAAAGCATGTACCAACACCTCCCACAGTCCAGATTTGACACCTTTGCCCTCTCTAGACACCTGCACTCATATGCACATACTCATGCAGACACACACACCTATACACACCTAATAATAGTAATACAGGGGCTGGAGAGGGCTCCATGATTAGAGCACTGGCTGCTCTCCCAGAGGACGCAGGTTTGATGCTCAGCACCCATGTGGCAGCTCACAACTGTCTGTAACTCCATTCTCAGGGAACCTGACCCACATTTCTAGACTCAGCAGTCACAGGGCATGTATGAGGTTCACATACATACATGCAGGCAAAACACACACACGTAGATATATATGTAAATTTAAAAAAATAACTGCAACTACTCAGAGCAACAGTACCATCAAATATTTGCCACTGGATGATATGCTTGTGCGTTGGTCTGTGTGTGATAAGGGACTGCTTGTCAGCCTTGAGCTCTCATCCTCCCTCCTTGGTCTCTTGGGTGTTGGGATTACAGGCGTGCACCACCATGCCAGCACCATGATTTACTTCAGCAAATATATACAGGCCCTTAACTTTGTACCGGGAGACAGCACTCTAAGGGAGCTGTGTGGCCCTTATGTGTGACACAGCGCTAACGCCCTCTTCAGGGAAGGGAGGTAAATGGGGAAGGGAGTGCCTCTGGGAGACAAGCCAAGGACCACAGGGAAAATGAACTTCAAGCAACTCCCAGACAACAAAACAGGACACACAAAAGATGTCCTGCCTCGGAAGGAGATCTTGTGCTTAGCTATGGACTGCTATGGTGCATGTGATGGAGAACAGGAGACTGTCCTTTCAAACACAAGCATTTACTGTACCACATTAACGGTGTACTGAGGGAGGCACACACAAAGAATTAGCAAGGCAGGCCTGGGGCAGTGTCAGAGCACAGGGCTGCTTACAAGCCAGCTGTTGGCTGGCATCTGACAACTTGGAATTCAAGAGTTTCTACCATTCTCTGGTAAGTGTGGTTTACTATGCCTACCTTATTTGTACAATGTCATCTATGCTTTCTTCCAGTCTAAAATCTGGTCAGATGACAGGCAAAGGGTACCTACATGTCAACTCCCTGTAAAAACCCTTCGTGCTGTCTCTGATGAATTTCATTCACTCTGGCAAAAAAATAAATACCACAGCTTGAGAAAAAAAAGAGATAAACAATGTCCTATGACTCCACTCAACCAAGAAGGCCTCTCCTCTATGCTGATTTTGTTTTAATCACTCTAGCAAATCAGAACTTTAAGGACAATTATAAGCTCTGTAAGTCCTTGAAGCAAACCACCGAACATGGGTGTTTTTGAGGATTGCAACATATTGCATATAACTTGTTTTTTTAGTTCATAAGTCTAAGGTCAAAATGAGTCCTACCTGATGTAGAAAAGATAAAATCTTGAGTTTTAAAACTGAGACTATGACAAAGTAAGGTTGGACGCCTTTCTTAGTGCAGGGGAGGTATGTTTTGTCTGATTAGAGTGAGGCAAATATTGATGAGGAAAAGGATAAAGTGTAGTAAGATTTCAGAAAAATTTCAGGGTGATGTAGCTCATCCACAGCATGAACCACACCTTCAAAGTCCCAGGCTTGATCTGAAATGTGATAAATAAATGAATGGAGACAGAAGATTACATATTTCTACCCATGACCATAAAACTTCTGTTTCCTGTAGTCACAGTGTGCTTCCGTAACTCATTATCTGGACCCAACAGGGCTTGCTTGGACATGTGACAGTGGGCCAGTCCAGCAGGACCCCAAGGGGCACTGTATGATTCTACTTGCTCTGCTGCTCTTTTGCTCCATCCCCCCAAAAACATGTCCCTATAGGGGCTACATGAAGCCAAACCAGACAACCTGGGACTAAAACATAACATAACTCAGAAATGTTTGTCATATCCTGGCCACAACACAGAGCACAAACAAGGTAAGAATGCTTACTGTAAGGGGATACAGTTTAGGGGCTATTCTATAGCAAAACTCCATTATGTCAACCATGAATTTAATCTCTTTATATAATATCTTTATATAAGATGGTACAGTGCTTGCCTAGCACAACACCTCAAAACACAAAAAGCAAGAGAACTAATGTTTGAACGTTCACACGCTTAAGTGATGGAAGCACACTTTCTCCAGCTGGGGTGCTACCCCCAGGGAACCCCAGATCCACATGACTTACATTTTGGAGCTCTTTCAGGAACCGGGGTGCTGATCTTCTCTGCTCTGGCTTCCTGACTTCCTGTAGTCTTTGGCTTTTTCCTTTGGCGGAGTTCTACAGGTGATCCTTAAGACATTGAAGACATTATTGCAGTGTGTGTGTGCATCAATCTTCTGTACCTCCAGTGGATCAACTTTGCTACGTGATAAGCAAAATTTACCTACATGGCCAGAGCCCAGCAGAAGCCCCTGAGCCCTGTTTCTACTGAGCTTCCCTGCTGATGAAACCACAAATCGCACAACTTTGATACTGCAGGAATCAAATATAATGTCTATGACTCTATAAAAAGAAAAAAATTGGAATTCCTTGACTAAAGCAAGTCATGAGACCCATTAGTGCCAGAAGTAACTTTTCCTATCTGTGGCTATTCCTCAAACTGGCCTTAGTATCCAAACGGAAACAACAAACAGATCCTCCCCACCACCATCACCGCCACTCAGGTTTTGAGAGTCCAACTGATAAAAAGCTTCCAAATTCTTCTCCTGAAATGATGCTCTTTTAAAATGTTCCAAAATAAATACTATTTTTTCCCAAAAAATTTGAGAGGTATTTTTCACCTTACCATGTCATCTACCTGAGATTATCAAACCTATCATTTGTAAGTTAACAATTTTTGGTCAAAATACAATGTATTAGCCATAAAACTGCTTTTTTTTTTTTGGTTCCCTCTTCTTTTTAAAGGCAAGCTCTTGAGTAGCCTCAAGCCCCTGGTCCTCCTACCTCAGCCTTCCAAATGCTGAGATCACAGGCGTGCAGCAGTATTTTTCTCTCCCGGATTTGGGACTGAATGAAGGGTTCTGTGCACACCACGCAAATGCTCTCCCAATGCTCTACTGCCGAGCTATCACCCAGCACCATGCTCGACAGCACAGTCCTGGAAGCAGAGTCCCACAGAGCTGACAAATGCAGGTGTGTTTGCTGCCCCCTCATACAAGAGCTTGGGGAATGCCCTATCAAATGCTCACCTGTCCCCATCCCTAATTTGTAAAAACTGCAATGTAAAGTTACTAAACCAGTAAGTCAAATTCCAAATTAAAAAATAAGAGACTCCAAATTAAACAGGAATTTGACATCGATAACATAGCTTTTTCCTTTCCTAAAATTATCTGTGAGCTAATAACTAGTAAAAATTAAAGTGCCCCTGTTAAGGTAACAAATAATGTGGCTCAGGTTTTATTTCTCTTCTTTTTTCACAGTTCTGTCTTTAAGCTACAAAATGTGAGACTAAAGGGTGGGATCAGTAGCATAGAGAATGGGCTGCTCTCATGAAATAGACAACTCTTTAGCCTTACTATGAAAACTGAGTAAAACAAATGTATTCTGAAACTGTTTCCGAGCAAGCTCAAGCTTAATAAAGTCTTTAAATAACAGTGTAGTAATAAGAAAGTGAACTGTACATTTAGAATTCTCACCTACTTTTATGGCACAATTCCTAACCTCATTCTAAATTTCCACAGTGTACTCTTCACTCCTCAACAAAAATGCCTCTTTGCACAGAGACCGTCACAAAAAAACCACAACCAATCAAAATGCAGAGTTGGGGAGCCGGGCCCAATGGACACATCTACAGGACAACTCCTATACCTAGGGTTCAGGGAACACTGTGGAAGAGGAGTTGGAAAAGCCAGTCAGAGCCAGAGGATAAAGGACTTTATTGTGAGATTGTGACTCCCAGGAATGTCAGAGGCTACACCCACAAAGTCGGACCCACACGACTGCCAGAACAAGAGTAGTAACGGACATGCCAAAGTGGACAGGGAAAGACCACCAGGGCTCAGCCCTGCACAAAAACTAAAGACAACTAAGGAATGCGGAGAGTAGGGGAAATAGTCTCTCAGTTATTCAACATCAAATGGTCAGTCCTAAAAACACGCATACAAGTCAACATTATACAGACTGAGTAGGTTATAATTAGGGGTGTGTGTGTGTGTGTGTGTGTGTGTGTGTGTGTGTGTGTGTGTGTGTGTGTCAACAATTAATGACAAAGGAGGCCATAAATTTGACAGAAAACAAGAAAGGGTATGTGAGGGGGTTTGGAAGGGAAAGGGGAGTAATGTAATTATATTACAATCTCAAAAATAACAGAAATAATTACAATCTCAAAAATAACAGAAAAATATTTTTAAAATAAATTGATCTTTTAATGTTGTTTAGTTACATTAAATTTTTTTCAGCAAAGCCTGGTGGTGGTGGCGCATGCCTTTAATCCTAGCATTTGGGAGGCAGAGGCAGGTTTGAAGCCAGACTAGTCTACAAAGCGAGTTCCAGAACAGCCAGAACTACACAGAGAACCCCTGTCTTGAAAAACAAAACAAACAAAAATTAGCAACAAAAAATAAAAACAGTGCAACCTCTAGCATTCCAGAGGCAGGCAGATCTCTGAGAGTTGAAGGTCTACAAAGTTAAGATGCTGTTTCAAAAGGAAAAATAAAAATAAAAATAAAAAAGTACAACCTGGCAAAGAGAACATGTATTATAGCCAACTCATAAACGTGGTCAATAAAACCAAGTTTTTGCCTGGTACTAAAAAACAAAAGCTAAATGAATACAATTTTCTCACTTTATATTATTGTTCATGTGACTTGACAATACAAAGACAAAACTAATGGCATGGGGATGACAAAGTTAGGCAACAAAATTACACCCTAGGTTTGAGTTAACACTGACCAAAGGATCTGGATGGAAAATAGCAAAGCTGAAAGCAATCTCTGGAATGAATTCGAGTTTCCTTTTCAACAGGTTACATTTTTAGCAATATAAAGAAAAGAGCCAAACCAAAAGACAATTACATACCCACAAGAATAATCTGCTACTTCAATCTCTAGTACCATCATCATCACATGAATTAACAGCTATAACAGGCTTCTAGATGTCCATCTAGAATAGACAGGAAGGGCCAGGAGAAACTAACACTTCTGTCAAAAGTCTGCGAACAGCCAGGAAGGGCCCAGGAGAAAAGCTTGCTGTTCCTTTCTGTGCCCTGTGTGTGTCTCAGGAAGTACACATGTAAGCACCAATAAACTACTTCGTCAAGACAGATGTTTGGAAGACTATTACTTTGAGAGACAGTTGTAAAATAAAGAGGTTCCAAGTAAATAAGCCAAAAGCTAGAAATAGCACCTGGAATCAAATAAAACTATATACATTGACCTAATTTTAACATAACAAATACAAAATGTGTAAACAGAAAGTACTCAGGGCAACACCTGCATGTTTGCTGTAAACATGATCATCACCAGCATCATTACAAAAAATATTATTCATTCTCTGCCTTATAGCCCAGCACTAAAAGAGTATAGAGGCCTAGCCATGGAATTAAACATTTGTTGAAGGAAACAGCATATTTCAATAAAACTGCCACCCACTAATTGTCTCAAATAAAACACATTGGTTTTTAAATTATCTATAATTCAACAACCAAAAATCAACTATTAGTTTACAGCCAAATACTTTTACAAAATGATATAGTCTTTTAACAAGTTCGACATCATTGCTTTAAACATAATTACATCCTAAATGTCATTTTTTTCATATTTACAATATCGTTTTAGTAGTGTATATTATTATTTTTTTTCGAATGTGCTTACAAGGGCATGCAAACTGGTTTGTCAACCTTCCTACACAGACTTGTAGCTAACCACATTAAAAAAAATTTATAAAAAAAAGATTCAAATGATATCATGTTGCAACCACGGGTAAAAACTAAGGAAACAAGAGGGAGAGGCTGTTTTAGGTAGTATCTTAAACGAGGATGAATTTGAGCTCGGAGAACTGCAGGTGGAGGAATAGTTAAATCCTGACCTCAGGAACAAGTTCAAGTCCCAGTCAACAACACTACAGTTCTGATAATCTTTTGAAAAATGGCTTTCCATTGAATTCTGCAAACTCTCTTCTTGTGCCATCGGTTCAACGGCTCAAATCTAAATTCTATGATCACGTTTACAACTCGGCTGAGTAAGGTGAAAAACTTTTCCAGCAGGATGGACATCTAACTGCTCATCCAAGCGAGGGAGATCTAAGAGCTCAGTGATGCATACCCGTACCATGAGGTTACCGTACCACAAATACTTTTTTGAACTATGAATTACTGGCTACTTAGTTTTTATTCTCGCTTCCTAGTTCTCTCTTAACGTGGGCATCCTCTCTGGATAAATACTGCAGGCTAAAAAAAAAAAAAAAAAAAAAAATCCATTTCCTTGGCCTTGACCCTGAAAGGCGTGCAGAGCTCTCCAGCCCCATTAGTGTTAACCCTAGAGGTGCTTTTGGCCTCCTCATCTCCTAAAACCACTTGCACGCCCCAGCCCTTGGCCATTAGTTATCTCTCACGGCACAAGTGGCTTTGGCCAGGTTCTGCGCATCCGTCCCAGATCCCCGCCTCCGTCTGTCTCGCGGGGTGCGAGCCCTTGCATTCTGCACCCCAAGTTTCCAGCGCGCACCCGAACCCGTACCCAACCTCGTCGCGCTTTCCAGCGCCGAGCTCCTGACTCCCAGCCCGGCGCCCGACTTCGGGAGACAACACTTGGGGCCAGTGTGGCCGCGCGCCCGACTCCCCTGCAAACTCAGGGGCGCGCGCCCCCGCCCGCTCCCCGCTCCCCGCTCCCCGCGGCCCGCGGCCAGGCCCCGGCCCTCTCCCGAGCCCGCCCGCCGCGGCAGTCGGCGCGCGGCCGTCACCTTCTTCCTTCGCCATCGTGTCCGCGGAGGCGCGGGTGGCCCGCCGGCTGCCGAGCGGCCCGCAGTCTCCCAACCTCGGCGTCTGCCCGGCCGCGGCCGCCCCGGCCCGCTCCCGGCTGCCGCGCCCCCACTTCCTGACCCGCCCCCCTCGGGTGTCGCCGCCAACTGTGTCCCCCGGGCGCGCCGGGAACCAGAGTGCAGGGAGCGGCGGCCGGCCGGAGCGTTTCGCCAGCGCGCCAGAGCCGAGCCCACCGCGGACCGGTGTGGGCAGGGCTGCGGGGAGGAGCGAGGCGGCTGCGGGGAGGAGCGAGGCGGCTGCGGGGAGGAGCGAGGCTGCTGCTCCCGCCGCCGCTGCTCTCCCTCCGGCGTGAGCCTCCCGGGGAAGCGGTAGCCAGAGACGTGGCTTTGGACTCAGGGTCCAGAGCCCGTAACCGTCCCATTTTACAAACAGAAAACTGAGGTCCCAGCGCAGAGCAAGTCGCTACTAGCAAGAGCGGAACCGTGGACGGGATGGGCCGTTAGCGCCTGCGTGTTCTCACGATGGCTTCAGAGCCAGGCGGGAGGTTTCACGGGGTCTTTGGCTTGGTAGGATTTTGTTTAGTCGGTTATTTGTTTTTGCTTGCTTGTTCGTTTTGGGGCCTGGATCTCTCTGTATGGCCCCAGCTGGTAACTTGCCTCAGGTTCCTCAACTACTACCATGGCAGCAGTGATCCACTGTTTGGTTTGTAGACATTTGACTGCTACACGAAAGAAACTTTTACCAGGTAATTCCCCATTGTAATCCCAGAACTTCACAGAGAGAGGCAAGGTCACACACAGCTACATTTGCAAGTTAAACTATCATCACACAAAGAAGGAAGCACACAAGAAAGCTATGTGTCAGTCACCAAAATTGGCTTCAACAAAATAGTTGCACATCTCAATGTTCTGGAAGAAAGCACAATAGTACTTTGGTCTGTTGTGAAGATTATTCCATAACAATAGAATGTGGTTTCAATTTGTTGTACTGAGCATGTCTCTCTCATGTTGCATACAGTGCTGGATGATGCTTGTAAAGTTTTAAGAAGAACCTGCTAACCAAATTTTCAATGTAAAAAAAAATAGGAGGCAACTGAGGCGGGAGAGATGGCTCGGTGGTTAAGAGCATTGGCTGTTCTTCTAGAAGACCTAAGTTCAATTCCCAGCAACCACATGGTGGCTCACAACCATCTGTAATGAGATCTTGCACCCTGTATGCTGGCAGCATACAGACAGACACAGTATACATAATAAATAAATCTAAAAAATGTTTTTGAAAAAAATAGGAGAAAACTTGTTTCATTTTTTCATGTTGTTGAACTTTATAATAACAGTACATACTTTGTGGAAACTTGTATAGAATTTTCCTGAAAATAATCACAGTGAAAGATATACAGTTGTTTTAAAAAGGCAGACATTTTGTTATTGAACCCTAAAGCCTCCAAATATAATAAAAGTAGAGTGTTGTTTTTTAAAAGAGGTATGTCTTTTAAAACACTGCACAGGTGGAGCTGAAGAGATGGTTCAGAAGTTAAAAGACCAGATACCAGGGCAAACACCCATATTCATAAAAAAATAAAACTTAAGAAATTTAAATGTGTTCTATTAAAATATTTGTAAAGTGGGTTTTAGATTTGTGTATATAAATGGTTTTCGTGTCTGTGTATGTACCACATGTGTCCCTGGTACCTGAGCCAGTCAAGAGTGTAGTGGGCCTGGGTGGTGGTAGCACATGCCTTTGGTCCCAGTGCTCAGCCGACAGAGACAGGTGGATAACTGTGAGTTTGAGGCCAGCCTGATCTACAGAAAAAGTTCCAGGACAGGCCCCAAAGCATCACAGAAACCCTGTCTTGAAAAACCAAAAAAGTGTAATGGATCCCTTGGGACCAGTTATGGGGATGCTGGGAGTCCATCCTGGGTTCTCTGTAGCAGCAGAAAGTGTTCTAAACTGCTGCACCATCTCTCCAGCCCCATGCCAAAGTATTTTTGAGTTGGAGAGATAAACATCTTAAAACGTTTTTGAAATACAGATTTTCCTAGCCAAAAATATTCTAGAAAGAAATTTTTAGACTGCTTATATTGAAAAACAAACAAACAAAAAAAAGTAAAGTTAAAGAAACCCCCCACTTGAAATGAAGGACTTACCTGGAAACCAATATCTGTTCCTTGGAATTTGCTAACTTCCCCTCACAAGATCCTGAAATAACAAGATACCAAGAATCCACACTGCCCCTCCTTTCTTGTGAGTCAGCAGGTGGTGAATAGGGTCCTTAGGAAACAAAGAGATAACTGTACCTCCGGTTTGCCCAGACAAGATTAATTAGCACACCCTGAGGCCCTAAGGTCTGTTGATCCTAATAGCAGACCACCCGGCCTCAAAGGGTCAAGTACTCAATGGTCAGAGGGTCCCACCCCCTCCCTAAGCTTGTGGGCTTGTCTTTAAAAACACCTGTGCCCGGAAGAGGGGGCTTCTCCCTAGCCTGCATGCTGGAGGAGCCCGTTTACGCAAACATTTCCTGTTCATTAAAGCCTCTTGCTTGTTGCAGCAACTGGACTGGACATTGAGTTCTTGGGGTACCGACCGAAACTGGAAGACTCCTCATTCTGAGGGTCTTACAATATGAAGCAATATTCATATATATATATATTTCGAAAAGATCATTGTCTAGCATTAAAACTTTCCCAGATCAGACAGGCATAGTGCCACATGCCAGAGGGAAGAGGATAAGGAGTTCAAGGCCAATCACAGCTACACGTGAGTCCAAGTTTTCTGTAGGCTATGTGAGGCCATGGCTCTAAGGGAAGAAACAGAACAAACAAACCAAACCAAGAAAAGGCCAGCCAGTATAGTGAGATAGTCCTTCTGTGGCACTAACCACGCCCATTGGGGGTGGAGCCATGGGCAGAAGTGACCTGTGGAAGGAGGTCGAAGAGAGTCTGGAAAAGCTCTCTTGCTGTCGTGACTCGGACGGGAGAGCATGGGTTGAATTTCCTGGTGTTCATCTGTCTAGGTTGTAAGTTATTTCTCCCTGAATAAACATCTATTCGGCCTATTTGTTTATCCTGATCCTTATTTAACCACGATAAGCCAGATGGCTCAGTGAGTTAAAGAACTTGCAGTTAAACCTGACAGCCTGATGAGATGACTAAGGTAGCACCATCTTGTCCTAACTCTGTTTTGCCTCTGCCTGGGCCTGCCTCAATCTTCCACACCACCAACGGCCACATCTGCCTTGGCTTTGCTTTTGGAACTGCTTGTGACCCTGACCATGGTCCAGAGGCATTAATCAAAGTAACTGATGTCTCTGCAAGCTAAAATAGATATCAAAAATAATTAAGAGGAAGTATAAATCAAAAATAATTGTCTAGAAAATACTGATAAGCGCTGCAAGAAAACATATTACTGGGCCGCCCCAAATCCCTCACTGATAACATCCCCAAGCACAAGTAATTATGTTTTTTGTCTTGCAAAACACTGTAACCATGCGGAAGGTGATGTCACATGCCTTTAATCCCCAGCATTCGGGAGGCAGAGGCAGAAGGATTTCTGACTTAGAGACCAACCTGGTCCACAGAGTGAGTTCTAGAACAGCCAGAGGGCTATACAGAGAGAAAAACCCAAACCAGTTGGTCACTGCCCGCTTGGGCCTATTAGCGCCGGTCCTGTCAGCCACGTCCCGCAGGGTGGTGGGCACGCTGCGCCCCCCACCCCGGAGCCTCCTGTTCTGGATGTGAAGTGACCCTTCCTGTCCCGAGAGTCGCTGAGTGGCCAGGCCTTTGGTCGCCACTGTAGGCCTCAACGTTCCTGCTTGTGTTCGTTACTCCCATACAGCTGTGAAGGTTGCCGACTTCTCCGATTACCGTGGTGCGGATGTCCTAGACAGCACAAAGTCTTCTAAAGAGAACAGTGAGGCTAGAAAAGGCTTCTCGGACCTGGTAACTGCAACTACTACTGTGGGCGTTGCGTACAGTCAAAAATGTGGTCACCCGGTTTGTTTCTAGCATGAGCGCTTCTGCTGATGTACTGGCCATGTCGAAGATCGAGATCAAGTTGTCGGATATTCTGGAAGGAAAGAATATGGCTTTCAAGTGGAGAGGCAAACCTCTGTGCGCCATAAAACCCAGAAGGAGTTTGCCCAGGAAGCTGCAGGTGAAGTGTCCCCGTTTTGAGGGATCCCAGCATGACTTAGAGCCAGTAAAGTAACTGATAGTATTTTGATAGGTGTGTCTACACTCATCTTGGTTGTGTGCCTATTGTAAACGCAGGTGGCCATTATTGCCCGTGCCATGGGTCGTGCAAGCACTATGATGCCTCTGGCAGGATCAGGAGGGGGCCTGCGCCTCTCAACCTGGAAGTGCCTACCTAAGAGTTCACCAGTGATGGTGTAGTTGTTGTGGGGTAGACACTGGACAGAGGCCCAGGCTTCTTTCAGTCTTTCTGTCCCCTCAAAAGGGTTGAGAGTAAGCCTTGTGTTCTTCTAGGTTGGCTGATTTGAAATATTTAAGAATGTGAATAATGTATTGGCAAACATTAATGTGAAGTAATTGAATTCACTCTTAAATATTGTCAAGCATTACCGTAACAATGCCACCGTTGAACATCATTAAATTAAAAAAAAAACCAAACCAAAAATTAATTTAAATAAATAAATAAAAATACTGTACTCCTAGGCTTCGGCACCAAGAGACTCTTGGGAATGAATTCACCCTTGATTGCTAGCTAATAAAAGAACTCACACTTTTTTTTTTTTTTTTTTGCCATTTTTTTGTTGTTGTTGAGCTAAAAACTTCCCCCATTTCCCTCCTGCCCTCCCCTCTCCTCCCACCCTTCCTCTGCCCTCCATGCTCTCAATTCACTCAGGACGCTTGCTGGGACTCTGATGGACATTGCATTGAATCTATAGATTGCTTTAGTAAAACTGCCATTTTTACTGTTAATTCTACCCATCCAAGAGCATGAGAGAGCTTTACATTTTCTGATGTCTTCTTCAAAGACCTAAAGTTCTTGTAATAGAGGTCTTCATTTGTTTGGTGAGAGTTACCCCAAGATATTTTATGTGATTTGTGGCTATTGTAAAGGATGATGCTTCTCTGATTTCTTTCTCAGCCCATATATATATATAAAGGCTGTTTTTTTTTTTTTTTTTTTTTAGTTAATCTTGTATTCTGCTACATTACTAAAGACTTTTAATTGGCTTAATTAACATAGTTGTCAATAACAATCTTGCATGGATCATTTTCTGTGGATCATTTCTCTTTCTTACACACAAACACACACCCCACATAAATGTAATATTTTATTAATTTTTTTCATTCATTTTACATCCTGACTGAAGTTTACCCTCCCTCCTCTCCTGCCGCCTTCCCTGAGTCTTCCCTCAATTCCCCTTCCCTCCACTCCCCCTGGAACCCCTCTCAAAAAGGGCAGGCCTCCCTTGGGAGTCAACAAAGCATGGCACATCAAGTTGAGGAAGGACCATGCTCCTCCCCATGCATCCCAGCCATCCCAGCTTGAGGAACAGGTGCTTTGCAGAGCACCATTAAGGCATTTTTCCAACAGCATGAGAACACTCCTCCACTGGTGGTGGGAGTGCAAACTTGTACAGACACTTTGGAAATCAGTATGGCAGTTTCTCAAACAATTGGGCATCAATCTTGAGCATATACCCAAAGGATGCTCAATCATACCACAAGGACTTTACTCAACTATGTTTATAGCAGCTTTATTTGTAATAGCCAGAACCTGGAAACAACCTAGACGCCCCTCAACTGAAGAATGGATAAAGAGAATGTGGCACATCTACACAATGAAGTATTACTCAGCTATAAATGTCATTAAAAAAAAAAAAAAAAAGCAAGCAAAGACAGGAGGTGGTGGTGGTGCATGCCTTTAATGACAGCGCTTTCAGGATAGCCAGGGCTACACAATGAAACTGTCTTGGGGGGAAAAAAAGCAAACAAAAATTCCCAGGTAAAACATCTAGATATTTGCTGAATTTTATTAGCATTGTCAGTTAAAATAAACATGTACCATGTGATATTTGGGACACATACTAAAAGTCTGCATGTTTGTGTGTGAGCAGATGCATGTGTGTGCGTCAACCTGTGTCCTTATTATTTATCAGTGAGTGTATGTGTATTTGCCTCAGCACGCATGTGTAGTTCTTCTCTCCGTCCATCTTTACATGGATCCCAGGGATCGAACTCCAGTTGCCAGGCTTGCTCCACCAGTGCCTTTCCTCACTGAGCTGTTTCCAGACAGGGCCTCTTACTGGGTATAGGAAGCACAGCTTAGAGTAAGCACTGGAGAAACCAGGACTGTCAATTACACTGGAGAAATCAGGACTGTCAATCATGCAGGTCCATTGTCTTCACCTAAGGAAAGGAATGTCACCTGGTCTCCTGGAATGCCAGTGAAAGTGGTCAAACACCAAGGGATCCCTTGCTGTCCTATGAGGAGCCAGGCTCCACCTGAATCCCCCAATATCCTGAGCATTGTTGAGGCCCTAATCCTGAGCTTTGACTGTGAATAGAACACATCCATATGAAGGAGGCCCCGTGTACTCTGCATCCTCCATTGATAGAATCCATCATTATGCTCATTACAGTCCCTCCTCTAGGTCCTAGCCTTGAGCTCTGTTTATCAGCCAACAGAACTGTTGCAATGGTTACTTGTTTTGCTACTTTGCTAGGGAGTTTCTCTGTAGCTATGCCTAGCCTAAACTGTGCCTTAATAATTGTCACCTTGCAATCTTTTTTCAAAGCTTTACTGTGTTGGAATGTGTAAGCAGAAGCATCAGACTCTCTAGAGAAAGCTTGATCATGTCTTCAATGTTTCTTCCTTGCTGGTGATACCTGAAGGGACCCCACAACAACTGGCATTTGAAGCTCACCGATTAGCCTAGGCTGGCTGCACAGCAAGTGCCAGGCACCCACCTGCCTTTGCCTCGGCACAGCTGGGACAGCAACAGGTGCCCCCATGTGCTGCTCTTGGCTTGCATGCTGGGGCTCAGCTCCACCCTCATGCCATCTGCTCAGCCCCTTTATGATGCTTTGTGTTTTCTTATTAACTTGTGCAAACCTGGATACAGGGATGCCCCACTAGAAGATAAAAGTGTTAATTGGCCTCAGCCATCTGGGTACATGGAAAGGACAGGTTAAATTCATTTTTCATCTTAAAAATGGAAAGGCCCCAGGCAGTGGTAGTGCACGCCTTTAATCCCAGCACTTGGGAGTCTACTTCTCTGGAAGACAGATCTCGGTGAGTTTGAGATCAGCCTGGTTTACTGGGGGAGTGCCAGGACCGTTTCACCTAAAAACCTTGTCTCAAGAAACAAATACAAAAAGGAAAAAGTAGTTAAACATCAAACGGACTCAGTTCCTTATGCAATTAACTCAGAAACAAACTGACAAAAGCCCTCCCTGCCCTAAACACTGACCATGCAGTGTCTCCTAAGGCCAGAGAGGGAAGGGCTCATTAGAGTCCTGGGCTGCCACTGAAGTCCTTTAAACAGCCAGGGTGAACCACTCACCATCATGTGCAGATAGGATGTGCTAGGTGTTATAAATCAGGCACTCGCCCAGTGCCAGCGAGACAGCAGCATGTGTCATTACTGAACCCTTCACATTTCAGGGAAACTCGTTTATCGAAAGCTTTTATAACTTTGTGCAGTAATCTAGGGCAAAGTACCTACAAACTACAGAAAAAAACATACTTCCCTACCTGCGGCCACCACCACCCCTTCTCAAAAACAAAGAATGCCAACAAGGAGATTAAGCAGGGAGTTTTATTACTGAATGTAACAATTCTACAAAGGCTGCAGTCTGCTGTGTAAGTGTTGCTGCCCGTCTTAGTCCCTCAGAGCTTCGGGCAGAGTGGCTTAAGGCATCAAGTGTAAACCTTTTTCCTTGTTTCATTTTGTGCCAGATCTCACCAACGGTCACACAAAGCACTTGCTTTTTTCTTCTTTCTTCCCACTGCAGTTGAAGGGCTAGTGTCGGTCAAGTAAGAGGGTAATGCTTGACTCCCAGTCAAGGTGTTAATGCAAAGTAACTAAAAATAGCAGCCACAAAATCTGCATGGTATTGCATCCAAGCAAAGGACAACATTAGTAACAAAGAAATGTGTGCATTTAATCGAATCGCATTTCCCCTTGAGTTACAGGAGGCAGCGCTAGGTAATAGCTAGTGTCTACGATTGCACTTCTGAAGCATAAACAAAGCTAAACCCGGAGCTGTGGTTCCTCTCCAACAGCATCAGGGTTTACCTTAGTCCAGCATGCTGACTAGCCTTAAGCTTTTACAGGCTTTCATTACTCGACAGTTGAGGCATCAGAGAAAAAGGCTACCGTAATATATACAAGCATTCACTTTGGTTAGTATACTGCTTTCCAGAATACACTGTTCAAATAGTCTTTTTGTGACATTAAAAACTATGGAGTTTTTCTTATTAAAGTCCAAACCATCAACAATGAAAAAAGTACAATATAAAATAATACACATGAAGCCGAACATTCATACAGCTCAAACTACGAATTCTAACTACATGTAGCTGCTTCATTTTTGGTCTCAAATTTTGGCCCCACTTTATCCTTATTTACAACTGGTACCTGCTGAGAAAGCCATCCAAACCCTTCAACCAGGCATATGTATGTGTGGAGATGGGACATGGGTGCTGGGACTAGAACCCAGGGATCAAGCATACTAAGCAAGAGCTCTACCACTGAGCTACAGGCCCAGCCTGTCTGAGGTGTTTTAAAAATCTGTTTTTAACTATAAGGCATCCTGATGGCATATTGAAGAAAACTAATATTTGGGAAAATACTAGTTTTATTTTATTTCTTTTCTTAGTTTGGTACTTAGTATTCTAAGAATTCTAAGTAATTAAGTACACTTAAATAACTTAGAAGAGTGGGAATACACAAGGAAGCTTCCATAGCAATTAGTGGTGGATAGTGGATACCAGTGGATACTTTTTACTCAAAGACTTAAACAGGAAATAACTGATGCCACTTTACCTGGAAGTGAGACATTTGACTTCAAATTCACATTTTAAGTTCCTATTTGCACTCAGCAAGGAGCCTGGTATGTGCAAGCTGCTTGCTATTAAGATTTGGCTTCACCAGGTGTTGGTGGTGCACAGCTTTAGTCCCAACACTCAGGAGTCAGAGGCAGGTGGATCTCTGAGTTCGAAGCCAGCCTGGTCTACAGAGCAAGTCCAGGACAGGCTCCAAAGCTACAGAGAAACCCTGTCTTGAAAAACAAAAACAAAAAGATTTGGCTTCACTGGCTCAACATTTTTCACCCCACCAAAAGACAAGGCCCAGGCCCAGTGTCCAGACACGCTGTCTGAAAATACTGCAGCCTGAGTGGAGACAACATCCCCTGAAATTGCTAGAAGTTTTCTTGTCGGATAGTTTCAGGATCACCATACGTCTTTCAGACACTGAAGGGAGAGAGAGAGAGAGAGAAAAAAACAAACACTATTATAACTTCTCAATTTAGTCTTTAAATTCTTAGGAGACTAACAGCTTTCAGACAGCCCCCGTTGTCATTTCACAGTGAGAGTCACATACTCAATGGGTTAGGAGTGAACGGGCTGGCAAGGCCATCTGGCGTTTTCGGTAATACCGTTCCCCTTCTATTACTCAATGTATTTAACATGTACCATTGCACCTGCCAAACTCATTTCAGTTCCAGTTTTACCCATTCTTCAGCGTTGATCAAGTAGTTATCATATTCTTCTAGCGTTAGAAGCTCCACTCAATATTAAAGGCTTCACACACAGGAATAAGGAGGCAGAAGAAAGATTTTCTATGAGTTACAGGCCAGTCTGCTCTACATAGAGATCTAGTCTTGAGAAAACCAATAAAGTGAAACAAAACATAGGTTTGGAGAAATGGCCCAGTGGACAGCTCTGCTTGGGGCTGCCTGTAACTCCAGCTGCAGGGCTCTGCTGTCCTGTTGGCCTTAATGGGCACCACATACTCACGTGGTGCACACATGCAAACACACAAACCTTGACAGGCTAGAGAAGGCTCAGTGGTTAAGAGCACAAACCACTCATATACAAGACCCAAGTTTAGTTCTCAGGATGCCAATCAGGACATCCCAGCTGCCTGTAACTCCAGACTAGGGTGATCAACATTTCCAGTCCATCTCTTCAGGCACACAGACACACATATAATTAAAATCGAACCTTTAAAAATAAATGGTGGTCAGGCAGTGGTGACACATGCCTTCAATCCCAGCACAAGGGATTGTGAGTTGGAGGTTAGCCTGGTCTACAAAGCTAGTTCCAGACAGTCTCCAAAACTACAGAGAAACCAAGTCTTGAAAAACCAAACGAATCTTGAGGAGCTGAAGAGATGGCTCAGAGGTTAAGAGGACTGACTGCTCTTCCAGAGGTCCTGGGTTCAATTCCCAGCACCCACATGGCAGCTCACAACTGTCCATATCTACAATTTCAGGGGATTTGACACCCTCACAAAGAAAAAACACCAACGCACATGAAATAAATTTAAAAGGAAAAAACTTGAGAAAAAAATTTTAAACAGTAGCAAGTGAAAAAAAAATCCTAAAATTCACAATTTTAAACAAAAATGACAGACATCAATACAGCACCAAGACGTGAGTAAGCCAATGGGAGTCTCTAAGCCAGTGACTGACCAGCACCACTGTCCAATCAGCTCCTTCTCACCCTCTGCGGGTCGTCTCAAACTCTTCGGCAAACCTCCACCTTGACACATTTACATTACAATTCATAGCAGTAGCAATTACAGTTATCTGTTAGCAACAAAAATAATTTTATGGTCAGGGATCACCACAACAGGAGGAACTGTGTATTAAAGGTTGCAGCATTAGGAGGGTTACAACCATTGCTTTAGGTGGTCATGCTACATCCATTAGACTGACTGGTTCTGGTACTAGGGATCAAACCCAGGTTTTCACACATGCTAATAAGTGCTGCCGAGCACACCCCTGAGTCCCCTCGGTCACCTTGAAGATAAGAAAGTGTAGTAGGCAGTGGTTAACCTGGCATAGCAAGCCACTCATACTCACAGATACAGATGTATAAATCTTAACAGGTGGCTGGTGATGAACACCCAGGAGGAAAAGCTGAGTCCTGATCATGTACACTCTTGTGGACAGCATCCCTTTTAAAATGTCTTATTATTATTTTTTTAAGTGTATTCATGTGTGTCTGTGTGGGATATGTGTGGGATATGTGCGTGTCAGTGCAGGTGACTGAGGAGGGATGAGAACCCCTGGAGCTAAAATTACAGTAAGCTGTGAGTCCCCTGACTTGGGTTCTAGGAACCAAACACAGCTTGTCAGTGAGAGCAGTATGTGCTCTTTGGTTTTTCAAGACTGGGTTTCTCTGTGTAGACCATGCTTGGCCTCAAACTCAGAGATTTGCCTGACTCTGCTTCCTGGATGCTGGAATTAAAGGCATGTGCCACCACCGCCACCACCGCCACCTGGCAAGCAGTATGTGCTCTTAAAACACTGAGGCACCTCCCCAGCACATTCTGTCACTGATCTCCAAACAAGAAACCATCCCCAGTAGCAGTAACCAGACTAGGTATGGTGGTGCACATTTGTAATCCCAACACTCTAAAAGAGGCAAGCGAACCACCCCCAAATTCAAGGCCAGTCTGGGCTACACAGACAGTACCAGGCTAGCCAGGAGACACAGCAACACCGTATCAACATTCACTCTGCAAATAGTCCAGAAGCATTTCAAGGCATATGGGAGAGTAAATATGGGCTATAAACTCATGCTGTCCAGGTTTATATGAAGGTTGGGGGCACCTGTGGATTTTTGGTACATGAGGTCTCGCATTCCAAGGGCTGGCTGGAAGACAGAGCTCGGATAAAAGCTTTAAAAAGACAGGTTTCCCCATGCTGCTTTATTTACAGGGTATATAGAACAAAAACAAAAATACTGAAAATTAAAACCTTGGCATTGGTCACACTTTTACATGTAAATGAGAGACAGATGAGATTAAAATGGAAATGCATCCGGTTTCCTTTCATGGGGCCAGTCTGAAATATGGTCAAGACTAAGTAACAAATTCTAGACTCGGTGCAACTTAAAATCAAGTACTCAAAAAATAAAACCAAAATCCTACATGCTAGTTTGTTAGCACACGCGTTTAAAATGTGGTTTACAAAGAGGCAGCTTAGTGCTTAGCTTAAAACACTAAATGGAAGAGCTCTTAGGATACAGAAAAACATGGGTAAGGAAATCTATCAATTACACATCATGGTTGTACAATTTCCCACTTCTTTAGCCAACAATACCCTAGTTTTCCTTTTTGCCTCTCCTCATTGCTAATACCACAGAGAGGCAATTTTACCACCAGCTAAAAGAGCAAATCAGACAGCCAGTGAGAGTCTTGCATGACCCAACAAGATGAGAGTCATGAGGCATGCCAGTGAGCCCAATTCCTGGCTTGCTTCCGACTTAAAAGTTGTTGACGGGTATTTCATGACATGAACCCAGCTAACACAAGGTCCTGGGTCTCCCACGTCAGTCAAATCTGAGCCTGGTAGTTATCTGTCCATCAATTCCACTCGCCTATTCCCAGATCACTAAACTGAACTAAGAGTGCCCTTTGTGAGCACCTAAAAGTACATACACGACCTCAGTTGTTGCGGGGAAGGGTCAGAATGATTAAAGGGCATTAGTTTAGTCTCCTCAGACCCTCCTTGATCTCAGTGAAGTCAGCGGCATTCCAGGGTGTAATGATGGAGCTGCAGCATCCTACCGGCTAGCAGGAAGAGAGACTCTCAGGACAGAGAAAAGTGTTTCCTTTTCTTCTTTGCAACAATAAAAACAAATAGCATGATCCAAAGATAATTTTTAAAGTTTTAAATATAAACATTCACAAACTTCTCTTTCCTTTCTGGTAAGATGTATGTTAAAACAATGCTTTGTTTTGTCATGAACTATCATTAAACTATTATGTACACATATTTTTTTTTTCCTTTTCTTTTTAGAGACAAGGAAAGTGTTATGCTGCAGACCAGCTTGAGTCCACCAGTTGAGAGTTGAATTTTGAACTCTTCCAAGAGTTGAGATTACAGGTGTGAATTGCCATGCTCACTTGTTACTTTGAGTTTAATTTTTGAGACTGGGGACTCTCTTTTGTCATCTGGCCTGAAACTCATGGAAATCCTATCTCTGCCTCATAAGTACTAGACTTGTGAACATACACTAACAAGCAGCTACATAGGAATTTTAAAAGGTATGAAATTAGCCTGGGTTATACAATAAGAGCCTGTCACAATAAAACAAAAAAGAAAAGAAGCATAACTCATTATGTATGCTGACCTTGAATTCTTTGTAATTCAATGTCTTTGTAATTTCAATGTCTCCCTTAAGTGTTGGGATTACAGACAGAATCATCACAAAGAACAACCTTTACTGGCCTCTGTGGTGTACAGACATACATGTAGGCAAAATACCCATACACGATATAGAATAGTGTGTATATATACGTGTGTGCATGCGTGCAAGCACATATGCACAAAAGTAATAGATTCTATGGAGGGAATAGAAAACACTCTCGAAATGTAAGTTCCTATTGTTTGGGGATGACAGCACAGTGACAAAGGCTGAAAGGAGGCACAGCTCAAGGAGGTTCAGACCCAGAGAGACCAAGAAGCCACAACCCTAGGTCAGTTATATGAGAAGACTCTAAAAGAGAAATCTTAGGGATGAAACACGCTAAAGAGCCGAGTAGAGCAGACTGAGCTCCTATGCCCAGAGGCAGGGCATTCTGAGCAGCACAGAGCACTGAATGGACGGCACAATTCAAGGGACAGTCCTGGGCTAGAGGCCGGAGCAGGAAAGGGTTGGTGCGAAGAAGCTAGAGAAATCTTCATTAGTTCTTAATTACTCTAATTAGACAGTGAGTAAAGCACATTTCTGTAAGCATAAGATCCATAGTATCAAGACAGAACCTTATAAAGCTTACAGCAGGGTGGGATAGGGTAGGGCACAGCTCAGGAGCAAAGAGCGCTTGTCTGGCTATACACAGCCCAGGGATCTGTTCCCAGATCCACAAAAATATAGTTTACAGATTTTGTTTATATTCATTAATCCACCTGATTCCCAGATGTTAGGTCAAATACTCAACATTGATGTCTGTGTCTCTTACAGCACTGAGAAATGTCACCTCTAACACAGAACACATCTATAGACAAGCAATAGTGATAGATTGAAACTTAGGTAAAAACACCATCTTTGGGACCTCAGGAGTAGACTACAGGGAGAGAACAGGTTAGGCATGATCATCTTTAACCCCAGCACTTGGGAGGCAGAGGTAGGTGGATCTCCATGAGTTAGAGGCCAGTCTGGTCTACAGAGTGAGTTCCAGGATAACTAGAGAAATCCCTGAAGAAACTAAAGAAACAAACAAAACAAACACACAAAACCAACAACAACAAAAAGACTTGTCTTGTTAGAACAGAAAAGGAGACATTTCTTTCACCCAAATGTGAAGCCTCCCTCTCAGGGATGGGGTGCTCTGGGCACACTCAGTAACTTGTGAAGGACTTTCACTATCTTGCAGGAACATGAGCAGACAAATGAAAAGGAAAAGGTATCATGAGCTAAAATGACGCGGTTTCTTCCATGGGACCCGGACACGTTCCCACTTAGAGGAACAACAATCCTTGCCAGGCCCCAGCTACTGTGAAGCCTCACTGGAAAAGGCCAATCCAAACCTCTTCACTTGCCCCAAAACTATGTGTGGCTCAGAGTGAGCACCCACACCGAAGAGTCACAATTCTAGAAAACGATGGAATGCTGGCAATTACATCTCCAGTTTCAGTTCCAACAACCAAATGTGAAGAAATGGGCCTCACGAATCCACGGATGTGGCTCGGTGGTACCACCTCCCGGGCAACCAAACAGAATGCCAGCAACCTTCTTGCAAAACTTGTGGGTTAATAGGAAGGGCCCTTCTTACCAACAACCCGTTAGCTATCAACGTTTCTTCCCTTTAGCTTTAAATTGAAAGGAGAGAAAAAAAGGCACACAATGAAAGTTTTTCAATAATTTTGGAACAAAAGACATTTTTGAACATGAGGTCTTAACGATATTGTCCAGGTTGGTCTCAAACGCTAGTCTAGGCTCAAGTGATCTTCCTGGTAGGAAATAGCAGGTATGTAGGTATATACCTCAAAAAAAGCAAATTCCTCTAGAATGGTGATTTTTGTCTTTTCTATAACATTTGTATGTAGAGCACACGGGGGAGTCAGTTCTCCATATGTGGAACTCAGGAATCAAATTCAGGTTATCTGGCTAAGCAGCAAATGAGCCATCTTGCTGGCTACCTTAATTACACACACACACACACACACACACACACACACACACACACACACACGGAGGAAGAGAAAGAAGGAAAAAAGGAAGGGGAGAAAGAAGAAAAGCACTCTTAGCCCACCTCACAATTGAAAAATAAAGAAATATCCAAAAAGACATTTATTCCAGAGTTGCACACACAACTCCACAGCAGCACACAATTCTCATTCATATACATTACACTGATACCATGTCCTTAGATTACAAACTTCAGTCCAGACTACATTCCGTCAAAGTCTTCTGACAATTCAGTAAGGTCAGCATAGCCCTAATCGTCCTACAGAAGCCTCAGATGGATCTTGGCATCTCTATTTGGGCCTCTCTGGGTTAGCTTACATGATAGGTCCTTACAGATCCTTACCTTCTTTTCTGAGGACGATCTAACTGCTTGGGCCCTTAAATACAAACCCATTCTTTGGGTAGAGTCCTGGCCTGGTCATTTGTGTGTACAAGTCCATCCTCGGTTGCATACTAAAATGCAAGTTAAAACAAACAGGATCAAAAGGCGGACAGCTTGTCACTGTAGATGTCATTTTAACTAAATATATCAACAAAAGTAAATGACATTTAGATCTTAGGAAATGACACCATTATAAGCCACACACAGATACTCAATGTTTCATTTATTACTTAACAAAATCTCTCCTTGGAGGAAGCTACATTGAGTACTATATGGATTAAAACCTGAAGCACAATCACCTGACCACTAAGGAGGAGGATCAAATCTGATATTTTGGTTTGAACATGATAATATTATGTATGGATCGATGTACATCGGTGGACCAGAAGAGGTCACTGGATGCCACAGATGGTTGTGAGCTGCCACATGGGTGCTGGGAATTGAACTGTGGACCCCTAGATGAGCAGCCAGAGAGCCATCTTTGAAGCCCAGATCTGATCTCTTAATAATAAGTTCATATAGCTTCAGGTGTGACAGGATAGCACCTATTTGGGCATAAATTACTTTGTCAAGCATTATATACGAGATCTCCCTCAAACCAGTGAATTTCATTTATTTGTTTGTTTTTTTGTTTTTGGAGACAGGGTTTCTCTTCATAGCCCTGGCTGTCCTGGAACTCACTCTGTAGATCAGGCCAGCTTCAAACTCACGGAAATCTGCCTGCCTCTGCCTCCTGAGTGCTGGAATTAAAGGCATACACCACCACTGCCTGGCAAAATTTTAAATAGTTTTAAATTTGAAATAAACCATTCTTGGTTGGGTACTAAATAAAATTTTCTGTGAGTCATGGAAAGACCCAAAGTCAGAATGTCGAGGAGGAAACCCAGTATTTATTGAAAACTCAGAGCCCTTGGAAGTAACAGCTAATGGGGGGTGTTTTAGGTAGTGAGGGCTCTCTGGAGCCACCAGTATAACCAGTTCACCAGTCACTTTACTATCAAATCAACTCTCTCCCTGCCAAATATTTCTAAGTATTTTATCTTCAGAAATTCCTTTTTTCATTCCTGACAGGCTTCTCTCCATACCACAGACTAGATCCAAACTGCACATAATTTCTAATCCTCTTGCTCGTACTTCCAAGTGCTGGGGTTACGGACACATGCTGCCATGTTGGGTTATGAATTGTTGAAGATGAAACTCAAGGCTTCCTGCATGGAAGTAATCCCGTCACCAGGGGAGCTGTAGTTCAGTCCTGTTTTGTTTCTTTTTGTTTTGCAAAAGCAAAACATAAAATCTTTTGCTACACCTTAGGCTGGCTTCAAACTTCCCTCTTCAGCCTGAGCGCTGGGATTACAAGTATGTGCCATTACAACCTGTTACAACAGGTTTGGTAGTAGGACCTATGTCCTATATCCTACTTAAAAATTACTCCCGACTCAAAAGTTCCGTACTCCTCTACAAGCTCTGTACCCCTCCTACTCCTGTAAGTAGGAAATTCGCAAAGTTGGAATAGTTAGAAATGCTACTGAACTTAATGGGGACATATATCTACATTCCTTATTTAAAGAGTATGGGGTCCCCCTTTCTTTTCCTGTGGTTTTTTTTTTTTTTTTTTTTTTTTTTTTTTTTTTTCAAGACCATGTAGCTCTAGCTGTCCTCACTCACTATATAGACCAGGCTGGCCTCACAGAGGTCCACCTGCCTCTGCCTCCTAAGTGGTGGATTAAAGGTGTGCACCACCACACCTAAGATAATGTATCCCTATTACAATGATGTTTGCCATTATGATTCCAAGTTCTATATTCATTTAAAAGATGAAATTGGACACCACTGGCAAATTTCACTTAATCAAGAAGCTATTGCTGAATACATAAGCATACATATGAAATTATAAATTAATCACTAATCATAGTCATGTAAATAAAATTAATCATAAAGAACCAGAAATAAAATTAAAACAAGTCATTAACAAAATAACTGGCATGGTGATACATGCCTTAAGTCTCAGTATTTGAGTGACAGAGACAAGTGAACCTCTGTGAATTCTAGGCTAGCCTGGTCTATAGAGTGAGTTCCAGGCCAATCAGAGCTACATACTTAAATCCTGACAGAAAAGAGAGGAAAAGGAGAGCGGAAAGCAGAAGAGAGGGAAGATGGATAAATGACTATAAACAAGAGCAAATAAAAAATGGCCAACAGCCATTTTTACACTGTGGGTAAAGATTGTAAACAGACTTTGAAAACAAAGTTGTAGAACAACTTTGAAGCAACCATCTACAGATTTTAGCACCTGTGACAAAGCCAAGAAATCTAGGGCCCCACAAAGGAAGCAGCTGTTACCTGAAGAGCCAACAACAGCTAAGGTGGCACAGACTTTTTAAGAAAAACCTAAGTTTTACTTAAGAGCGAAAAGAAATTGGCTTAGGAATAAGCACTTGAATTCACGTCTCACAGCCTGAATTGCTGTAGGCAGATACTGGAACTACAGTTTTGAATGACTGAGTCCCAAAGCAATGCAATTCATTGATCCAGTTTATAGGTTTGAAATCTTCAGCAGGTGCATGGTGCTACTATAAACTCAGCACCTGGGGAGCAGAGCCGAGAAGTCACCGAAGTGGAAGGCGAGCCTGATCTACACTACATCGTGAAGATGTACATGAGAGTGTATCTCAAACTAATTCAATAAAAAAATAGAAAACAAATTTCAAATACTTTCAAAAGAGGAGCGGAAAACCCAAAGAAATGACGTAGCGTCATCGTGTTTCCAATGATAGCAGATAATCCTAACTCTGAATGACTTTAGGAGCTACTCAAGAGAATATACCATTTTTGAAGCATGTCAGATCTTTAAATGTTTAAATCATTGTCACTTTTCATTAACTTAATTTGTCATGTATGTGTTTGTACACACACATGCTTAAGCACACGTGTGTGCCATAGCAGAGACATGGAGGTCAGAGGACAACTCTGGGCCGTTGGTTCTCTCTACCACGGGGCTCAGGAACTCCGGCTTGTCTGCAAGCACCATCATCTCCAAGCTACCTTGTCAGTCTGCGTCAGATTCTTCATCATAAATATAGAAATGACCCTAATTATGTGTTTGAGGGAAATATGTATGTGTCTATAATTGTCAACCATGGTACTTTTTACATAAGATTAATATTGCTTAATCTCACCATTAATGTATGTGTAGAGCTGCTTAATTTTATTCAGTATGAAAGTAAATGAAATTGGTCAAACCAAGCTTAACCGTTAAGCAAGCATGGCGGACCATTAGATTTGAAAATTCTTGAGTCTCTACAATGAAACAATACAAAAGTCGATGTTATTTGACTGAGTAACCTTTTCAATTCACTTCTAGTAAAAACTGTATAATTTTCCAGGTGGTGGTGGCACACACCTTTAATCCCAGCACTCAGGAGTCAGAGGCAGGTGGATCTCTGAGTTCCAGGACAGCCCTGGCTATACAGTGTCTCAAAAAGCCACAAACAAAAACAAAGAACAGTTGTGCAACTAAATCAGAGAAAAAGGAGGACTGTGAAGCAACGTTTAACACCCAGTCCTCCAGGAGCTGAGTCTCAGTCATCTGGAGAAGAGTGATGAGCTACTGACCAACCGAGAACCCCAAGATCTTCCAGAAGAGCACACCACGCCAGGAAGAAATGGCAACTTCCTCCTTACTGACAGAAAACAGTCCTTAAGACCATGATGGTTAGGGTCGTGAACGGGGGCTACCTAATCAGACACCGTTTTTGCTTGAGACCTCAGCCTCCTGAGTCGTGGACCACACTTGGGAAACGTACCGAGAGTAGAATGGCCTCTGCAGACATGCTCTCCCACTCTGTCCTGAGCATGTGCAGGGACATTCAGGGATCCTGCTATTCTGAAGACTCAAGCTAATTTCGGCTCTAAGATGAAAGACGACAGTGTTTGCTCACAGTCTAGTAAGACTACAAGTCACTGGATTGCAGACTTTGAAGGAAGTCTACTCCATTTTAAGTAATCAAGTGTCTTTAAGAAGGAGTTGGGTTTGCTCAGATGAACTGGAAAGGAACAGACTTCATTCCCTATTACAAACTTGTTACCAAGAAAGGCTTATGCTCAAAGACAGAAGACAGTGATGGACACAGGCAGCAGCAAAGATGGGCGAGAGAAGCCAGCGGCAGCAGAGGAGGTCATTTCATGGAGGCCAGGTGCCCCACTCCAGGCCATGTACCCAAGTCTTAGCTGAGGTGTCTGTTTATTTTCTTTTTCCAAGGGTAGTCAGAGATTTTTCAGCTTCATTTTCACCCAGTGCCATTAAGAGGCTTTCTGATTTTTAATTAGTCAGCTTGAAGCTCCATATTTAAATGTTTATTTTTATTATTTGCAGTAAGTACTGGAGACTGGTCAAGTACTCCATCATTAAACTATGTTCCTACCTCTCCTTTTCTTATCTAAAATTGTTAAAATGACATTTATTGTATGTTTGGGAGGTGCATATGCTGTAGATTGTGTCAAGACAACTTTCACGAGTGAATTCCAGGGATCAAATTCTAGTCACAAGGTTTGGTGTTAAGTACCTTCTTAAAAAATAAAATTAAGGTGGGTGTGGTGGTGCATCTTCAATCCCAGCACTTGGAAGGTGGAGGTAGGCACGTCTGACCTCTGTTGAGTTCGAGCCTACGCTACACAGTGAGTTCCAGGACAGCCTGAGCTACAGAGTGAGAGACCTGATCTCAAAAACCTAAACAAATTTTTAGTTGTAAAATTCCTGCATGTATGTATCTATGTACACACATGTGCAACCCTGATGCCCTTTGAGGCCAGAAGAGGGCACTGACTCTCTGGACAGAGTTACTGATGGTTGTGAGCCAACCATATGGGCTCTGACCCTGAACCAGTGCCCTCTACAAGGGCAGGGAGCACTATTGGCAGGCAAGCCAACTCCAAGCCCTATGGTTTTACCTACCTGTTTCTGGTTTGGTTTTCTTTTTTTGAGATAGTGCCCCATTTTGTGGCCTTGGCTGGCCTGGAACTCAGAGATCTGCCTGCCTTTTCCTATGATTAAAATCATGCACCACTATGCCTAGCTTACTTTACGTCAAGAAGTTAAGAGATGATTCCAAGGAAAACGCCTCCTTCGCAACCCTGTTCTGTTCTTCATGCACACACCTGTACTGATATGCCCTCATGCACTTTCCCATAGCACACAGGTTTGAAAAGCACAGACAGATTACAGGGCGAGAGGGTTATGGGGCAAGGATGACAGCAGAGGAAAGCCCTCATCTTGCCAAGAGGGTGAACCTGGAGTTAGGTCCTCAACAGAGACCCCGTCTGCACATCCATTAGCACAGGGACATGTTTCAAAGAATCTGTTTCTTTCCTAGCTGCATTCTTTAGGCAAACCGAGTTTATAAGGGCACTGATGACTTTTTCTTCTTCGAGCTACTGACCTGGTAACCTTGGAAGAAGTTAAGAATTTCCTTAACTCCAGTATTGTAGGCCAGGCCCTGCATTCTGACCACCGTGCCAGGCTGGGGCGGGACGCTGCTAAGATTAGCAGCTGTAGGGAAGTAGCCAAGACTATTAGGCGAACCTGGGGGGCTAAAGGGAGAGAAAGCACAGTGAACCGACTGGAACACACAATGGCGAATATTTACTCTAAAATACATTGCTTAAGAAACAGACTTTTTGAAGGTGATGTTTCTTACACTCTCCTAAGACAGGGAAGAACACCACAGAGACGCTGCTTCAGGTTTCCACAGCAGTAAGAGGGAAGGAAGTGAGGTAATGCAGGGTTAGGTGCAGGATTTTCTTCAGCCCCTCAGGTCTCACAGGGAGAGAAAGAAGTAAGATATCTCAGCCACTCAACCACCTCCAAAGCCCACATCCCTGATGGAAGGCATGAAGAAGGACCATGGCTATAAGGGACTAATAGGAACCACAGGCAAGGACAGAAAGTGTCCCAAGAGAATGCTCCCAAGAACCAACAGCTCTACCCACGTGCACGAGAAATGCAAAGCGTAAGAATGACACAGCACAGCCGATCACACCAGGGCGATCTCTGCCAACAGGTCTCTTTAAAACAGAAGAGGCAGAGTTAGAAGGGAAACAGCAAGCTCAACGATCACCATTAAAAGGAGTAAGGTCTCCTGGCATCTTCTGGAGCAGTTTCCTCCAAGAAGCACAAGGCTTGTCAGTGCCTAATTTATGTGTACCTCTAGTGACCACCATATTAGTCTCATTAACTAACTCATCAATCACCTTTATGAGATTCCCATCCAATCAGATCTCTACAATTGGAGGCCAGGTCATTACAATCTGAAATATGTACAGGAACATTTTTAACCCAGTCATAAACTTAAGAAGCAACACTGATTCCAACTTTAGATTATGAACTTGTAGTCATCTTCCCATAGAGGTAATTGCACCATTTCAGAGTAGCCACCCTACATAATTGCAACAAACAGGTTACTAGATGTGTTTCCAGCCCATAGATTACATTAATTAGCCCAGAAACCTTTCATTTGCTGTTACAAAGAGATGATCAACACCTTCAGTTTCACAGCAGAGTCCTCAGACCATAATTTAACATATCCAATCATTCATGAGATTCTGAACATTCTAAATCTTGTTAACTTATCCCTTATTAATTATTAAACACCTGAAAACAGCACTGGGCATCCAGCACTAAACCTTTAAATTTCTAAATCAGTAGATGCCAACTATGCGACAAATTTGAATTACCCTGGGAAACCTTTACACTTCTGATTAAGAACCTGCCTGTACATCCCTCCAAATTACAAATCAAAGACTCAAGAAAGCCAAATGCCCCATTACTGTACCAACATATTGTAAAGCAACCCAAGTGATTTTAATGATAACCAAGACTGAAATCACTGTTTAAGAGACTTGTGAAATCAAACTAGAAACAGAGTGTACGCTGAACTGAATCTAATCTAACATTCTGGCCACCCTTCAAGCCAACACCTCCACAGTTTTACAGGTTGAGAGAAACCTTATGAGTTAAATAGTTTCCTACTAAAAACATTATCAGTCACTTTGTCAAACTAGAAAACCACTGTTCTCTCAAGTTCAATGTTTTCTTCATATTTAACCAATATTCAGTGAGTATATGTGTTCATATTAAATATCTGACAGTCTACTATGCAAAGACTATGAAGATCTCTCCATATATTTCAATACAACCTAAACTCTTCTGTAAAAGACATGAATAATTTGTCATGTCCATAAAATATTTCTTTTCATACAGTGCCCTATCACGTTATATTGCCTTGCCTGAAGGGCTTCTATAAATTCAGTTTGGGGTCTTTGGTACCTTCAAAATATATTCAAGATAGAAGCAGATAAGGGACCAGTGAACACAGCTTAATGGGTAAAGGAACTTGCTGTCAAGTCAAGTCTGATCCTTGGAACCCCCAGGGTGGAGGGAGAGACATGGCACATGCACACACATGCCAACATAAAATGAGCACATGTATGAATCAAATACAGCAGGCTTCTTAAACTAAAAAATACAAGTAGTCAACCTAAGGGTGATGGATCAGTGGATAAATGTACTTGCTGCATAGACCACATGATGAGTTCTGTCCCTGAAATCCACACAAAAGCAGGTGACAACTGATTTGCCCTATGGCATGTGCACCGCCTGTCCACACATTCACACCTGTGCATGCGCTGTTACCAGTGTCTATTAAGAAGCCACAATTTGAAATTTACACTTATGAAGGACAATATATTCAGCTCTTGAGGTAGCAATTATCCCAATGAACATTATTTTGTCTCATTTTTCTTTCCGTTTTTCAAGAATGTCTCTGTGTAGCCTCAGAAGTCTTGCCGATTTCCTAGCATACTTATTTTCATACACTGTCCTAGTATATTTTATTGCTCTTAACTAAAGATCTTCTATAAATTTGGTACTTGCTCTGTAGACCAGGCTGGCCTGGACCTCACAGAGATCCACCTGCCTCTCTCCAAGGGCTTGGATTAAAGGTGTATAACACCACCACCATCTGGCTTCTAGTCTCGTTTTTTTCAAAACTATAATTAACTATTATAGTTTAGAAGCCATAACGAAACACAAGAAACCCATCTCTCTCCTTGACAGGGAAGGAAAGAATTTTCTATCCATCTAAAATTTAAATTCCAAGATTTTGAAAGGATTATTCAAATAATCAGCAAACTGAACAAATTTTAGAATAAAATTGACAGAGACAAACATGTACATATACAGAAAAATCAAAGGATAGTTACAAAAAAAAAAAAAAAACAACTAATAGGGCTAATAAGTTGGGGCATTTTAAGAACACAAACTTCAACTGTTTTTCTACATACGACAACAAACGCCACCACCACATCAAAAACAGTTCTATTTACAGTACCATCAAAAGGAACATTCCCATGGGAAAACTCAGAAAGCCCAGGAGTTGTAAACTATGTATTTCTAGAAGCTCATGCTTTGGACCTGTAACCCCAGCATTTGGGATTTAGGGAATGTGAGGAACTCAAGCACCGAGTTCTCAAACTATGCTTCAAGTACTGACAGAAAACAAGACTCAGTAACTTTTGAGGTTTGAGATTTTCAGGTATCAATGTTATCAGTTCCCATGTACACTTGGTATGAAGGATTTAACTTCTACAAATGCCAAACTCTCTACAGCACTAGAAAAGACTGGAATGGAAGCCAAATGAGATGTCAGGGTTACGCTGAACTCAAGGTGTGCCCTACCGGAGAGCTGGGGTCCACATAAAAGAAGCAGGCAAAGAGTGAGTCTGCACTGGGTGACAAACCCTGGAGGGGAGGCTGGAAAAAGTGATGGGAGCTAGAGGAAACGAGGGGAAGAAGGCGGCGGCTCCCATTCTGGAAACCACTGCACCACCGGACTGTAAGGCAGGAAGAGTAAGACGCTACCACAGCTCCCTCTGTGTAAGGTGCACCAAGAGCTCTACCACCCTCAGAAGCGGATGGAGGCGAGCACAGAAACTCACAGCTTGTCAAGATGCAGAGTCAAATGTGCAGCCCCAAATGGGATGTCTATCATATCCCTCCCACAAGGCCCAGAGACCACCACAGAGGGAGGGCAGGCACGTTTAAGAGCCAGAGACAGAGAGGACGGGAATAAACCATGGCTTCTGGTCACGACAGGACAAAATCCACTCAAACATTTGCATGATGAAATTTTTTGTTTTTAATTTTGCAAACTTATATACAATTTGTACCAATTTAAGTATACGTGTTTGGTACACAAAAGAAACAGAAATAAAATAATGTGATCACAATCTGTACCCTATTGTTTCAGTTGTGCCAAATGGCCCAATTGTCACAACAGGCTAACAGTTAACATTGTTCTATCTAAAGTACGAAAGTATGGTTTTGTCCTTTGAAAATGGGTCTCTGTAGCCATGCTAATCTAATCTAGAATTTGTGGTAATCCTCCTGCCTCAACCTTTCAGGGTGCTAGGATTAGAGGTGCGAGCTACCATTCTTGGCAAATATATCGGTTAAAAATAACATCTTTATCGTTTTGGTTATTTTTTGGGGGGGGGGCGATGCCATGGTCCACATGCATAAGTCAGAGCACGATGTCCCATTGTCAGGGGGCTTTCCTTTCACCAAGTGGGTCCCAAGCATTGAACTCTCATTACTGATCTTGGTGGCAAAGGTCTTTACCTGCTGAGACATCTCTGTGGTACAAATATTTTCTTTTTAAATTTTATTATTAAATGGCTCCAGGCTGGAAGCCCCATGGTAGAGAGTTTAACTTGCTTCTATAAAGACCTTAAAGTTCAAACCCAGCCCAGAGTGAGGACCAGAGAGATTTTAAAGCATGAAAGCATATACCGGTGTTTCAGTAAGTTTCTGTGTTTGTGTAGGTAATGCCACTGGAATTGGGGAAATGGGGATTAATAAGCATATTAAGAGTGAAGCCGGGACTGGAGAGCTCTGTAGAGGAGAGTAGTGTTCTTCAGAGGACCCAAAGCTGGTTCTCAGTGCCTATCTATCACCAGCTGGTTCATAATCACCTGCAACTCTGTGCACATATACACAAGTTAAAAATTTACATAAGTTATGTAAGTAATCGGTTATACATATATGGATGGATATACATACATATATACATATGCTAGTTTTACGTCAACTTGACACAAGCTAGAGTCATTTGAAAAGACAGAACCTCAATTGAGAAAATGACTATAAAATCTGGTTGTAGGATATTTCCTTAGTGATTGATAGAGGGAGGGCCCAGCACATTATGGATGGTGCCATCACTGGGCTGTGGGATTAGGTTCTGTAAAAAAGCAGGCTGAGTAAGCCATGAGCAGCAAGCCAATAAGCAGCCCCTCTCTATGGTCCCTGCATCAGCTCCTGCCTCCAGAATCCTGTCCTGTTTGAGTTCCTTTTCTGACTTCCTTTGATGATAAACAGTGATTTGGATATGTAAGCCAAATAAACTTTTTCCTCCCCAACTTGATTTTTGGTCATAGTGTTTCATCACAGCAATAGAAACCCTAATTAAATACCCTACAGTCAGACTCTATGTGTGTGTGTGTGTGTGTGTGTGTGTGTGTGTGTGTGTGTGTGTGTGAATCCAGAAGAGCAACAGGATAGATAAATCCAATGCACATACTTCAATTCTGAAATTTCATGCCTATAGAAGTAAGTATTAAAGGAACTTTGGGATACAGAGAAAATCAAAAGCTTAAATGTGTAAAGATAAACGTATTGAGTGTGTGTGTGTGGGGGGGTAATCTCTGCAGCTCTGGCTGTCCTGGAACTCACTTTGTAGATCAGGCTTTACCACTCTAGTGCTGGGTTTAAAGGCATGAGTCACCACACCAAGCTTGTTTTATTATTTAGATACAGGTTCTTCCTCTATAACCCTGGCTGGCCTGGGACTCACTAAGCAGACCAGGCTGGCCTTGAAATCAGAGAGCTGCCTACCTCAACCTCCTGAGTACTAAGATTAGAAGTATGCACCACCATGCCTAACATCTGACTAGTATTTTAAAAAGTAGGTACATATTTAGAAATACACACACACATGTTTTTAAACTAATAGCGACACTCCTGGGCTAGGCAGTATTCAAGATCAAATCTTTTTTACTCATCATACATCTAGACTCCTCGACTTAATAATGAGCATGTCCAAAATTTTAAAACTACTAGCTGGAAAAGTATTCATCCAAAGGCAGGGTCCCAAATTTATAGACACGATTAAGGTGTAAATGTTAGTTTTTCAATCTTTGGCATTTATTTCCACTCAGCACTCCTGGTCTCTTTTCTAAGAGACCCCTTCTGATAACATGGCCCAGGCCGTGAGCCGGTGATGGGATGACTGTGGATACACCCTGAAGCTAGAAGAACTAGAAGAGGCTCATCATCTTTCAGCCCTGGCATTTTAAAGACATAAAGAGTCAAAGAGTACCCTGACACAAGAGCCCAGCAACAATGAAGGGTTACACAAGGTCAGCACACTCGCTCACACTAGGCGAGCACTTTACCTTCAACCCCCACCACACCCCTTTCTGAGCCACTCTAATCCTTTAAAGGACAACTTCCTGGCAACCATCACGGCTTTATTCCATTCCTGTCCTCCAGCACATTTTCAATAGCACAAATGCTTTCAAAATTCCCAATCAGCAAGTGTGACACCTACTGGAAGACTCCACAATGCAAGTGACAGCAGGGTGGGACAAGCTAGTTTCAGGCCATTATCAAAAGCCTCACACAGATTCATAAATACCCTTAAACACCAGTCTAAAGAGCTTAGAGTAAAACCAAGCCCTGCTATAAACTCTTTTTGTCAAGCACCTACGGCTTAACAAAACTCAAGTTTTATATGAATGAAGAAAGCTTACTATTGGATAAGCAAAGGTACTGAACAGTTTTGAAAATGAGGATTAGGCCAGGTGGTCCTGGCACACACCTTTAATCCCAGCACTCAGGAGGCAGAGGCAGAGGCAGGTGGATCTCTTGAGTTTGAAGCCAGCCTGGTCTATAGAGCGAGTTCCAGGACAGCCAGGGCTACACAGTCTCGAAAAACCAAACACCAAACCTGAAAACCCTGATTAGAACTATTTCTTATATACCCGTTAGAATCACAGGGTTTCTGCATCTTCTTCGAATCCCCCCATAACAGCGCCCCTTACCAGCAGGAAGTAGTTTGGAAAGAACGACGCCCAAATTCCCAAATATTGTCTATAAATGTTTGTTTTCATTTAAATGGACTTGGTTATTTAAAAAAAAAAAAGAATCACAGGCAAGATAGAAAAGGGATTCCAAAAATCTTCCCCAATTACATCACTTTATAAGACCCAAGACTTCTGTTCCACGCCACAGTGGAGTCTCTAACTTTCTCATGTGCAACCTGGCATGTGTGTGCACATTCGTAATTTTAAAGAAACACAGATTTAGTATGGTAGCTCATGCCTGTAATCCCAGCACTTGGGAGGCAGAAGCAGGAGGATAAATGTCAATGTGAGGCCAGTGTAGACAGAAAAGGACACAAAGTTAGATCTTTAAAAACAGAGGGAGGGAGGAAAAGACAGAAAGAAAGAAAACCAGGCTAATGAATACCAATACTGACATTAAGAAAAGCTCCGAACTCCCCAGCTATATTCTTCCCATTGCACAGTTCACTTCCCGAAACTGACTGTAACAGAAATGAAGCAAAGACATAAAATGTGTGGACCTTGGAAAATACTGAATAATTTCATTCTGGATTTGTTTATAGCATGTAGTTAAGGAGCAAGGAACACAACACTGGGAAATTTAAAGCAAAGATTTTCATGGGCTGACATTCAAGCTAGAATATCATTGTTTCCAATATTAATTATTCTGTGATTCATCTCCATGTTGTTACCACCCCATCACAAGGAACAAAGAGCTAACCACTTATAGTTCAATAACAGGAGTTTGAAGGCGGAGAGCTGAAATCATGGCCAATCTAAAGACTACACTAGTCACATACCACGAAACAAATAATGAACTTCTCCAGTCTGTTTTAAAACAACCTATGGGTCAGAGATACGACCGACCAGAAGCTGTGACTCACCGTGGTAACCGTCTAGGAAGGAGATAAATATTCTTTTGTGAGCAAACACACACCGGTTATCAAAGGAGTCCTTTGTTTCTGTCCCTTGTTGTCACTTCCTGTGTAACCTTACCTGGGGTAGTAGGCTGTGTAGTTCATGAAGAGCTGGGTGCCTGCTGGGTAGTATGCAGTGGAGGGCTGCAGTGGCCGTGGACTGAAGAGCAGAGAAGGCTGATAGATGGCAGCTTCGGTAGGAAACACTGCTGCAGGGGCTGGGAATGTGTAGGAAGGAGGAGACAGGCCTAAATAAGCAGAGAGAGAGAGAGAGACTCTGTAACGCCAGCACAGGCAGCAGCACTCAAGCCATAGTTATCCTTCCAACTACATATTTGGTAAAGACAATTGCTATTTGTATATATATACCTGAGTGAGTTAATATGAGATACATGCATGCGAGAGCCTTTGGAAGCCGGAAGAGGGTGTTAGAACCCCTAGAAGGGAAGTTAAAGGTGGCTGTGAGCTGCCATGTGGGTGCTGGGAACTGAAACCAGGTCCTCTCAAAAAGCAGGAAATGCTCGGAGCTGCTGAGCCATCACCCCCTACCTCGGGTATGTATTTTAAATGAAAATACCACCACAGTTCTTTATACCCAAGCAACTTCTTTTGCTTTTATGGATTTTTTGACTCTCTAGTGTGACACGAAATCAAAGAGATTAGGATAAAATGCTAACGCACATTTGTGTCCCAGGGACTGCTTTACAGAAAACAGATCAACTACATCATGTTCATCTAAAGGCAATCCAAAAACAGGCTTTGAAGTTATTCTACACCTTCAGACCAATAAACAAGTCTGACTAGGAACTATCCAGAGGAAACAGACACATATTCTTTTCCCAAACCAGCTGATTAAAAACTGAGTTAGCATACCTACACTGCCCGCACTCAAGAGGCAGAGGCTGGAATTATCATCATGACTTCAAGGCCAGTCAAGTCTATACAGCAAGTTCCAAGCCAGCCAAAAGGGCTACATCATGAGACTGCCCCACAAAGCTAAACCAAACCAAACCGATCAAACCCCACATATACAAAAAGGTGGCTCAAATGTTAATGAAAGAAATCTAGGGAGGGGCTGAGGGCCCAGTTAAGTGATAGAGTGAGCGCCTGTTTGCCCTGGGTCGGGCCCTGGGTTCAAGTCTACCACCACAGGAGGCAGGACAGCAAAGTCCTGTACCTTCTAGTTATCCTGCATTTTCCTTGACCTGAACTCCCTTAAACTGGAGCTGCCAGTGAGTGCTAGCTTTCTCAAGTAGCATGAATACACTAGATAAACCACAGGTACTAAAAGGAAGATGGATAACTAAACCAACAGAATCTGGAGTCCCTGACTTTAAGAAGCAGAGTGAGATCATTAGATTCTGTAAGTAGCAACTTTGACAGGAAAATCTCAAATAGGACTTCCGATTTTCTTTGTGCATGCTAGCTGAGCACACAACCACTGTACTACATCGGCAGTCCTTGAACTTATTATTATTTTTATTTTTTTTTAATTTAAACTTGAAACAAGGTTGTTTTACATGCCAATCCCCTCACCCTCCCATCCTCCCCTATCACCTCCAACAAACCCCAGCCCATCCCCTTTCTGCTCAACAGGAAGGGTGAGACCTTCCATGGGGAGTCTTCAAAGTCTGTCATATCATTCAGGGCAGGACCTAGGCCCTCCCCCCGAGTCCTTCAACTTTTAAGACAGTTACATTATATAGCTCAGGCTGGCCTCAAACTCATAACCCTTTTGCCTCAGCCTCCACAGTGGTGGGATTCACATGTATACAATCACACTTGGCAATGATTAAAAAAAAAAAAAAAAAACTTAATTTTAGACAATGATAAATCTCTGAATTACGTTGTTCAGCCTTCAAGACCACAGAAACGCCTACAATGTCAACTAAAATGAATGGGACAGGCAAGTGGCTCAGTGGTGGAGCATGTAAAGGTTTGAGGTTCCATCCTCAGAATCACTCACTCACACACTCACATACACACATACACACACTCTCATACACTCACATACATACATGCTCACATACACACACACTCACACACACATACTCTCTCACACACTCACACACACTCTCACATACACACACACTCACACCCATACACACACTCACACTCTTATACACACTCACATACATACACACACACTCACACCCATACACACTCACATACACACACTCTCATACACTCACATACATACATGCTCACATACACACACACTCACACACACTCTCACATACATACTCTCTCACACACTCACACACACACACACTCACACACATACACACACTCACACCCATACACACACTCACACACACACTCACATACATACACACACACACACAAGACCTCGAGCATGACAGAAGATTATGGAGCCTGTGCTTATAACTTGCTTGCCAAATCATCAAGAAACTCATCGCATAAGCGTTGTGTGCCCTTAAGACAAGTATAGGTGATAGGCCTACAGCGTGGTGAAAGCTCATTTGTCTTAGCATGGTCAGGACCCCGAGTTTGACCTCCAGCAACACACACAAAAAAAAGGAAAGAACAAAATATTCTATTTGAAAACAAAAAAAGTTAAATAAAAATTGACAAGAGATGAGATGGACCTGGGCATTCAAGTGGGAGTATGGCTATATTTTTATTTTCCTAAAGAGAAATCAGGTGTATCTGTGCACAGACAATAAAAAGTCGACTGTGAAATTAAACTGACTTTTTTCTTTGACTTTGTGCTTTGGCTGCCCTGGAACTAACTATGTAGACCAGGCTGGTCTTGAACTCTTAACCTGCCTGTGCTTTCCTGCTGGCATCAAAGGTGTGTCCCACCATATCCAGCTTAAGCTGGTTTCTTGGTGAATTAAGGTGCCACACTGTAATACGGTAAGACCAGCATTTCTTTTGACAAATTCATCTAGAAAGTCTTCAGAGGAAAATGACAGCCCCATCAGTAGTGAAATTGCTTTAAATCTTTGAGATTAGGCAAAAGATCAGGAAATTTTAGAAGGCTTGAGGTTGTGAGATAAACAGGCAGTCACCTAAGGTGGTGGCACAGATGGCAAGCATATGCACAATGAGATTCTGATTGGTAAAAAGTTAGCTCTTCTGCCAAAAGATGCAGAAATACAGTCAGGACATGGTTTCTCTGTGTAACAGCTCTGGCTGTCCTGGACTCACCCTATAGACCAGGTTGGCCTTGAAGCCACAGGGATCCTCCTACCCCTGCCCCCCCCAACACCCCATTACCCCTCCACCACCAGTATTGGGATTAAAAGGCATTTGCTACCATTTCCACCATTTGCCTAGCTGCAGAAGTAGCCTTTAAAAAAAATTTTTTAAACACTAGGTCTTCAGACATAATTTTACAGGAAATGAGGATTTAAAATTTTTCCTTTGCTGGATGAGAATCATGGCTCAAAACCTCTAACCTTAGGAGTGCTCAGGAGGCTAAGGTAGGAAAGTCACTGAGCTCCAAGGGCACATGGACTCCACTCTGAGCTCCGGGCCAGCCTGGTATACAGTGAAACCCTGTCTCAAAACCCGAGTCTACAATAAAGTGAACAGGAAACAATGGGGATAGTTCTCTGTTTCATGGTATCTGATGGATGGTCACTAAGGGATACTATGTTTAATGGTATTGACATGACAGTGATTTATAGACAGAAGACATTCAAGTATTACCCTGAAGCACTTTTTTACACTCAATCATACATTTCTAAAACCATCTATCTCATTAACAATAAACTATTACATATTCACCAATAGCAAGCAGCAGGTATAGGGAATTGTTAGAGTTCAGGAGTTCCAAGGGGGAAAAAGGATTAAGCCCCACCAAACACTCTACAAATGGTACTTTATTCAAATAAGTTAGTTGACGTAGATCCCTCTTTGCCTCAAAATAAAACTCAATGCCTCTAATGGCCCACTGTAATAGAATCAAACAGATCAATCCAGTGTGCTTCTCCAGTATTTATCAACTCCCTCAAGTTCTTTAAACATACCCAACATGCCTATAAGATATGTGAACTTAAAGGCTAAGAATTGCATTATCAAAAAAGGCTCATGTTTTAATGTCAGGTTTCCAAATGCTCCTGAGTCATTAACTATAACTTATTTCTAGACTACGGGGCTTATTCCTCTCAAACAGGATTCCAGATCACGTGCACCCAGTTGTCATTGAGCAAGAGCACAGCTTGGAACTAAGCACTGATCCTGTGAGCCAATTACACATTGGCTAATCAAACACGCATTTATATATAAACATAGCTTACTAACTTGCTCATTCCAGATATCCTGGAGAGCAACAGGAATGCTCTCCAGGTTATCATTTGAAGACACAGTAGATGCTCAAAACAAAGGATCCAAAACAGGCATCAAATCATCCTTCTTTAAAGTGTAACGTGTAAAAGAACGATGAATAAATAAAAAACAAATGAAGACATAAAGGAAAGGATCCAGCCATATGTGTATTTTGCCTTTAAATGCGTATTAAATTATCTACATAGCCAGGTTGCCTCCCAGAGTCAGTGCTTATCTGGAGCACACTAAGCTTCAGAAACCAAATGCTTATCACTGGAAAAGCAAGAATATAATTTGAAAGGAGGTATTTGTAGCATCTCTAATTACGGGTGTCCACAACCAAGGTCTTAACTGATTACCAGATACGAGTGATTTCAGACGGGAAAGCCTTACGTAACCGCCTCACCTGCCTCAGAAAGAACCAGGGGCATAGCAGGTGATACGGAAGCAGCTCAAGCACCTACCAGCACATAGCGTAGAACAGCGCCAAGACCCAAGACAAACTTACATGGTAACTTACATGGCGGTGGGGATAAGCCATTTCGATTTAAAGTGCCCCCCATTAACACAAAGTTCATCTCCTCAGCTGAACACTGAAAGACTTCAACATATCTGTCCTTCATGGTTTTTTTATGATACTTCTGCGCAGCCAAGAACGCTCTGTCTGCAGACTTCATCTGGATAAAGGCGTCTCCTGATGGGCGTCCCTGAGTGTGCAGAAGAAGAGAAACAAAAGGAGGCTGTCTCCTTCAACAAGGAAAGCATGCAAAGTGACAATCACCCATAGTACAAAACATGTTTAGCCACAAAATCTGGGTGATGGTGTGATCTGATGAAATCTGATTTGGGTTTCATTCCTTTATCTCCAGAATGGCCCACAAAATCTCGAAGAAGTTTGAGGATCATGGTTGAAAGTGACCTGTTTTGGTTCTATTAAATCAGTATCATATTTACAGGTCTTTAAAAGGTCTCGTTGTGACTGTAGTTTCAAAATATAGGATTATATATTGGATTTTTTTTCCCTTCTAAAAATCCGATTAATATCATTTGATGAGAAAAGCTATTAAAAACACCTCCTACAGGAAACTAACTAAGCCTGTGTTGTCCTTTGGCTCTCTCTGACGTGCCACATCCCTTCAAGCTTGTCCCTCATCCCTGGGGGACTAGGTTGGGATGCATCTTGAGGATAAGAAACAGGAAGCTGCAAAGTATGACTCTAAGTGGCCATCTGGCATGCTGGGAAGCCATTCTCTCCCACATGCTTCCACTCTCCTTAAACAGCTCAAAGAGGTATTCAGAGGCAGTTTGTTAGCTAGACTTTCCCTCTGGAAAAGCAAGCCTCTGTTTGTGTTACATACAAGTACAACTACTTGGTAATATTTTTACATGAACAACATTAGAGGGAGAAAAATGACAACTAGTTTATAGGACATTTTTTTTTTTTAAAAAGTTAGCTCTCCAAGTCTACTAAGAAACATTTATAATATTATATATACCATTTTACAAATGATTACCATGGAAGTTACCATAATAGTCACCACAACAGGGAAATTAGCAACAAACCCAGTCCACATGAAAACCCAACATCTTCCAGGCAGATAAGAGCTTGGCCATCAAAGGAGGTCAAATGAGAGGCAAATCTGTCTACTGTGTTAATCAAAGGGTAATGGCCCCAAGGTTATTAGAAAATGGTAACCTGAAAGAAATAATTCCCCAGTGATGCTGAATAATGGAGAATTCTATTTCAAAGCATTCGTATCAGTGAAGTGTGCTATGAATGGTCAGATCAGAAAGGTGTGCTTACACAGTCTGAAGTGTTAGATGTGCAAGGGCTCAGGAGCTTGCGCCCAGTAAGTAGGAAGACAGTCATAGAAGTAGGGAGAAGTGGGAAGTTAATAGTCCGGAAGAAAATGAGTATTTCCACTAAAAATCTGCATTCAATCCATTAATACTCTGAGAAAATATCCAAAATTATCCACATTTAAATTCTTTGCTTTTAACAGAGTTCCTAAGTTTTAACCTAGTGCTACTTGGCCTATGAGTATTTGGGATTTTGTCCTGCTTGAGGTAGCACAGGGTACCAGCTGACTGAATACCCAGCACCCCATAGGTTAACTTGGTTGAACCAAAACCCAAGTAGCTCCCAGGTGGTAAATACGCCCTGGCGTATGGAAAGAACTCAGCCAGCCTTTTATAGAAAACCTTTGCAATTTTATTCCCTGATGCAATGGAGACTAGAGTATGGAAAGAACTCAGCCAGCCTGTCATAGAAAACCTTTGCAATTATTCCTTGATGCGGCAGAGACTGAAATCCACCTTTGCTACAGCATGTAGTTCTCTAGGCCTTCATTCTCCTGAACGTGAGTGGAAATCTAACACATGTCTAAAAAGCACTTGAAGTAAATCACTTGCAATGTCTGTGGATGTGAAGTACTTTAGAACACCGCTATGCTCATTGCTTATGTCTGGTCTGTGACCACTCACACCAAAACAGCACAGTTGCAGAGTTCAGTAGCTACAATAGGAAAATACTGTATACACTCATAATATTGCTGCTGATAATGGGACAGATTTCTATGATGGAAAAAAAAAAAAAAAAAAGCTGAATTTCAATTATCACACTAACAGCAGGCTAATTTTTGGAGTACAGCCTAAAGATTTCTTATACTTACAGCCAAATCTTTTCTTAAGGACAATGTAAAACTCTGAACTATTTATTGTACTTATATCTTACTCAAAGGGGCACACTTCACCACCAGAAAGAATGAGCAAACACATTTCCAATACCCCTTCCTTACCTGGTGATTCAATACCATGTGAACACCATGGGTACGAATATCTGTGGAAAACTCCCCCAGGAAGTCCAGAATGTCCTCTATTGTGGCAGCATAGGGAAGGCCTCGCAGACGTATACAGTCTCTTACATTTGTGGGGGGCACAAATTGCTGAGGTAGTACTGGGATAATGGGAGGGGTGGGAAGTGGAATCAGAGGGGCTGAGGAGAATCGATTCAGCACCTACACACAAGGCAAAACACAAGTGACTGAACAGTCCTGCCACGCCTTTGCTGTACTACAAACCGCCACCAGCATCACCAAGAACCCCGTGGGAAATGCAGGCTCTACTGATACAGCACAGCTGCGAGCACACCAGCACACAAGAGGCTGAGTCGAGTCTGTAGGGGTTAAGGGTATGGTGGGTACGCTCATGGCTCTACTACACAGCCATTACAACATGTCTGTTTCTCAGGGTCCGTTGGGGATTCATAAATGCACGGAAGTTTGAGAAGCCCCGATGAAGGACTCACATATTTCCTCTGGGAAAATGTGACATTGACATCTATCAAATACATAAAGTATTTGATCGAGGCATGGTAGTACACGCCTGCAACCCCAGGCCTCAGGAAGCAGATACAGGAGGGCTGTCTATTAATTTCAGGCTGGTCTGCTCTATCTATGAGTTTTAGGCCAGCGAGGCATAATTGTGAGACCCTGTCTTAAAAAAATAAATACAATAAAATAAATCAAGGCACACACTCCATATCATACACTGCACTTATTAGGCAATGTCTATCTGGGTGAACATATTTAAAAATCTAGGCATGCTGCAAGATGTGGACTTTTGAGGTAATTTACACGATTTCATTTCACAAAGCACATTTAACACAGCGCTCCCTCATAGTATCTTCACAGTCCAACTCTGAACTCAAAAAAGGAAAGAGAATGGCCTCAGGTACCAGCATGCCAGTTTTCAATTATTTTTTAATTAATTTCTTTCTTATGCGATGTAATTTCTATTTAGGAAGCTGTTTAATATATGAATACATACTACAGCTTAATAAACGGAAAAGTGAGTGCAAAGGTCCCAGAGCCTGTCACACCAACCTGCTGAACTTCAGCTGCCGTGCTCCTGAACAGCTCGATGTATCTTTTGCCCAGCAAGTCCTTATGCTTCCGCAGGGCATTCTGAGCGTATTCCTCACAAGCGAAGAGCACGAAAGCATCCCCAGTAGGTCTACCATCTGGATAGGTGACAAAGAGGATGCCTTCCTTTCCCCCAGTGATGGGGCAGTGCTCTCCAAAGAAGGCTACCACCTCTTCAGCTGTGGCTGTAAAAGGGAGTCCCCGCATGCGGACGATGACTTGGTTTTCCTTGGAGAGGAACTGGGCGACCTCATTGGATGTTCCTAGAAAAAATGATTATTAGAAAACCCGGGGAGAAAGAGTCAACATTACCAAATTTACAATTATAAAATTCCTGACAGAGTGTGTATGTTGCTGGGAATCTTACCCTGTCAGGCAAGTGCTCCGCCACTGGGCCACATCTGAGGCCCTTCTGGCAATGTAGAACCATTTATGAAGAGCCACACCACTACTGGATTGAGAATGATAGCATCTTAGGATTCAGAAGTCCCTTCCTGCAAATTTGAAACTCTCCGCATAGGACTTTTGTAAAGTACTCTCCTAGGAGACTGGCTAGATAAATCAGAGTGCTGACTCATTCCTCTCGCAGACAGCCAGTAAGCCGCCACAGCACTCACAGACACATAGGTCCTGGGGGATCAAGCTCAGTGCTAGAGATTTTGCCTAATGCATATGCCTTTGAGTCCAATGTCCAGCACAAGTCACGGATCTAGAATACCCGGGCCTCATCTTAGCCGTCCTGTCTACTAGGCCATGACTTTATTCAAGCTAACATCTACACCTTCATTTCCACATCTGCTAAATTAAAAACTCCATAAACTATGAGAGTGAATGAATTAGATTAATAAAGCACATTACCTATAATTAAGAAACTTCTGTAGAGAACAATACACAGCCCCAATGTTTACCAACTTCTGCCCCAAATGTAGCATGTCTAGCACTGCATGTAGCATGTACTGATTGCACAGCTGCAGACTCTCATAGCATGCTTTCTCCAAGCAGACAACACATGTCACACTGTGCACATACAATGAAATCCAGTTAACTTAAAGTGCAGGATACAGGAAGAACCCAGCAACTCCAAACACATCCAATGTCCAACACTACTGTGGAACTAAGTAAAAAGTAACGCCTTGACCTTTGAAGCCTTAGGATTTAGCTACAGAAAGCATCAGGGGGAGGGGAAAACAACAAAAGACAAAAAAACCAAACAAGAAAATTGGAGGAAAAGAACACTAGAACTTTTGGAGAAAACAATCCTAAGCTGGAAAGATTCATCAGTGCTATATTATACAGGGTCCTGCATGAGTCAGAGTCACCCTGGTGTAACTGGCACCTCCAAAGATTCAGTTCTTGGGTTCCGCTCTCCTACTTTCTGAACAGTACACACAAACATAGAAAACACCACAACATACTTAGAAATTAAAAATAAGCTCCAGTTCACCAGGGATGAATAAAAGCATGGTATACAAGCTGGCAGCACAGTGGTGCACGCCTGTAATCCCAGCACCCAGAAAGCAGAAGGCGGCGGATCTCTGGAGCTCGAGGCCAGCCTGGTCTACACAGTGAGTTCCAGGATAGCCAGGGCTACACAGTGACCCTAACTCCAAAAACCAACCAACCAAACAAAACCATTGTATACCCAAAACTGGTTACAACTAACATTAAAGAAACTTAAAATGAGACGTTTAGAAAGTATTATAAGTTTTTAAACCACATGAACCAAACAATAGAAGCTTAGAAAGTAGATGTCTAGAAATTACCATTAAAAACAAACAAAAAAACCCAGCCCAACATCATGGCTCCTGCTTCTAACATGAACACTGCAAGGCTAAGGAAGATTGCCTAGAGGTCAAGGGCCAGCTTGTTCTACATAAGAAGTTCCAGGTCAGCCTTGGCTATGAACTAAAACAATCTCAAAAACCAGAAAGGGCTGGACTGAAGACGCAGTTGCTAAAGTACAGTGGCTGCCCCTGCAGAGGTCCTGGGTTCGAGTGCAGGAACCCATGGGGAGGCTCACAACTCTGTCCTCCTCGGCACCGAGGAAGGCATGCGTGGTGCACGTACGTGCTGGAAAAACACGCATACACATAACATTTAAAATTTAAAATATTTTAAAAATTTATTCTTTTGTGAAATTTCAGGTTTTAAAATTATAGCGATAACAGTGATATCTTGGGGTTAATATCAACAAAATATGCTCTATGTGTGAATATTCTAACAAGAAAACTTTAAACCTAAAAAAGTTTTAAAAGCTCTTTATTCCTCTAGTTTTATTTCTGTGAATGCCATATATCTGAAAATACTGGATCAGGACCTGTTGACTTAAGTTCAATCCTCAGAGCCCAAATAAAGGTGGAAGGAAAGAACCAAATCCATAAAATTATCCCCCAAATACAAGAAACCAACATGGTCCTGGGCACTGGTGAGTTCAATAACAGAGAAAAATCTAGAAGTAGATCTGTAACCGCCTCAGGTTCTGCAGGTGGCTGTTTCCAACAATTCAGACACATTTTCCTCAAGAACTACCCTTTCTCTTTATACGTGACCGTGTGTGACCTTTCACCTTTCAATGGTCTCCTTCTTAATGGCTCTTTAGCCATAGTAGATTGGCTCAGGCCTTGGGGCAAATGTTACAGTACATTAAATTCACCTGCAGTACTGAAGTTCCTCCTCCCTATTTATAAACCAAGGCCAGGCTTACTAGGAAGGAACCATCATGCTCCCAGGGAACTCAGTATATATATGCACAGAATCTCAGGTTATCAGTGAAATGCGTACCACATAAAAGCAACTCTCACCTCCAGCGATTTTAAGAAAATCTTCCCCTGTAGCTTTGTAAACCTAGGAAAATAAAGAGACATTAAATCCATTTCTAAACCATCCATCATATTCTAATAGCCAAGTGGCGGGGCCCAGACATCGGGCTGTGAAACGTACCTCAATGTACCGGGTGCCCATGTGGTGTTTGTGCCTCTGTAGGGCCAGGTCTCTGTGCTCCTCACTCACAAACCTCACCAAGGCCTCTCCATTCCTCCGCCCCTGAGCGTTCAGGCAGAGTGCCGCACCTCCCCTTTGAGAGAAACAAAACAGATGGCAGGTCAGGAAAACAGTGAGACGGAACGACAGAAAAACTTGCAGTCCCTTCGGAGTTGAATAAAACAAAGAAAACCAACTTGGCAATATTGAGTCCCTTGAAGAACCTTGCAATATCTTGATCTGAAGACTGCCAGGGTAAGCCTCGAGCCCTCACGACCGTGTTGTCGTCGATGAGTTCCATCTTGCTGCTGCAAATGAAACACAAATGAAATGTTGCCTTGGTGAACGCAAGGCAAGCTGCTGGCTGACATGAGGCCTGCTCCAACTAGACATCAGACTGACTTGTAATCCCAGCTTCCTCTGTATCCTCAAAACTTGTCTGGAGACAGTCCAGAGAGATGGCGGACTGTGTAGTTCCAGCACAGCTAGCTCATGGCAGGAAACCATCTCTCAGCTGACAGATAGCTCCTGGCTTGCCATACATTCTAAGGCATCTCAGCATTTACAGGAAGCAACGTCTCTCAGCACCCTTAAGGCCTGACCTAGGATGGAGCTTTCTTCTTTGTTTTGTTGCTGTTTAAGAGACAGCACTTCAATAAGTCACCCTGGCTGACCTTGAACTTGAGCAGTTCCTACCTAAGATTCCTGGCCTGAGCCACCATACTGAAGTCAAGTGGGGTGGGGCTTCAGGATTTTTTTTTTTTTCCCCCATGTGTATAGAGCATGTAGGAGTGAAATCCAGCTTGGCAGCAAGGATTAGAACAGAGCTACAATTAACCCACACTGGGCATGTGAGCATGTGGTCAGAGGACTATTTAAGCGTCTCCCTCAGCAAACTGGACTGCCAGGCAGCAAAGGGATTTACGGAGACACCTGGTGTCTCCACACCTTAGTGAGTCACCTGCAAATCGCCCATTATAAATTCTGACACCTTACGACGATCTGTCTTTCCCCTGTTCCTATATTCAGTAATCCTAGGACATTTTCCTACCGAGTCACCTGCTCTACAACAAAATCAGTCTGACATCTCCCCACTGGCAAAGCTGTCAGTTTCTGCTCATCACCAGGTACCAGACAAGGAATGGACACCGACTGCCTGCCATAACCACATCTATGATCTATCTGCCACTTCAGACTCCCCCCAGACGTCTGTTTCCATAAGTAGATACTGAAAGGACATATCTAATTTACTGCATGAACATAAGAACTCCTTTAGAGATCTGTTTTATATATATATATATTTATACATATATAAATATATGTATGTATGTGTGTGTGTGTATGTATGTATGTATGTATGTGTGCCTACGCAAATTTCTATTATCATGTGCAGAGGCCAGACAGCACTGAATCCCTTGGAACTGGATTTATCCACAGTTGTAAACTGCCTGGTGTGGACTCTGGGCTCAAACCTCAGGTCCTCTGCAATCAATTAATGAACCATCATCTTCCCAATCCCTTCATATATTTCAAATCCTGATTTTTCCTTAGAATGGGTAGGCAGACATGGAGACAAAAGTAAAGAGTCAAAAATTAAACAGCATGTACCTAAGCCAATTAAAGTAACTAAAGACCCCAAGTCTTCACTAAACTGTCTTTCTTTCTCCCTTTCTTTCTTGACATGGTGTCTTTGTGTAGTCCTGCACCTCACTACGTAGACTACTAGACTGGCCTTAAACTCATAGATACCCACCTGCCTGCCTCTGGTTCCTGATTGCTGGAATCAAATTTTAACTCAAATTTTAACCTCAACCTACAAGCTTGCTTTAAATAATAGATGGCCTGGCAATAACAAATGGTAACTAGGAAAACTAGGAAAATCTAAAGGGACTTAAATGTCATGAGTAAGAACAAACCTAAGGTTCAAATGAATAGAACTTAACCACTCACCATGTGCCACTTTCAAATTTGTGGTTTACTCTCTCTGGATCTGAAAATCTGTGATCTAAAAATGAGAATAGATGGTCATCATTCTGGCTGCGAGACAGCAAAGCTGTGCAAAGCAATCAAAAGACTAAAGGGATCAAATTCCAGCACTCCTCATGACAGTGACACCTACTGTAAGGCTCCGAGATCATTGCTAAAATTATGTTCCCCATGTCTTCAACTTGAGAGGCTCCATACCGGGAGACGGAGGCATTCTTCTCAAAGTTTAGAGCTGTGGGGCTAGGTTAAGGAAACATTTGGCGCAGTAAAGGTGGGTTACTGCTAGGCAGAAGTCAAACTTGAAGTCAAGGAAGTTGCTTCTCAGCGGTCAGGGCTGCACCCTAGGCCCTGGTACCAACCTCCCTACTCTCTGGCTGCAAGTGTCCAAGTCAACCCTGTCCTGGGGCGTTACCAGTAAGTTTGCTTTACTGAGGAGATAGCAAATGCATGAAAACTGAGTGCATTTAGGGTCAAATCATAAAGCAACCAAGTTAGAATCCTTCATCATTATACATACCAGGTAACCAAAGACATGGTTGTCAGTCAAGATCAAGAGGCGTAACCTATGCAATCCACACTTGAGAATACTAGTGACGTCATTCCCATGCTTTTCCTCAAACTTCCCCTCCAGAATACTTTTAGAGCCCTGTGGGGTATCGCATCTTCAATGACAGTACATAAAACGCAAGTCCTTTGACAGCTGGAACCAGTAATGTCCTGTGCGTTTTGACATGGTGATCTCACTGTGGTCAGGACTCTGGGGCTCAGGCAGCACACCTACGACCAATGCTGATGCTCCTTGACCAGGGGTCGTCTTACATGTAAATCACATTTTTGAAATATTAAAGTATTTTTAAATTTTGTATTACATTTTAATTATTTGTGTGGTATTTTGCTCTAAAAACTGGCATTCAGTATGTGGTAGTGCCCGTACCACAACCCATGTGTGGCAATGAGGACAGCTTTGAGGGCAAGTCTCCCCCCTTTTACCATGTTGAGTCCCAGGAATTGAACCTGGGTCCTTAGGCATAGCAGTAGTTCCACATGCTGAGCCATCTTACGGGTCCAGAATACACTTTTAAAGACTGCTGTTTTGACTATATAAACTCTTTGAGGGTGTGGGATCCCCCAGACTGGAGTTATAGACAGTTGTGAGCTGCCATGTGGGTGTTGGGAATTGAACCCAGTACTCTTGAGCACGGAGCCATCTTTCCAGCCCCAGAAAGCATTTAACAGCACAACAGGAATCAAAGATGGCACTGAGAACACACCTGGTCTCTAGAATGAAGGCACTTGTCCCCAGACTCAGCTTCCCCCTTTTCTCAGCACGTACAGTTCCCAGAAATGACTTCACCCCACTACACTCCAGCTTATCTGTGGAGCCAAAGCTGTGATAAAGTCACTCACCCTCTGGGCTCTGTGTGAAGACGAGATAAAGAGGCACAAAGCAGACATTTAATAACAGTGTACTCCTTTCTTCACACACCCCAGTGCCTACTCTAACCCATGATGACCATACATACACTTGTAACTGAAAAAGCCCTGAAAATTCTCATAAGACAGCCATCAGTCTCAAATGGTAGATGAAGTCTACACTCTGGTCTAGCGAGAAAATAAATGTGTCAGCCTACTCTAAAGGCCATCATCTGTAGGAGCTACCACTCCTATTTATGTTTTTATGAACCTAGAAGATCAGAACCCTAGGAAGGGACAACCATCTACATCTTCAGGGGAGTCGGGACAGAGGATTGGGACCTTTAAAGAACCAAGGAATGGAAACCAGCCCCATTGTACAAGTCTGGTGTCCCAGGCTTAACACTCATCACACGTAAGCCACACACTGCTTTGTTGGAAGGGCAGGGATGGGGTGGGGGCAGGGCCTGTCTCTGTGCAGCGTGTGACTTTCAGCAGCATGTTGTCCTCTACCCTCCAGTGATGATATCTGAAATAACAAAGTTAAAGTCACTGTAGGCCAAGGACGACTGGTGCCATTGAATAGCTTCTAACAATTCCTATGCCACCCTATGGCATGACTCATTTCTCAGGGAATGTTCTTCCACCCCAAGAATCATTAGATCATTTCAAGAAAATTGGCCAAGTTAATAGTGCATCAGGACCAGTATGATTCAAGGCCAAAATGGCAGATGTGACATTCAATGAGCTGACATGTGTGCGCATCCCTTGGGAAACCTGGAGAAAAAGCACCTGCTTCTTGCAAAGTTGAGACTGGCTCATCAAAGGATTTATTATACAGCTGGTACAAAGAATAGATTTTATATTGTTAAGGTATGGGGGGTTACCCTATATGGACAGCAGACCCTAAATTTTCAGTTATCTGGCCATTTATGGACTTTTGACCAAGAGCGATATAGGCAGCGAAAACATGGCCAGATACAAAGACAGACACAGCAAAGTCAACCACAACCTAACTTTCTGTCTGAAAGAAAATACCAAAGCTTAGGAGGAGGTTTGGAGAAATAGGGAGTATAAAAGGGTATTCTACTCACCAGCCGTGGTGGCGCACATCTTTAATCCCAGCACCAAGGAAGCGGAGGCAGGTGGATTTCTGTGAGTTTGAGGCCAGCTTGGTCTACAGAGTAAGTTCCAGGACAGCCAAAACTACACAGACACGCCCTGCCTTGGGGGAAAACACACACACACACACACACACACACACACACACACACACACACGGAAAAAAAAGGTTATTCTACTCAATTTTTATTCATCATCATTCATCTTTCTCTTCTATAGTCCCTCAAGTGAGTTATAAGATACCCATGTTCTCAATCCCTTCACCAGTTCAGCCCAGAGGAACTGGTACCCAGCATTAAGGCTTCCCTAGCTGCTCCAGGCCACAGCCAGCAGATCTGTCAGCCACTCTCCCTCTAGAAAACTGCTCTTCAATTGTATCACACATTTCCCGAGCATGGACCTCACCTTCCTTTGACCTCGTTCACTTGCCCTTCCATTTAGTTCTATGCAACTACACTGTAGTAATGGCAGGGAAACAATGATATAAACGAGTGTATCCTCAGTGCTCACACTGTCTACAGGACGAACACCCAAGCAACAGATACAGTTTGCTGTAGGCTGGAGAGTCCAGGGTGCGGAGCTCCATCCCAAGGTGTGCTGGGGACTACAGAGGCTGGCGTTCCAGCCAGCTACTTCTGTACAGAGCTGTGTGCTGCCATCAGGCTGGGGCGTGTCTCTCTCTGGTAGGCCAACAAGTACACACCCACTTTCATCCTGTACAAAGAGGGTCTGTCTCCCTTGACAAGAGATGGACTTACATTTTTTGTTTTGTTTTGTTTTATGCACAGGTTTGACATTTCTTTTCTTTTTGTTTTGTTTTTTTATTTGAGACAAGTCTCAATGGTGCTATTCTGGTTGGTCTGTTACTTGCCTATAGACCTGGCTAGCCTTGAACTCTCAATGTCTTTGCTTTATGAGTGCTAGTATTGAAGACATGAGACACCATGTCCACTAGGTGTGGCATTTTCTAATCCAACTTCTGGTGATTTCAGGCTTCCTTTTCATATTATTACTAAGCAAATTAAATATGTACCTATAAATAATTCTTTAGATGCCAGGGGTGACTTTGAGACTAGCCTGGTCTACACAGACACCCTGTCTCAAAAAAATAAAATAAATAAATTTTTTTTTTTTTTTTTTTTTTTTTTTTTTGCTGGACAATGGTGGCAAACGCCTTTGATCTCAACACTCAGGAGGCAAAGGCAGGCAGATTTCTGTGAGTTCAAGGGTAACAGGGTGAGCTCTAGATGACATATCAAATCATAATAGGACTATTTAAAGGATCCCTAGCAAAATATACATAGCCATATAATACACATATGTATTATACAGCTTGAAGCTGTAACAACTTTTAGAAGAGACTCGACACGCCACATGTCCAAATCACCTCTTTACACATGCGTGCGCACACGTACACACAGCTTAAATGTGACTGATCCTTTTCCTTACCAGAACTGAAACACAAACAACAGGGATGTCTGTCTTGTCTTTTCCACTTGCTAGGAAATGCACTACTGGTGTATTACATGCCTGGCCCTGGGCAAGTTTGGGCATTTTCTGTTTTTAATTTTTTTTTTTTTTTTTTTTGATGATTCCTTGATTTTTATGTGCACTGGTGTTTTGCTTACATGTATGTCTTTGTGAGGGAATCAGATTCCCTAGAACTGGAGTTACAAACAGTTGTGAGCTGCCATGGGGTGTTGGGAACTGAACCCTGGTCCTTTGGAAGAGCAGCCAGTGTTCTTAACGCCTGAACCATCTCTCCAGCTTTGGGTTTGTTTCGAATGCTTTAGCATCAATACTTCCTTCCATTAAGGCCTGTTATATTTTGAATCACTTGCTTCACATCTTGTGAGAAGGTGAGATGGGCTTGAGTCTCCTGACTTACTGCAGGGCTATTCATGGAAGTTACTCACTGTGCCCTCAGGCAGCCACAACAGCACAAACAGGCTCAGCCAGCTTTACAAACCAGAAATGCCAGGAGGGAATAATACAGCCTAGGACTGTGGGAACAAAACCCAACATTCTAAGCTATATTGAGCAAAGGTCTATCCATCCACAGAGAGGCTGGAGCAGTAGATAAGGCTATCCCAACAGCAGCAGCCTTTCCTTAACAACCACCTTTGGTGAAATGGGCCATTATCGCCATCAAGTTCATCTATACTGATTAAATTCACAGTTTTCCTGACTGCCAGAAACCTGACACATTTCCAGACCAGTTACTATCCACATGTGAGCAACATCTTTCTCAAACTATGCTTTTAGTTTGTATCTAAGACAATCAATCACACATAAGACTGGGAATGTATTAGTTGGGGAAGAAGTATGTTTCCAGTCTTAGAATTCCATCCCAGCGGAAACTCTGTATCAAAGCCCAGCTGAGACTCATCAGAAGACAGTCCTGTCCCCTCTCCTTTGTTTTATAGCACAACACAAATATTATGTTGCCAGACCTATTAAAACACCTGTGGTAGGGACTGAGGGAGAGCAAAGAGGGAGCACACACAGCAGTGGCCGCCAGGAACCAACATTCCCCAAGGACAGGAAACAGGAAGAAAAAGGAAGTAACAAGGCTTTTTAAAAGACAGAATACAGGGCTGGAGAGATGGCTCCAAGGCCAAGAGTGCGAGCCCTGGCTGCTCCTCCAGGGAACAGGGTTTGATTTCCCAGCAACCACACAGAGGCTCCGAATCAGCC